TTTCAACTGTATAGCTCCTATAAAGAATGCAGTTCAAGGGGGGTCGGGACTTATGGCCAGCACTGTATATATATATATATATCGTATAGATGTATATGGCTCATTCTCAACGATAATACTAGTATGGCTGAAAAAATACAGGTAAGAATATCTTTTTTCATAAACTACGTCTATTTTTTCAGCTACATTGGCATTTTCGTCAAGAAGTAGGAATGAATATGTTGCATGTATTGTATACAGGACATACACATCATTTTAGATCAGGTCTCGAGTTCGTTGAGTCCCAAATTTTTAAGTCTGAATCCAAATCCGTTGGTACTCTTAATACTGAATGAAGTTTTTTAATCTGCGTCTAATAGCTGCTCCAAAACGTTTGCAATACATTTTTCAAGCAATATTAACGATGGTTTTATATAGAAGTTATGATTTTCAAATGACAAAAGTTTTTTTTTTGTCAAAATCACGCCTGTAGAAAGCTACCATAGCGTTGACAGCTTGTACTAAGAAATAAAAACCTAATTTTACTTTGTTTTAGGATGACCAAGAGATGAGTAATCGATGGGAGGAATATGGCAAAAAGATATTGGCATTAACAAAAGCGGGCACAACTATTGATCATCAAATGGCAAAACAGATCGCCGAAGAATGTGGAGTTCCTCTCGAACACTAAATTTTCTGTTGCTATTTTTCTCTCTTTTTCTTTGACAATAAAGATTTAAATATAAGTATAGTTAACATTTAAAATTATTTCATAGCTCAAGTTATCATATTGTGCACCTTAAAGTGAAATCCAAGCCACAGATTAATGCTGTGACTATCATACAATCAGAAATGTGTGACAGTTATATTGTTTTTTATGATAGAGAGGTTGATTTTAGGGTGGGTGTGGGTGTGGGTGTGGGTGGGTGTAGGTGTGGGTGTGTGATCAGAAGATATCCACACTCATTCCCACACCCACACCCATACCCACATCCACACCCACGCCCATCTACACCCACCCACAAGCTAGAACTCTTTTGATAGGTTTTATCTTAATTTATTGTTCATGACAGTTGAATTTTTAAAAAAATGAAATACACACAGGTATGTCACCGCTTGTTCTCATGTATTTTGTTAATGAACTTTGTTTAATACAAAAGAAACATTATACTAAGACAAATAGGCTCCTTCTCAGAAATGTTTTTGAACTGATCATCAGGGGTGACGAGTATGATTGTTATCTAAACGTTCGTTATAAATAGCTCCTTTGGATTATGTTTGCAAAACATGTCCCAGAACTGTAGAATTTACGGGTATGTGAGAAAGAATAAACCTATCTGTATTTTAACAATACCTGTGTTAGTATCTCTCTTTACTCAGACTTTAGTTGTTTCTTTAAAGATTTGTGCCTTTTAATTCTCTACAAAATGATATCTGTTCCATTAATATAAATAACATCTTGTCGAATTTTTTTGGACCACACGTTTTAATGCATCCATAAGTCTTTCTTTCGATGTTACTTTTTCTCAATCGATCGACTAAACGAACTCATCGCAAATAGAATAGTTCAATGGATTACACTCTAGACTATTCGATTGTCAATGATCCTTGTCTATGAGAAAAAGAAAGTTATCTTAGCGCCATCGTTGAGTTAAATGATTGAATGTGAGGCTCTTTTGAAATGTTCTATTTTCATTGAAGGTCTTATTTCCATATTGGTGTGCTATTGGAAGGACATTCTAAATGTATTGAATATAATCTACTGTCTCTTGATCCAAAATGATTACCGATGTCTCTACTTTGGAATAGACACCTAACCAGACTATGACCTTATGAGAAAACTTTTCTTTCTTTTTAATACTACCTTTTTGATTGCTGCAACATGATTGATTGGCTAAATTCTTTAGTTTTACAAGTTATATAAAACGCTAATATCGAACAGCTTTTCATCTGAAAATAAAATTCGCATCCTGTCCTCTTTTCGCAAATTATGACTGATTCAGGATACAAGTGTTTCCATTTGTATTTTTATTCTTCAGTAAGTCGCAATCGAATTATTTTCTACTAAGCATGGCATTTTAGATGATCTCTCCGTACTCAAGAGAGCGCGTGATTTAAACATGCCGTATTTTTTAGCTAACCTTCGAACTGACACCTTCTTTTGTTGTTCCAATCTGTGCCTTATGATTCGTTTTGCGCCAGTTTTTCGTAGTATTAAGTCTCAACAAGCTATTTAAATCACGATAGATCTTGGTCAGGTCATCAGTATCTCCCTACTTGAAAAAACTATGTTTCAAAAATCTTTAATTTTATATTATAACAAACACAAGTCACATATGAATAAAATGCAATATATAGGTTGTCGTAGAGGATAAAAACAGAAATCTTTAAGAAAATTAGGTCTAGAAAAAAAGAACTTATATGGATGTCAGTAAAATGTGAAAACTAACCCTTGCTGGGATATCTATTATTCAATGAAAGGAAAAACAATAAGGGTTTTTGTTCACACCAGGGAAGTAGATTATCTTGCAGCTTCTTTCCTAAGAGAAATACTTATTAAAAGATCCTCCTAAAAGATTTGTGCGCTAGAACATAATAAAGAATGCGAGGTCTATTAATAAGAGGAAATAGCTATGGTAAAGAATCATATTCATCGACATATAATTCTGTTACATTAAACAGAAATTCAATGTGACAAAGGAAAGATCGCAATATTCATAACAAAATCAATCACTGGAAACCGACAATCTGGAGAAGAAATAGAAGATTTTATCAAAACAAGTAAGACTGATGAGAAATTCCAAAATTGTAATTTTTTTTCTAAGAGAATTGAAGTAACATTTTGTAAATAGCAGAATGAAAGTTGAATCGGTTTCGATCAGAATGAAAGTGGAATTATTGTTGTTGGTTAATGAAATCGAAGTAGAATTGCTGTTCACTAGAATTGAAGTTTAAATAAAATTGATTAATTGATAGATAGAGTCATAGTGGCCGATAACCTAAGTTGTCCATCCTTGACTTAAGAAAAACGATTTATCCATATAAAGATATTTGTTATTCGGTGCTTCTAAAGTCTTAATTAAATTTTTAAAATCATCCGTCAATTTTAGTCCATCTAGTTTTCTTTTTAAAAATTCAAAATCAATGATTTCTTGTAATGGTCGTTCAAATAAAATATTTTCATTTTTATTTAATTTATGAAGAAAATATCTTTCAGCATAACAACAAATAATAATAATTTCTTTTGATTGAAATTTATTATTTAATGAATTAATATTAAGAAAATGAAAAAGTTCATCTATATCTTCATATGTTTTATATTGATTAAAATATTCGAAAACAATGTCTTTAGCATCATCAATATCTACTGTGATATCAGGTTGAATTTTACGTATTAATTTCATAACAATTTGTTGTCGATTAATTAATGGTTTTGTATATTTAACGAGAAAGGATAATGACGAAAGATTTTCTAATTCATCATATTTTGATGGAAGTGTACATTGAATTGATAATGCATTAAGAGTTCTTGGTGCTTTAGATTTTTCTAATTTTTTTTCTTCTAAACGAGTTTCTTCATAAAAACGATTTATTAATTCAGACGTTTGCTGTGTTTGTTGAATTAATGGATTTAAATATTCCATTTGAAGAAATGTTCCTTTTTCTCTAAAATTTATGTAGTCTTTATGCATATCATTAATGAGACCGGTATAATAACCACCTAAAAACATTTTAAAATTTTAAAACTTTTCAATAGCTTTTGTTTCATAGATTATACCTGGTACGGCTCTAACTTCTTTGTTTTTAACAAGTTTAAGTTGCTTTCTAAGCATTTGTTTTTGTTTATTTTTTCTTGATGGTATTAATGTTTTAGGAGTTGTAATTTGTGTTGTTTGTAGATTTTCATTATTCAATGATTGCTTTTTGTTTTCTTCAATTTTATTTTGAGCATCCATAAATAGTAAAAGATACGAAATATTGTTACGTTTATTGTAAGATTTATCAATATGTTCTTTTTTTTGTACAACAAACTTCAAATAAATAGGAAAAAACTATGGTTTCCTTAGTAATGTATTTAGATATGATCAATATTATTTTCCTTATTAGCTGATGTCTTATGATTTAATCTTGATGATTAGATTTTTCTTTCTAATCATTCAATATAATTCATAAAATTTTATTTTGAACGACTATTAGTCATCAAATATAGTGCAACTTTTTAAAAATCTATAGATATTCGTCATTGAAGCAATTCATTACATCTTCAACACTTACATAAAACTTTCCTCTTTTGACAAGATTCAGCTGTCGGCACTCTTCGCACTATGATTCATACTCAATGCAAAGGCATACATACCATCCATACACAATTGTAATTCAGATAATATTAACGAATCAGAGAAAAGAATTATTCAATGAGTATATATTGACGTTGCGAAAGAACACATACTGCCAGCTGAGTTTCTGTCAAATACTACAATTAATAATAGGCTATTTTACTAAATGGTATGATTTCTTACAAGGCCATTATATATCCATGTGTTCTTTTCTTCTATCAATTTGGCTTACATCATACTTCATGCCATATTTATCTTTCGATCGACTGTAGAAAGAACAAGAAAATATCGAAGACAAATATATGGTAGACGATTGAAGTGCTATTGAATGATTACGTACTACCTTTGTATGCAAGGTAAAATGAGGTTCTATGTCTTTCTTTTGATCGTTTAAATAGATATTATCTTGATCAATGAAGTGTGAAAGGCAAAACTACTTTGGCCTTAATTTCATATTGTAAAATATGATCTACTCGGCTTTTATTTTATTATAAATTTTTTATTTATGAAAAAAAAAAAGATTCTGTTTTGATTTTTTTATAATTAACTAATAATCTTTGTTTTTTGTTTATGTAGTATTGGAGGTCGTTTGTTGTCTAATTAAGCGTAAAATTAATCGAACATTCATGTTTTATGTAACTATTTGTAAATGATGAGTGATTCTACAAAGACAATGTCGACAAATGACAATTTAAATTATGAATCTGTTCATTCTGTAAAAGTTTTAATTAAACATCGACGAACAGGTGAATTTATTGCTCGTAAATCTTTATTAACAGATTTATTTCAAATTTCACATATTAATTGTATACGAAATGCATTTATTTCTGGTTTTTTTTTAATGATATTACGCCAGACAATCAATGATCTTATTCATTACGGAAGGTAAAAAATGTTCATCTTCACAAAATATAATTTTCTATGTTTGGCTTTTTTTTTTATTAGATTGAATTGGACCTTTGAACTTCTCTTCCTTACTGTTGGTAAATTACATATTGTCGCAATAGTTTGGTCTCTTATGACATTATCTACCAGTTTTATTGTTTTTTATAGTACATATATGTGGGCAAGTGATCGTAAATTTGTTGGAATTTATCGTAGTAAAAGAAAATATTATATTGAATATTTTAAATAAAATAAATATTGTTTTTTTTTTATTTAGAATGGTATGATATAATCTGGTTGGTGATTTATGTTTTTTATTTAACGGGCTTAATGATAATACCTAGTTGGCAAATTATAAAATATCAGCTACCAATTGCTTCTTCAGCAATTATTCTTGCCGAACAAGTATGTTTTTTTTTTTGAAAATTTTAAGTCTAGACAATTTTCTACAAAATGTACAACACAAAAAGAAAATTCCATATGTCAAGACAAAAGAATCGATGACAAAAACTTTTATTTTTCCAATATGATTATATATATATATATATATTCTGATTTTATGTCATGATGACAAATATTGAACTGCAACAACTGAAAACAGACGAAAATATAGAAGTTACATAAATGGATAGAAAGAGTTTGTTCGTATGCTAGATTATATAACTATAGTAGGAGAAAATATCAAGTAGATTAGATTCATCAATCATCATGTGAATAACCGTGTTGACAACTATTAATACTAGAGAGACACAATGCTTGACAGTAAACGCAAAATTTACCCATAAACAAAAAAAGACTTCTTTCGCTTTCAATAACAAAAAAATTCGAAATTATCTTTTAATTTTAATATTCGAAGAAAAATATTCTTTTTTTGAATACGATTATATAAAACTAAGATACTATTCATTAAAAATATAATATACTTGATTATTTCTTGTCAGTAATGGCATTAAAGAAGTGATACAGCGGTGATCACTTCAAAAAACTGTTTTTTTTTTGACTAAGATCGTCGACTTTCGTCTCTGGTTTCCTAAATTCACCACTGTTTCTTGTGTAACTTGAAAAAGTAACACAACATTCACATAAAATGTTCGCTGTGGCTATAACTCTATACGTTTTCATGTTTACCATTCCTAACTAGTAATCACAAGCTGTTCTGAACTATAATGTTACAACATTACCTGTTGAAAAAAATTGACAATCGACTTATGATGAAGTAAATGGTCAGATAGACTCGAATCTAACAAACATGGATCATGTCATTCAACTCTACTCGGTTGATAATAAATATTAAAATTTAGATGGAGTTTAATTTTACCCTAGAACAAATGTATGTTTTTGATTATCAAGTATAGATATACTAAACATTGTGCAACAACCGAAGAGAAAAGAAAAAAAATCTGTTAATTACATAAAACAAAAGAAAAATATCATTCTGATTTCAAGGAATGATAGATTTCAATTTAGCTAAGAAATCAGAAATTTACTGTCTTGAACGTAAATGTTGATCAGAACAAAAGTATGGATGAGGATGAAGATAATACTAAGGTTGAGTGTGATCATAAGAATAGGTCATTGGAATGTAACGAATAAGCGTTGTTACAATAAAGGAGAATAGTCCTAGTATGAGCGAAATAAGATTTCTCGTTTTTGTTTCTTTGATTGCTACTTTTCTATTCTTTGTCGTAAATTAAATTTGTAAAAAAGTGAAAACATTTCGAATCAATTATTTCTATTTAGTTACGACAATTGATGAAAATACATTCATTTGTACGTGAGAATGTTAGAAAAATTCTTCAACAATCACATAATTCAGTTGGTTTGTTGAAATCTTTTTATTTTCTTTGAAAATTTTTATTTTTTAATATTTTTATTTTTTCTAAATTTAGATCAAAAATTATCTTTTGAATTTAGTCATTTTAATCAATATGTATATTTTCTATTTGCACCTACATTACTTTATCGGGATCATTATCCTCGCACATCAATTATTCAATGGAATATTGTTATGAAAATGTTTGGTCAATTTATAATTACTCTTTTTTTAATTTATAATATAATAACAAATTTTTGGATGCCAATTTTTACACGTTTTTTTACAAATGATGAAATAACATTTGATTTTATGATTTCAACTATATTTGATTTAATGTTACCAGGAGTACTTATTGTTATATTAGGTAAAATATTTAATTAATTAATTTTTCATAGAAATTATTTTTTTTTTTCCTGTTAAGCTTTTTATGGATTTTTTCATTGTTGGTTAAATGGATTTGCTGAATTACTTCAATTTGCTGATCGAATGTTTTATGAAGTATGAGAAAAAAGAAAAAAATTATCTTTATTAATTATATACGTATAGGATTGGTGGAATTTAACTTCAGCTGCAACATTTTGGCGATCATGGAATGTTGTTGTACATGATTGGCTATATGTTTATGTTTATCAAGATCTGAACAAAGTTATTTCAATGTTAAATTTTATGATTCAACAAATTCTTCTATTTGTTTGCAATTTTTTTTAGTTATTTAATGGTAATCGAAATTTAGCAACCACCAGTGTTGTGCTTCTTTCAGCTGTATTTCATGAATATTTTATGATTATTTCACTTGGATTTTTTTCACCAATATTAATCGCATGGTTTGGTTTATTCGGAAGTATGTTAAAATATTTATTTGAATAGTCATATTTTCTTTATATATATTTATTAGTGTTATTTCGTTTTTCTTTTCCACGTGCAAAAGGAACACGATGGAATATTGTATTATTAACATTTGTACCAATTTGTGTTGCAATTATACCCTATTTTTATGTTCTAGAAGTTTCAGCTCGATATTTTCCTTCAAAACGTGTAAGTTTGAGATTTAATTTTTGTTTATAATGATGATTGAATGCATATTTATGTAGAAAACATTCTGGAACATAATGTTCAATAGTAATAAACAATCGAACTATGAACTGTGAAAAGAGAAAATTACATAAAATGGAAATCGTAAAATTTTCAAAGAAAATTAGACGTATTTCATTTTATTTTTATTAAAATAAATATTTAATCAAAAAAATTGATCATATTTCTTGGTAACTATCATTATTATATCGAAAGACTTGATGTAATGATATACACTGTAGAAAGACTGAAAAGAAAAATATCGAAATCAGAAATTATTGAAAAACAAAGTGATGTATCTTGTAAAGGTTGATTTTGGGTATGCATCGTTGTATTATTGCCATAGCTATTTCATCTTTTATCGGATGTAAGGTCAGCCATCATCAAAAGTTATTTCATTGATTAATTCACAAAAAAAAGGAATATCCTTGTTATTATGAGACGATTATGTTTTCAAACTGAATCAAAAAACGCAACAACTATTACGAAGTATTGGAAATATATTCTACAGATAAAGAAAAAATTGAAGTGCGTGAAAATCGTGAAAAAGTTTTCTCTTTTTGTTTCTCTTGATTTGGATATGATCTCTGTTTGAATGTTAGAATTATCCCATATAATAAAGAATGTGTCTTGATAGTCAAAATTTTCTAAAGTATTTTTTTTTATCTTTCTTCGATTGCTCGATATGAGTACTAAATCATTTATTTAGATTCTAAAATAAGAACTATCTTAACTTTCTAATTATCTAAACATGTTGTTAATTTTGTTTTGTTGACAATTTAGAACACATTATACGAATTTTGAATATATTGACTGTCAAGTTATCTATTCATACAAGAGTTTCTTCCTATAACAAGCGTTTGAGAATTTCAAGTTTAACAAAATTGTTTACTTCATGAGTCATTACACATGATTTCAAGACTTGTGCATAGTAATACTTTACACGAAATAGAATGTTTGTGATATCTAGTTTAATTTGATCATATGTTGTTTACTTTTTACAAAACTATCCATAGAAATATATCGTACGATTATGATGTAAACTTGATAAATAATTCTCTTTTGATAAACGCTTGTCTTACTGATTAATGTATTTTATCAGCTTTTAATGTTATGATAAAAAATTGTTTTGATACATCAAACATGATCTATGATATATATTTAACTAGCAACAGAATAATATTCACTGCAGATATTCATCATCATCTTTTGTGTGAATGATTTTCGAATAGATTTTGTAATTTAAATTATTTGTAGCAAAAAGAAAATACGTGATCAAATTTGTCCTATTCATTAATATGATTCGTAAAACAAATTCTTCTTTTTAAATCTAAATAATATCTATTGTAATTGATATATATTAAACTAGAAGCTATTTTTGTTTCATAATAGTTTTAAAAAATTTTTATTTTCAAAATAAAAACAAGAGCTTAAATATTTTATACAATACACATGATTGAAACAGAAAAAAAAATTTATTACTTGAAATTATATTCACACAAATACGAAGATCATCATATATTGATAGAGTCATCCTAAATTGATGACATTATTCGATTCCAATGCTAATCATTAGTTTAGTTTTGTTTTCTTTGAATATAATCTTGTTCCAATCTAAAGAAACAACACATAAATTGAAGATATTATACATATAGATAATATACATTTTCATTTTATTTCTCTATTCAAACAATTATTGTCTCATTCAATCGTGGCATTATTCGTTGTGTGTAAAATATTGTATGATCTGTTCTATGATTTTTTCTGATTAGAAAACGTCCACATATGCGTTGAACAACTATTTCTTTTACATTTCTGTTCATAAAAAATTGAAAAACAGTCATAAGAGAAATCATATCTGTCATAAAACTAAAGCCTATTAAATACATAGGTTTTGGTAAAGGTATGTCAGATAATTTATGCCAAAGAATATTAGTAAGATAAAATATTCCACCACAAGAAAGACAACCAGCTTGTATGACTAATTGTTGAACGATCTTTAATTCACGTTTAGCATTTGATCTTGTATTAGTCATATTATTATTTGAAATAAAAGGCATAACTCGACGGGTCGATTGATAAACATTATAGAAAATTATTCCATAGACAACTATGACTAAACTTAATGGTACAGAAAATGAAGCTACTGCACAAAATATTGCTGCTGAAAATGCTTTACTTGTTAATACACATCCACGTGATTCGATTTCAAGACCAAAACTACCATGAATAAATATTAAAGGTAAAGTTGGTACTAGAAAACCTATGAACCAATTGAAAATAATCATAATAAAATGTGTACGCCAATGAAGAAGATGTTTATATTTATGAAAAATTGCAAAAAACATACGACTAAGAGCTTGTATTGAATATGAGTAACAAAAAGTTCCAATAACTGCAACAAATGTATAACCTCTTGCAATACAATATGGTGCATCCCATGCCCAAGCTTTGCCAACACCAGCAATAGATGCAATCACAGCTAAGATTAAATGTATTGTAGCAGCTATGCATGTATTACATACAAGTAAATTAGATACATTGTGACATTGTCGATTAATAACAATAGTAAATATGATTGTAAAACCAAATGTAAGACCTATTACTGCTATTGCTAATTTACTTGCATAGTTTATAATATAAAAGAGATCTGAAGGCATGTCCATGTTTAAACTAGTAGACATTTTATATACTTTTGACGAAATAAAAAAAAAAGAGTGAATTAATAAACGTTCTTCTTTGTTTCTTTGATATGTCTCTTTCTATATATTGATTCATATTTCACTTCAGAAGATATGTTTTACTTTAAATCAGTAATATGGTTTCGATGATTACAGCTAAAATAGGTGTTACAGTAATATTTTATATATAATAACTTGAATGACAAATGTCTTAATGGAAACTGTCAGTTAAAGAAACTATGGAAAATATGCTTCGTTGAGTTGAAAAACAAAACTTTTAACATACTAAGGCATGTTTTTCTTATCAAAACTCATGAATAAATAATGCAGATTATTCTAAATATCATTCATTGTTTTCATCATTATATAAAATGACGTATATAAGAATCGTACCGTCTTCTGAACACTTTGGTTGTTGTACTTTGATCCTCATAAAAGATAATAAAATCAAATATTCAAACGAATTTTTCAAGTGATATCTAATCTATTTTACAAAACGTTTACTGTATACTTTTTCGTCTTCTAGTCTTTCATAATTTCTATGTTGAACATTATGACATATAAAAATAGGCTTTTCTATAACGAAAAATATTGGACAAAGAAAAAGCTTACAGAAATTTTCGTTGATCATATAAGTTTGTATTATTTCACCAATTTCTATCATGTTTCATTTTCTTCTAGATTCTTTTTCGCTCTTATTTGGATAAATCATCAATGTCAGTAAAGTTAGCACCGTATTTGACGTTTTCTTATCTTCCGATATCAATAGAGATCATCTAGCAAAAAACTGGATTTCACATACGGTTTCAAATGATTGAGTGTGTTGATTATTTACTTGTAACAGAAATCTAATCGTTTCATGTATCGATAATGAGTTTTTTGATGGAACAAAAAGTTTATCGTGTCTATTGTGGATACCAACAAGAAGATGAGAAAGTGTAGCAGACGTCTTCTCTTCCTAGAGAAATAAAAATGAAGTACGAGGACGAATAAAACTTTCTAAATTTACGGAGAGTAGTCACAATAATCTTCTATTCCTTGTCAATACAGAGATCGACATAGCAGGAGCTATGCAATAGGCAACAGTGAACCAGCGATGCCTATCATGACTCTTGGTTGGCCTAAAAGTGCTGCTCGACAAGAAAGGCGCATGCTATCTTGTTCTTTGTATCGTTGATGCTCATACCACTGACACGATACTATCAATTATAGGTTGATAGAAACTCACATCAAAAGATTGGACGATTCTACTAACATGGACTCGTTTTCATACGACTGTTGTTCTCACAAAATGTATACATTAAGCTTTAACGATTTCATTTTTTAATTATGCTGTGTTTTTCTTGAACTTTCATTAAAATAATGTCACTCAACGATTAATCACATTGATTGTAATAACAAAAATTCATTCAGAAAACATACTGTTAGCGGAAGAAAACGATCAGTGTTAAAACAATGAGAAAAACAAAAGGGTATTATGTGGAAAATGGTAGAATCACCAGCAAAACAAACTATAATTTGATGAGACCTCACAGAAAACCACAGAATAATTGGTATTGCTGAGTGAAAATTAGAAGAGTTTCAATGGAGTACATAAGGAACTTTGTATGAGCAGAAGCGAGATAAGAAAGACGTAAGAGAGTAAAAGGAAGAATATGAAAACAAAATCTAAGAGAAAAAGTATGGTGACTAGAGTAATCCGTTTGAACTTAAACGTAGCTTAACACAAGTACCAAGAATGGCGGTCATCACCTCTTTTTCCAACTGTCTAGTGAGAAAAAACTGTCACAAGAAAAATGTAATAATTTGACTAGATCTCCCAAGCGTAGATCAACTATAACTTAGATGCGTACAGGATTATTATAGAGTATTTGATGAGAAGGCAAGAAAAACAATAGCAATGTGAACACCTGAACACATATACTATGAATGTATCTGGTGAGTGGTTTCTCGAAATTTAACAGATTCAAAAAGCGCTTATACTAAAACTTTCATATTTCGCCTCATTACTCATATTGACACCGGTACCATTCGACAGAGAATGAAACTCTACTCCTAACACAACCAACTCAAGATCCAGCATATTTAGAGAACGAATCCAGATAAGAGAAAACAAATACGATGCTAGCTCTACTTACGCTGAAAATCTTATTTTATAGATGCGCCTTTAATCTTTAAAAAACGCAAAATTCTATTCAAACAATGTTCGACGCTATGAACAATATTAATTTTCGATACATATTGCATTCTATCTTATCTTATCGGTTAAACAGTCACAGTTTTTAACCTTATTTTATTACATATTATCAATATTAACGTCTCATAGATAATAATTCGACATTGTTGTGATAAGAAATATTTGGTGGCTATCTGTGCTGACTTATGAAATGCATGCAACTTTCATGATACTATGCTCACAATTTTCGATGTTTATGAGGTGTTCCATTTTTATTATTGATACATGAAACCATTAACCCTCTTCTCCTCCCTCCATCAGCCATTTACTTTGAAATCAAACATGTAGAAGGACAACTTAAAAAAAATAAGAATTCTCGGATGAGTATGTGTAATTAGACTGAAATACAAATGAAGACGAAGGATTATTTTTAGAAGCGCTTGATGACGTTACAATTCTTTTTGCATATTTCGTCTTTTGATTTATGTTCTCTCGTCTGTTAGCTTCTCATTGATTTACAACATAAATATGTTCTGATGAAAGATAATTTTTCATCAATAAATAATACAACTTTCTTCCATCAATGAAATAAAAACAATCTAATTAACCATACATAAAAAAAATGATTATATTCACAGCATCGAAAATTGATCGAATAAAATTTTGTCTGTTTTTTAAAATAAAGCATGCACATATAAAATAAGCTTTTGTTTAGAAACTTGGTATTGTTTTGCGTTGCTTCTTCTGAAATATTTTATTTTTTAACAAAACATAAGATAATGATAAAGTAACACGCAAAAAGTAATCATTCTTTATAATGCACTCATTCATATCACTGTTTTGAAAATCGACAATCGACAATATAATAAAAACGACATCATGCTCAAACAGAACAGACGATAATCATATTGGAGAAATACTCCATAAAGAATAATTATAACGTGTCAACAGAAAGAATATAATATTGTATGATACAAAAAATGATTCATAGATGAAAGCAAGTAAAGAATGAGAGAATATTTGTTGTTCACTCATGCATATCATCCTTAAAATACATGTTATCGTTGGTGTGAATTAACGTGATATTTGTTTTATTTTTCTTTTCATGTTTGATGTATGTTTCTAGATGTCTCTTCCTTGTATTGGTAAACCAGCACCGGATTTTAAAGAAAAAGCAGTACTTAATAATAAAGTAATTGATATATCATTAAGTGATTATCGTACACATTATGTTGTTTTACTTTTTTTTCCAATGAACTTGTAAGTGTATATTATTAGAAAAATAAACAATAAATATGTACTTATATTTTTGTTTTTAAATATCTAGTACTTTTGTTTGTCCAACAGGTACGTTTAAAATAGATGAGAAAAAAAAAACTTTCTTATAAAAATATTTTCTTTGATAGAATTAATTGCGTTCAGTGATCGTTCAAATGAATTTCAGAAAATCAATGCCAATGTTATTGCTTGTTCAACTGACAGTCATCATAGTCATTTAAAATGGTTTCTATGTTCATTTCAGCTTTCATATTTTATTTTTTATTTTTCGATTTTATTAGGTTGAATATGAGACATAATGAAGGTGGTATTCGTGGCCTTCGTATTCCATTGATTGCTGATAAATCCATGGGAATTGCTAAAAAATATGGCATTCTTGATGAAGAACTCGGAATTGCTCATCGGTTTGTTTTGAACACTTACATTTTTATTAATAATTATTATTTTATTATTATTGGTAGAGCAATGTTTATTATCGATAATAATGGTATTCTTCGTCAAATTACTATTAATGATTATCCAGTAGGTCGAAGTGTGTCTGAAACTTGTCGATTGATTCAAGCTTTTCAATATGCAGATAAATTAAATGATAATTCATCAGAATTACGTTATGCTCAAGGTGAGTAACAAATAAAATACATATATATTTGACAATCGAATTTTTTTTTCGATAGTGGTGCCATCAAGTATTGACAAATTTCGATCGGCGAATTGTTTAGGAAAGCATATTCTTCATGAACTAACCGAATAATAATAAAATAACGATTTTATATTAAAAAAATAGAAATCATTACTTGGTTTTTCGTTGCTAATTGACACAATATATAGTTGATGGCATATTAATATTCGTATAGATTTATATCGATGCAACGATTTATGAGAGTCGTATAGATATTTTATAGTTGCTAATGTATTGTCTGATATTAAATTCGAAGATATTGTTCGCTTTACTACTGATTCCAATGTGTCGGGAAAAATTAGTTAGACGATTTAAGTCAATAAATATCTGATAACAGGTAATCAAAAATATTTTGATAAAATTGAAGTTCATGTTTCTCCTGTTCTATTAAAAGCTTGTGTCTGACTTCTTTCTTTTTACATGAAATACACATGCAATGAATCTAGAAAATTACAAAATCAAAGTATTGAAAATGATTGTTTATCGTTAATTTTCTCGAGTTTAGTTTGAAAGACTTTTCGTATTAATATGATTGAAAAGATAAGATAAGGATTTTCGAACAAAATTAAGAAAAGTTAAAAATAAGAAAAAAACCATTTTCGATACTTTAACTTTGTAAGTCCATAATGTATGTGTATTTCATGTAAGAAAATCAGATTCAAATCACTAATAGAGTATAGAAGAAACATGAATTTCAATTTTGTCGAAATACTTTTCGATTACTTCTTAGATGATAAAATTTATATTTTCGAATATCAAATATTGCTGTCTTTGTTGAAATTCTAAAGAATAGTATGATGAGTTTGACAAATAATTTTTTGGAATTTATTGAGTGTTATTATTCTATAGAAAATAAATTGCTTCTATGAATTTCATTTTAATCAGAACAGATTGATATCATTGATTGACAGGATATGTTTTTTAATGTTGTATTGTATGAAACACAATTTAAAAGATGTGTTGAGATATAGAAAAGAGAAATTTTCTCTCCTTCCAACAAACGTAAGAAGCATCACAAAGAAACCCACACTGATGGTGACAGACATAAACACAATATCAAAGTTCACTAGGGATATATTATGATAGTCGTTCTTTACGTTTCTTTCACACTTACTGCAATATATTGCGATTAATATCTTACATCACCAATGTACATTAATTGTAGGTAAAAGTTTATAAATTGAAACATATATATGGATTCATTTCCTCTTTAAAAATACCAGCAGCTCTATCATTTTAAACGTTTTAATCTTGTAGGAATATTATTATATTTAATCTTCTTCTGCGAAGATAATAATACATATTTATATATATTTATTTCATGTTTTTTTTTTCTTCAATTCATAAACCAACAGAGGAATGTTAGAGAAAAAAAAAGAAAAACACCTAATCTATACATATTCAAATCAAGAAAAATCAAATAAAAATTTGTCATCAATAAGTTTTTTTTCTTGATATAAATGGCATCATTAAAAAAATATTTACGTCAATGATTGATGATCATTGAAAGATCTAGATGCTAGTTCTTTTGAATTATGTTCATCACTTTTTAATCGTATATAATGATTATTAATATTATTAGGTGTTAATAATGGTGTATTCTTTAATGTCATTGATGGTTGTTCACCTGAAAATGATGTTTGATTAATAGTAACATCACTTGCATTAGATAGTAATTCTTCATTTTCATTTTTCATAAGAACTGTATCACATGTTAGTCCATCATTATCAATTATATCCTTGGATGAAGGATTTTTAACAAGTAAAGATGATCGTCTAGTGCTTGTATCATTATCATCAGATATGATATTTATTTGAATAATTGGTGATGTTTCATTTTGATGATTTATTGGTTCAATGGATAATTGTTTTTCTGGTTCATATAGTTGTTCTAATGTTTCAATGTTATTGTTATTATTATCATCATTATTATTATTTTTATTAAATAAACAAGGACAAATAAATGTAAGAAATTTTTTCCAATAAATTTGACGTGTAGTTAAAACTTGTGGTGAAGAAGATGATATTGTTGTACGATATTTTTCAGTACGATTTTGATTTGATGAACGACGACGACGACGATTTAATGATATACGAAATACAGATAAACGTGTTGAAAGTGTATCACCAGCGGAACTACGTCGTATAGCATCAGTACTTAATAAAGTACGTTGAAATTGTCGAACAACTTCCAAACGAATTTCCGTATTAAAATAAAAATAAATAAGCGATGTGAAAAAGCCCTTTTGATTAAAAAAAAGTAGTTTTTGTGAACAAAACAACAATCATAATGATTAAATAAATTTCATTATTACCTGTAGGTCACCAAATATTGCTTTGAATATAACAGCAATATAATACCATATAGTATGACCTTGTTTTTCATGATAAAAAACCCACATAACAAATAATGAATGAAGACCAAACAATGGAATTAATATAAGTATTGATTTAATAAGATGTCTAAAATAATGCAAAAAGTTTCATTTTAATTTTCATAAGATAATAATATAAAATACAATCGTATTTGTTTTTTAATAGTAGATGTATATTTACATGGAATTTAAAGAAATTCATATTTCTTATCTTATACATGTATATTTTCTTTAAGTCATGTTGTCATTTGATTTAACAGATTGAATACAATAACAATATAATCAGAGGTCTGTTATTTCTCTTTTAATTGATTGACTAAACTAAAGTTACTAGTACAGATCATATAAATTAGACTCTGATTTCGAGTTATTTTTTTTGATTGCTCGGCTTAGTTCAGAATAACACTATTAAAAGTACATTTCTGTTACGAAGAGGATTTCTGAACAATGGAATTCCCTAATAATTGCAGTCATTTATGAGAATATTGCAAAAAGTTTATTTATATGATAATTATAATTTGAATAAAGTTGGAAAATTTTAATGTTTGAGAAAAAAAAAGCCCAAGAAATCAGTCACATTACTTGTCGAACCGAAAAAAGAGAAGCATTCATGGGTACATCAACTTCTTGAAGGCTATTATTTATTAATATAAATTTTCATTAATAAAATGTCTGCTGATCGATTTCAAAGAGTCAGATCGATTACTATTTTTAATTATACTGTTAGTTTTAGTACACAGTCAACACTCATGTCACTTAATGCAGTTAATAGTGTACTCGGACTTATGTATGGATGAAGAATATCAATGAACCAAATAAATATTCTTCTTGTGTTTTTTATCGACTAAATCAAACATCAAGAATTCTTGATTTTCATCGGTTGTGAGATGTAAAATCAATGTACGAAAATTTTGAGGACAAATCATAATTAAATTGATCTTTTCTTTTTGAGTAAAAACCAATTAAAATGTTTCGATTTAGTTCTGATTGAGATCCGATATTTCAACTTTAAAAATACATTTCAATTGAATTTAGTCTATGTCGATCGATTAAGAAAGATTAAAATCAGATTTTTTCTGTTTTGTTATGTAAAAAATCTTCTTGAAGAAAAGAAATTAAGTTCGCATCGAATTAATAATTCTTTTAAGTTATTTTACTTTACTCTTCCCCATAAAACTTGAATCTAATGAATCATTTTGTATATAGTGATCTAGAACAACTTTATCCGAAATTTCACTAACCGATTGCCAGTTCGAGCTGTTGGAACATAATTTGATCGATACTTTGAATAAAGTAGTTGAACAAGAAAAAGAAATATACCAAAATTAATAAGTAAATAAAAAGCATATGGAACATAAAAGAAATAATAAAAATATGTTGTATTATCAGCTTCTAACCAACATGTTGACCGATTTTTAAATTTATCTGTTATGATATGTGATGCAATCCACATTGTTAACCAAACTAATGGACTTAACCAACCCCATAAAACAAATAATGTACAGCCACGATCTCGAAATAAATGGCTTGTTAATGCTGTAAATAAAAACATAGCTTCACAAAATATAAATGTTTGTGCAACAGCATCTGTATACCAAAATAATGATGATAATAAACGACAACCAATAATCTTAAAAAATAAGAAAAAAAAAACATTTTTAAAAAATATTTATTAAAATCATTTTTTTTTTGAAAATGTACATGAAATAAATTTGATGATTTTGAAAGAATTTCAATATTTCCACATTTATCACGTGTATATGTTATCATTGTATATGTATAGCCACCAATAATTATATGTATAAATATAAGTTTAACAATCGAACGAAGAATAAAAGCAAGGAATAGATGCATATGAAGCAGGTTTCGGGGTAAATGCAATCGTCTAAATTTTAGAAGATATCGGCATATAAGCGGTATATTATTAGGAACAACAGAAAAATAAGATAAGGGAGGTCTCTTCAGTGAATTCATAGGTTGATTTACATTTGAAGGTTTAAGACGAAAAATTTTTACATAAAAATAACACACATACTTGACATTTATCATGCATAATATAGCGATTGTTAAAGATATAAGAGATAAACTTAAACTCATTGTTTCAATCATAATACTGACTGAATTAAACTAAATTAAAAAGGAAAAAATATAAATTGAAAAAGATTCATATAAAATTTTTTTTTTTACTTTTACTGGTCGTCCATCATTAATACATATTTTACATTGAATGTCAGGTGGAATAGTCATTGCCCAAGTTCCATTATTTTGACAAAAACGTTGTAATGTACCTATTGTATTCATAGATATTAAATTTTGTGATTTTATAGTAAAACAAAACGGAAAAAGAAACTAACAATTTTCCATGCCAGAACCGACACTATGATAAAAATTATTGAATTCATGATCATATTCAATAGTAGCCGATGCATATGTACCATTATGTGTTGCTTTCCAACAAACATGAATATCTTCTTCGAATTCATATGGGCATGAATTAGGAGCTGCAAGGAATCATTTCATTATATTATGAATAAGAAAAAAAGAACCTATGTACTAGGTAACGCTTGGACAAAACCTGATTGAAGACAACGTAAAAATTCATGAATATTGTCTGGTGGGGGAATCATAGGCTAAAAATAATTTTTGTGGTTTATAGAACAAAATATAAGTAAACAAAATAACTTACTTTGTTTGGAATCGTATTGTTACTAGTCATATTACTTGCTTTCATCGTCTTAATAAAAATATTTCTATTATAAAACTTTATTCTGTCAAATAATAAAACTAATATTCTAAAAAACTTGAATTACTAATGATAATATATTCAACAGTTGCTTAGACAGTTCCTTGAAATGTTATTCTACTAAGAATATTAGTCATTTATGATAGAGCCATTTCGTCGAACTAATTGGATTTGCTAAGATAAATAATAGTATCTAAATCTGTATTAATGATGCAATGGGCAGAAATGACGTTATAGAATTTTGTATCTATCTGTTTCTACTGTTCTCTTTAAAAAGTTACAATAGATAATAGATTATATTTAGTAATAACTCACATCTTGAAGGCCCAAGACTAGATAAAGTAACCAAGATGTTATCATTGATGAATGGTATCTTTAAAATACTATAAAATTCTATAATAAAATTCAAAAAGAAAATTTTCCCAAATAAATTAGCAAATCTATGATATTCTTACCGAATCAATTTTCAACAGAGCTATATTTATCAAATGATTTACTCTTATATAAATAGACTAATATATTATTGCTTCTTATATATATATATCTATATATATATACTGCCGATATAATGAATCATACATATATATATATGGTCGTTTTGCTATTTCCTCTCAAGCCTGAAAAGTAGATTTTATAATTAGAAAATAAAAGTTTATTTTATTCTAGTATATGAACAATAAGATTCAGGTCATGCTAATCTTCGAAGCTTCTAATAAAACTTTTCATAAACATGAACCTTTTTTTTATTTCTGATAATAATGCTTCCTATGTCGACTACTGAATATTTATATTTGTCTTTGAGTTACAAAAACCAACGATATACATTTACGAATGCCAACTGTCATGACATACTGATGTCAATCTAACCAACTGTCGAACTTTAATTATCTACCACATGCAAAGATGTTTTTTATCTAATACGTACATACATACATACATACATACTTTATTTTTCGATAATGCTGCTTTGAGATATTTCTGAAATTTAATATAACTAATCTCATTCTATATGTCAAGCTGCTTGAATTGAAAAATAGAAAAAAAGAAAAACAAAGAAAAATTTCTTTTCTTGTTTATCATACCTTCGTTGTTTCATTATTTGATAATTTAAATGTTGTTGTTTCAATAACTGTATCGTTCTAGAAGATGAAAATAAAAATAAAAAAACCAAATCCCTTTTCTTTATCTTTTTTTCTTTTTGAATTTACATAAGCCCCACGATTTATCTTTGAAAACAAACAGCTCTATTTTACAAAATTTTCACATGAAAAATATGCACCTGACTATTTTATATCGATTGAAACCGTTTTTTTTTTTCGTCTTCTTTATTAATATTTATTCTTGTCAATCGAAAAAATTCATATGATTTACCTGTTGAGTTAAATCTTGCTCTGTAAGTTGTATTAGAACAATTATCGTTAATGCCAAATGACGAAGCATGATGATGTATAAAAAGTTTTTGTTTTTCTTTCTTTAACAAATCAAAAAAAAACAAAACAAAACAACATAGTTAAAATTCTGTCCATGACTCTTTTTAGTCTCAATGATAGTTATATGTGTATTGGATAGTTGGTGTCAATTACGCGTTTGTCGAGCGAAACATATACACTTTATTTTTGTACTCTTCTATCAAGCAATTCTTCTTTTTTTTTTTTTGTTTAAGCAACAGAATGCATGTGTTACACCCACCAAATCAAGATACGAAGAAATAAGTTGATAATTGGCATGAAATGCGAATACGCAAGCCGTGTTTAGAAGTGTTGATTTTTACTGTTTGTACTCGAAATGTGTTGCAAACAGAAACTATACGAGCAATAAAGAAGTAATTGAAGAGTCATAAATGATATCTGCTAGCAACACCACTTCTTAATGTTTTTGAAGGAAATATACAAAGAAACTAAGAGACTTCTAGGTTAATATAAACGATATTTTATGGGACATGATGCATCTCAATCTTCTAACTATCATGCTATCTTGATTAGTATGAAAAAAAAACAACTATTTTATCGATGATCTCATAGACGATAGTCGCTGATATAGATAAAAAAAAATCAATTTTCACTATTCATGTGAATCCAACCATTAAGAAAAATAAAGGTTAAATTTTTCATCTTGTATCATCAACTAAAAAATTTAAACCATTTTTCTATATCAATTAAATTAATGATTTTCTGATAATTTGAATAATTTTATGAAAATTTAATTCAATCAAGCATGAAGCAAGATCATAATGATAATAATAATTAAAAAACAACTTTCGCCTTGATTTATTTCATAAACGTTTTCTCTCTCGTTTATTTTATCCCCTTGGATGCTTTACAATGACAATAATAACCAAATTGACATGGATGTCTTCTACATCCTAGTACGTCGTTTGAATGAATTTTTTTTGAAGCTCTATATAGAATATTGGGAACAAGAAAAGAGAGGAAAAGCAGAGAAAGGCACCCAACTTACATTTGATTCAATATGTATGTGCTCAGCATGATGATGAACGTGGAATAATGTATTACGCATGGGAAACAGACAATGAAACAACGAAGATAGGTCTCAGAAGAACATTTTTTTTTCATGCTATTCGATCTATTTGATATTTGATGCTACTTCTATAACAACAGTAGAAAAGATCACATATATATAAAAAAAAGGAAGATAAGAAACTAAGACCAAAACAAAAAACAAAAAAAAGACGTAATGGAAAGCATTTTATCGATTCATGAAGAAGTCTATCCATTAAAGACGCGGCACAGAAAATCATTATCATATTTATCAAATCCTCGTTTTATTAACATAAATATTTTAAATAATAGAATAAATACATTATCATTATGTTACCAATATATCAAAAAAATGATAGCTCAACGTTCACTTTATATTCTTGGACTAGTTAATCTTATTCTTGCTGGTATAGCTATTCTATGTGTAATACAAGCGGAAGATCATCCAGAATATTTTTCACTTGTTTATATTACTATAAGTATATTCATTTTTTATATGGCTACAATTATATTGATTATTATAATACAAATAATTGAAACGTATCAGGAACAACATAAAAAAAATTCTTCATCATTATCAATTGAAACACCATTATTAACACCTAAATTAATGACTCAAAAAAATCCAATTCTTGTTGAAAGTGTAATAACAAAAACACAACCTAAAACACGTTTATCACGTAGTCACACATTACCATTAACACCCTATTCATTAAATTCTCCTTATACATTATCAAATTTAATGTTATCATCAACACATAAAAATTATAAACCAATGACATCAATACCTTCATCTCATTTAGAATTATTACCTAAATATAATCAATCATTTATAACTATACCAAAAAATTATCAATCTTTTTCATCAACAACAAATGATCAATTATGTCACACATTTAAAACAATAACTAATAATGACAGACATGCTCATTTATCATCTCTTATTAAACCAATTCCATTTAAATATCATAGAAATATGGAAAATAATCAAACAAAATTTAAATATTCAGAATAATAAAGAATAAAACATAGTTTTGTTCGAATGGGCGCTTTTACTTGTATTTATTGTTTTTTATTCAAATTCAAAAAAAGAAAGATTATTCCTTAAATAAAGACAAAAATTTCAGTGGTTTGGCTTAACGTAAGAAATCAAATACTTTCTACAATTTTAAATATTCATATAATTCTAAAGCATATTTTCCGAAATGAAGTGTCAGAAAAGGTTAACAAACTAAACAAATTCTTCAACTAGAGTTCATTGGATCCAAAACTAACAGAGACCACTAACCTCATCAGATTTCTACATATATCTATGATCCGTTTACATTTAATAAATTGCATGACACAACAATTGAAAGTTTAGGGTTCGACGAGTCAAGTTATTTTTATCTTTTTTTTGTTCTTTTTCTGTTTATCTATATAATGAAGATTAACAACAGGTTAATCATGACACAATATCTTGTTCTACATTTTTACGCACACAAATCAAAATATTTTTGTTTCAAACATTTCAACATGACTATAACAAGAAAAAAACGCTATCACATTTTATAAACAAAAACTTAAACTTAACCTTGTTTATAAACAAAAGAAAATATTTATTAACATTTAAATTATTATCTTATTGCAGTTCAAAGATGTTAAAATGTGATTATTAGCTAGTGAATAAAATTTCAACATTACGATCTCATGAAGAGTATTTCTCTCACTTTCGTGATCCAAGGTTTTTGTTATTTGTGCTCATTATGTAGTTTAAAATAGTATCTATCTATTGAGTACATTTTGAGATCCAAAAATTATCTTTAAATTTTAAAAAATTCAAGTAACAATCAAAATAGAGAAAATTGCACTTTGTTTCGCGATTTTATCAAACATACTATATACTGTTTGAGATGGTTATTTTTTTTTATTGTGGAAAAATCATCGTTTTGTTAATTTTAGATACCACTGAAGAAAAATGCGTCGTTCAAATAAACATACATCTTTCAAGGTAAGTTCTACATATTGGCTATTATAGTCGAGGGACACATGATAGAAAGGTATCCATCCTAAATAATGTCTAGCGTCTGCAAAAAATAATTTTCAGCTTGATATGACATAGCATCTAGGAAAAACAGGAGCCAAAATTGGAACCATTATGATACTAGTATCTCATAGAAGACAGCATTGGGAAACTTTGAGTCTGTGATAATTTTTGTCCTATTTGTCAATATCTACTTGTCTTGAAAATTTCAAATTTTTCTGATGAGCCATATCATAGAAACCCTGGGAAGAGGAAGGATACCCTTAAAAAACTGCTTTGAAAAAATACATATTCCATTAGTGTTGATATACTAGAAGCATGAATAATTTTTCTACCAAGTTTATTAAGACATTGATATGAATTAAGATCATCGATGAAATATTTTTCTGGCAGAAAATCATTAATTTCTTCTAAAAAATGATTTTCATTTTGAATTATCAAATTTTTCATTTTTTGAATGCACGAGGCGAGTCAATTGCATGAAATTTTCCGATGAGAGTCTTTAAACAAACGTGTGATTCAACCTTGTCCTTAGTCTTGATTGAATCTATTCATCGAGATTTGACAACTGATAATAAGACTTGTCTATCAAAATGTTCTTCTTATTTAAAATGAAAGATTCTTTAAATCCTATCGAACTATATTTTATTTAAAACTCTGAAAAAAAACTATGAACTGCTGATGGACGTTCATCAACCGTAGACCTTAATTGTGCCATAGTCATTCGATTGATATCTGCTCGTCGTAATGATGGTGATCTTCGATCATTATCAATCAATACATTCATTGACTTTTTTGGAATAATCGTATGTCTATTATCAATTATTTCTTGTTGTTCTAATTGTTGTTTTAACTTTACTTGTCGTTGATCATTCAGAATACTACAAACAATTAAACTCAGCAACAATATGCCACAACCAATAAGAATATAAAGTAGACGTATAAGTCGACGATGATTTGACATAGAAGTATTTAATTTACCATAGAGAATACATTGAGCAGAAAAATTTTTATATTCTTGTATAGCAATACCAATATAAACAAAATTTCTTTGATATGTATTTGGTATAAGGTGAAATTTATGAAAAATAGTTTTGTGAATGTTAATACCATTGAGATAAACTCGTTCATTGACTATAAAAGAGATTAATAAAAGAAATCTATTTACATAGGACATGCCAAAAGCGTTTTCATTCAGCTCTTTGAAAAGCTGTATTTCAGTGCAACTATTCGAATATAGTACTTAAATATATTTATGATTATGTGTAATATTTCAGACTTAGAAGTCTTGAGTTTCCTTATGTTTTTTTGCATTTCTTTCAGACTAGTAATACAACATTTTATACGTGCATTTTGAATTGTCTCGAGAATACACCTTCTATGTTTTTCTATGACGAGTAGATTGATTTAACTTACAAAGAAAGTATCGAAGATGTAATCCTTCAGCGAGTTCTGCAACTTATTTAATCGAAGAAACTTAAAATTCTGTTCCAGCAATAATTGAAGATACGAATGAATAGAGGAAACTTTGAGCATCATGGTGATTTCAACTTTGCTTGTCTGTTTATATTTTTACAAAGGTTTATACTCGATGAGTGTATTATCCACTCGTTGATAATTGAAAACAGTTTCATATTCGATTGAGCCGTTATGTGACTAAATAATTTCCCAGAAACCAACTTCCATATTGTATTCTACATTCGCATTAGTAATAGATCAGGGTTTTCTTATAATAATCAAAATATAATGGAATAGTCGAAATTAGAAGCGTTACAAACTAATTCATGAACGGTTAAAGCTCATCGAAAGAAAAGCTTACGATGAAATACCTCCAACGAATGAACCACTTTTGAGTCGAGACTATGTGCATTATACAAGCCCAAATAAACTATGAATACCTTGAAAAAAGTTCGCGCCTTAGTTTATTGCTACGAAAATACTGCAAATGGATGGTATTTTTTAAATGAATCCCATGTGAAAAGAAAAACTGATATCGGAATTTTAACTTGAAACTTCGCATGAAGACAGGTTTTAACAACAATAGTTTATGATGAAGGTTTCAAGTCCAAATTAGAAAGTCAGTTTTTCCGAAGCACGACATTCATTAAACAGTTCCGTAAAAATGTATTATCTATACAGCAATAAACCAAGCGTTCGAACTCTTTTCATGATATTCATAATTTATTTGAATCTACATAATACACATAGTCTCGACTCAAAAACCAATGAACAGTGGAAGAATTTTCGTCGTCAGGTAAATGAAATATGTCAATTTCAAAAAATCTAGTTTTACCAAATTCATAAGATTGTAATCTAATAAACAAAAGCTAATCCATCAATAGCTGCCTAGAGCAAGTTTTCAAACTTTATTAGCAGAGAAATAAAAGATTAATCTTTGAGATCTAAGTCTTTACAATGAAAATGCAAGACTACGGCAAACCTAGAATATCAACAGATTTTTTGGCAGAATATCATATGAATCGTATCCAAATCTAACATATACACCAGCTCTGAACTTATGTTACTTCTTGCTGTCTTCAAAACTCATATATTAACTACATGGAATGGAATTCAATGTTGCCAATGCAATGTGAATTGTTTTAAAACAATCAATAAATAGTCTCACAGCAGACAATCTTAAAAACGACTTTCACAACCTCGTTTAATCAAATGTGCTGGTGTATTCTTCATGAGAGATAATACACTAAAGCCAACTGTCGAACGACAGTCTAAAGAGCTGGTAAAAAAACTTTTGGAGTATCTTCTTATATAAAAAAATTAATTTCTACCATGAGAAAAAACTTTATCAAGTTGTTCTTGTCTTGGCCAATCATCATCTCTATATGTATTTGATAACATTCTTTGATATGATTCAATTAGTTGTTTTTGATTTGTACAACGTTTTTCTGCAGCTAATTGTAATGTTAAATGTATCTCAACATTTGATAAACCAAAATTTTTTCGTTGTCGATTTATTTCATCAAATAAATTTTGTTCATTTTTATTTTCGAATATACATGATAATAAGACAATTTTTACAAAGAATATCAAAACGATGAGCAGCATGTAATGAAGAAAAAAAAACAAAGAATCGTTTTTTTTCTTATTTTATCTGCTTAGATACAAGAGTTATTATTATGCTTTGTTTTTTTTTATTTATATTTTGAAAGAAAATAAAAACAAGATTTATTATGTTCTGTTTTCTTTTGCTTTTACAATTTTATCATCGGTCATTCTGTAAAAAACGCGTATTGTTAAGTTTTCCATTTGAACTATTATTTGGATTACTTATATTAGCAGCTGCTATACGTATCTGCATTTGACGATGACGAACTAAAGTAAAAGATAATAAAATCTTTATATAGGTCTTTTTTTCTAAATTGCTTTTACTTTGATCAATTAAATTTGAAGTACTATAACCATCATTATAAGCTACTTGATTTATTCGCATTGGCTGTTGCTGCTGTTGTTGTGCAGTAGTTAATATGCCAGGAAATATTTCGTTTACAGCTCCTGGTATTCCAGGTGGTTGCTGAAAAGAAAAAAAAGAATTTATTACTTTTCAAGACATATCAAAAAATAAAAGATTGTCTAGACAGAACACTTGTTTACTATACATTTGATGTTTTATATGAAAGAGAAATAGTTAGTTGCTCGTTTATCGTCAGTGAACTGATTATTTTCTTTTGTCGGTGGTGAGATAATTCTCTGCAACATAATATAAGAATCAAGAGTTTCAAAATAATCATTCAGGAATGATTGAGCTCACTTCGCAAGTCTGTTTTCCATAGAAATTGAGGAAATTACCTAAATTGACATGCTATCCCTTACCCAAATACTCTCTATTGATAAATGATTTGCAGGAAACTAATCCTTAGTATACCATTTTATCGAGAAATGTTTGTTCTTTTATTCATTGTATTTCAAATCATTTTTGCATCGACTTGGGCAAAGTTTTAGCGAATTTGATTTATACGTCTCTAAGAAATCTTCTCATAACTCTTAAACCAGAAGTCCTACAAAAAATTCTGAATTGTACTCAATGCTATCAAACTTCTACAAGCTCCTTTCAGAGGTTAAAAAATGGATGAACATGTTATCAAATTCATTTTCGATAGAACCCATCAGAACCAAAATTTTCAGAGCAAGATCAACCAGATGGGCTTTGCTTTTCGATCACCCATTTATTAATATTCTTCAAGTGAACATGTGTTATTAACATGTAATTACTTAATAATCACCTTGAAAAGAAAAACACTTACTGAAGTTTCAGCATAATAAATTTCTGCTCGAAATCGATCTTCTTCTGTAATAAGTTGTTCATCAAGTATTTGTATTTGTGGTAATCGATATGTAACAAAAAATCGATAAGTTGTTTTACGAGACACCTAGTAAACAAACATATATATATATACTATGTTTTTATTGAAAAAATAAAATTTATTTTACCGGATTATTAATAAGAGATAATTCACCGAGACAAATAAGTGGTGTTAATTTTTCCATTTCAGATATTTCCTTTAAAATAAAAATTTCAAAAAAATAAAAATTTTTTCATTCAATTCAATATTTACTTGAACTTTATTTGAACCCAAAAACAGTTTTTCTAATTTTACCATACGATCAAAATAAGATAATTCTCGTATACGATTTTCTTCTAAATGTAATTCAACAAGATTTGTTTGAAAGAAAAATGATGTTTCCGTTATAACACGAATTTTATTTTTATCTAAGACTAATTCACGTAAATTACGTAATGCTTCAAGACCTTCAACTTTTGTTATTTCATTTCCTAAGAAAAGAATAATAATTTTTATAAATTAATTTTTTGTTTGTTAGAAGAGAGAAATTTAACCTTGAAGAAATAAAGATCGTAATGATGGAATTTTATTCAATTGAAGTGCAACAAGATCTGTTATATTATTATAACTAAATAGATATTTTTCAAAATTAAATTTTGATTAAAAAATAAGAATTATTTCTTTTTCTTTTATGAAAAATACTTACGCAAGATGAAGAACTTCAAGATTTTCTAAAACAACTCGATTATCAACATTTTCGATAATAGATTTTCCACGATTATCAACTCGCGGTCTTGATGGTCGATAAAGAATACTTTCAATACGATTATAATTTAAACAAAGTATCTAAAATAAATTCAAAATCAACTGAAGAATATTTGATACTTCAAAATTTACCTTTAAATTAGGTAAATGAATAAGACCGGAGAAATTTGTTAATTGATTATGTTCAAGATTAACACATTTAAGTGAAATAAATTGAATATTTAATTCAACACCACGAATTGAACATTGAGGTAATTCAAGTTGTTTTATTTCTAATAAATAGAAAATCGTTTATTTTTTAATTTATAATATAGTTGAAAGATTGTTGTTACTCAAAGTCGATGTTTATACCTCTATGCCTTATATCTAAGAATAAATGTGTAACATAAATGTAGGTAATAAGGTCCCGTTCATAGAAAACCCACGATTAAGAACAACTGTTCCTGCTCATATCTCATGTGATAGGTTCGTTTGAGCTGAAGCTGGTTAAAATGATAAATACTCATTGATGATTAATGAGTACTAGGACTATCAAACAAGCTGATTGACTAGTTCGTTCACGCTGAAAGTTGTTACACATACCTATTTATCAATTAAAAAAAGAACAGATATAAGGTTTATGGAATTGACGATTAAGACACATTAGAACTCTCCAGACCTCTGTTGTATTCACAAAATTTCAGTTTTTTTAGCAAAATCTTCTTTGATGCTATTAAATTAAATCTTGGTAAAAAGTCATCTATGTACAATAAAATGTTTCTCTAAATGTCACATATTTATGATTAACAAGAACCTCTAGAACTCATTTTTCGTCGATGCTTGATGTCTCGGTTACTTTGCTTGAGAACAGATATTAGAATATTATCACGAATTAACAAATTTTTATTTCTTCTGCTCGTTATATCGTAATATGATGCGAATGTGTTAATCTTATATCGGCAACACCTAAACTCAAATTGTATCAATACCTCTATCTACATCTTCTTTGAAATAAAACGGAATGATGCTATTTGTTCGTGTGAATCTCTTTTTTTTTATTCTCTTGACATTATCCTTCAATTGTCAAGAATAGAAAGTTTTTTAAAAAGTCATTTGTTTTAATTAGCTTCTTTCAAAATTTATTCCATTTAAACAATGAATAAAATTTGAACACGAATTCTTTTGTTATGTATTTACTCGAATAATTATGATAAGCAAACTTCTAGGAATCGATTCATTTTCTTACGAACATCTATAAAAATAATTTTTACGAATATTTACCTGAAAAATTACTATTTCCTAATTTTTCTACAATAAAATCTGGTGTTAATTTTCCACCAAATGTTTCTCGAGCTTCACCACTTTCTATATAAAAACAAAACATTAAAAACTTTTTTTTTTTAAATTAATAAATAATTCAACCTTGAATTTCTACAGCAAATCCATCAAAAGCTCGTAATGCTTTTAAATGATAAATAATAAATAAACGATATTTTTCTGCTTCATGACATATTGGATTACCCCATAAATCTAATATAAGTAAATTTGATAATGTCTAAAATTCGAAAAATAAATTTTAACAAAAAAATCAAGAAACGTACATATAAAAGAAATATCTTCTTACTTTTAAATGAAAAATATCTCGAATATTTTTTATTAAATTATTTCCAGCATATAATTCAATTAATGTTGAACATCGACCCAATTTTATTAGACTATGTAATCGATTGTGATCAATTGCTAAATATGTTAATCGTATAAGATTACTTAAAATTTGTCCATCAAAATCAGTTATTTCATTTTTTGAAACATTTAAACGTCTTAAACTTGTTAAATTTTCAATACCATCAATAATTGTTAAAAAATTATTTTCTATTGATAATTCTTCTAATTTAACAAGATGTTCAAGACCCTAAAGAAAAATAAATGAATTTTTATATTTTCGAAATATTAAAAATACAAAAAAAAAACAAAAGATTTACTCGAATTTGTGTTAAACAATTATTATCAAATGATGCCCAACGTAAACAAATCATATTTGATAAATCAGGTAATTTTGTTAAATAAACATTATTTAAATATAAACTTGTTACTGTTGACATCCAATAGATATCTTTAATTTTTGGTTGATGAACACCAAGTGGATCATTAGTATACATGTCATAATATTTAGCAATAAAATGACAACGTAAATCTCGTGGACGATATAGATGAGTACGGCTGTGAAGGATAAGATTTTCCTTAAAAAAAGGGCAAACATATAAATATGTTTTAAACATTTTATTTAAAAATGTTTTTCTTTACATGAGAACATGATTCTTCTGGTTGACATTCTTGAGCTTTTTGACGTTCATGATTAGTTACTTTTATTCCATCGATTGTTATTAAATTAGGTATTAATGCAAGTGTACGAGCTCGAAAAGTTTCTAGCTAAAATGAGAACGATTATTTATTTACATTTTAGATACAAAAAAAAATTTCATTTTGTTTAAGTTTCAAATATTCACAACTTTTTTTTTTAATCTTCGTCAGTAATTATCGAGGTTTCGAATTTCAATGTACTCACACTGAGAAGCTATAGGTAGATAAGAAAAAGAAATCATGTGAGTTTTACTTCATTTTATGCATCGAAGAATAGTATAATGATCAATAGACATTTCTTTATAGTAAATATATTTAAATCTTCAGTTGATTGACGAGTCCACTAAGGGATTACTTATGAAGATGCTATTTATGATCCTGACACAGTTATATTTGAATGATGTGACATTTCAGTGTAAAGATGAAGAATAGACCATAAATGAGCTATTCGCTTTGAGCGACATAGAAACTGTATTTATTTTTAATTTGATTTTCTACAATTATGCTCCTATTTTATCTCTAGAAAGCTACTTATCATGAGTTAATTTTTGGTGAAAAATTAATCATCTCGAGGGGTGATATATGGTTCGATTGGAATCAGATCGTTTATTTTCAGGATCATGATAGGTATCCTTACTCTTGATTTTCGTATTATAATATGAAATCATTGGTTTTGAATTTTTATTCAAAATCAACCATTCTTATTGTTAGCCTTGTCAAAATAAAAGGTCATTATAAAAATTGCAGGCTTCTATCTTTAACTGTTAAAGAATTATTTGAAAACAACCATAGAACGCTTTTTAACTAGTTATTAGGTCCACTAAAATTTTCATCATGAAGATTATGTTATTATCTAAAATGAAACTCTCACCATCTTACAAAACAAAGTTATTTTCATATTTGTTTCAAACAAAACCTAAACACTTTTCAATTCTACTTAGAATCGTATAATAGGTTTATTCTTTGTTGTATTTTCATCATTATGATCTAAAACTTAATGTTCATTTTATACATATTGTTCTTACCTTATCAAATGGATTTTCACGAAGATCAAGATGAAATAAATTCGTACAATAACGTTTTAATGTTAATATATCATCCAATGATTTTTTAAGAAAATTATGTGTTGCAATAAATGTTATTAATTTTGTTAAACCTTTCATACCATCTAATGTAATTAATTTATTATAACTTAAATCAATTGATTCAAGTGCATAAAAAAAACATAATTCATCTAATTTAACTAAATCATTAAATGCTAAATTAAGTGAACGAAGATTTTTTAATTCAGATAAAATTTTTATTGATTGTAAATTACAACAAGCTAAATTAAGTTCAATTATATTGGATAAATTTGTTTCATTTACTATTTTTAAAAGTTTATCTTCAGTTAATTCACTTCTATTAATATTTAAAATAAAAAAAAAAAAGAATAAAGAATTAAAAGAAAATAAATTACGAACATTTTTGGTGGAAGTTCATCATCTTTTGATGGTAATATATAATTATCACGAGTTATTTCTTCTTGATATGTTGTAACAATTGATTCATCGACTTTTTCAACTTTTATTCGACTTAATTGATCACTGAGTGTATTATGAGAAACCTATATTGAATTTAAATTTAGATTAACGGAGTTTCTTTTTTTTTTTTGTTAACAACAACTCATTATCTTACAGAAAATAAATATTCATATTCAATAATATATTCAGCATAAGCATGTAATGGATCGAATAAGAACCATTGTTGTTGTTGAGCTCCACAATCACAATGACCTTTGTTAAAACTGATGATCAAATTAGGAATATTTACAAAACAGAAAAAAGCATTGATTTTTCTGTTGTTTTTATTTATTCATACCTGTTTTTGAAATAGCACGTTCAGGAAAAATAACATGACGAGATACACTAGCATGAGTTGAAAAATTTTTTGATGTTATACTAAATAAATATCGAAGAATTTCGCATTTAATCTATTTTGTATTAAAATTATGAAGAAATTCAGTAGAAAAATGATGGTAATAAAAAAAAAAGTTGTTAGCATAATCCTTGAGGATTTAAAAAGCAAAGCACAATATAGAAGCTGTTATTAATCACAAGAAGTTTGTTGTATTGTGGGACATATTCGTTCAGTATGGTTTTATTTAATCATCCGGAAATTCAGTAAGCAACTAGTTCATATAGTATGATAAAACTCCAGTAATATACGATCTTTGAGTGTATATCAACAGCGCCTATTACAGTCTGGCATGGGAAGAGGTACAAGTTTCTACTCTATATACTTCAATACTCCTTTTAGATCGATGTTTCACAAAACTGAAAATTGAATCGAACGTAGATTCTTAAGTTTTGCAAGACTTTGGAAAAATTTAGATTAGGTAAACTGGTGTAATCAGAATTTCAAGTACTATAAGAACTTCGAAGACCTTGGTTTTTCAAAATCCTTTTAAAAATGTTTTTAAACATTATGTGTCTTATATGGGTTGATGCTCCCAACTCTCCTGTTTTCAATATTCCTATATATATACATATATATACAAACTGTAACAAAATGATTAAGTAAACCAGAAATCACTATTAAGCGAAACTTTAATATCATTCAATGAAAAACCAACCTTGGATCTGGTGTATATTCAGGAAATGGTAATCTAAAAATAAAAAATATTTGATAAAATGTATTATTTGAAAAAAAAGTAGAAACTAACTCTTTTACTGGTGTTGTTGTCGATGAACCAATATATATTTTAGCCATGAGAACACTTCCTGTAAATAAAATTGACGATGTAAATACAAAAAGCTCAATAAAAAACCAAGTTAATTTACCAAAACGATATTTGTCTCGATGTTGAAAACCAGCTTGTTCAATTCGAAGATAATCACTTACAGCAAGTGAATTTGAAAAAGGTATAGCTTCTTCTTGACCCAAGTGCTAATAGAAAAAGTAACATTTTTAGATGTTAAGAAAAACACAAAGAAAAAGAACAAACCTTGTATATTTCTACATTTGGAAAACCATGTTCAGATATTGATTCTATAGTTGTAAATTGATACATATGATCATTTTGATTTCGACGTATTGGTGGTATACAATAGAATAAGTATTCAAGTTTTGATTGAATTGATTTTGTTCTATAAGAAAAATTCAATAAAAAAATATGTTTCTTTTGTTGTTATTATTTTCTTTAATACTTGATTGGATCATCATCTTCGTCAAGAATACAATCCAGACTATGATCAAATTGTAATTTTTTTGGTCGATTAAATAATCGTGTTATTCGATGTATTTTAATACCAGTTATATGATAACGGCTATAAATTGATGAACAAAAACGTGACAAAAGAAGATCTTTGGCTGCATTAAACCTTAAAAATAAAATTCAATTATCATCAAATTAAAAGATTTAGTTTAGTCTATTTACCAAACATCATTAACATTTCCTTCTTCAAAACGAATATTTCCACCACTAATTAATTCTAATTGAATACGTGATGCAAGTTGAGCTTTTTGTTGAAGTAAACTAGAATGAGCAGCTTCATATTGAGCAGCAAGACTAGATTATATTAACACAAAAAGAAAAAGATCATCAGTTCATTACTTCAAATACTCAATATATCAATTAAAAAAAGAAAAAGTTCTGAAATTTGAATACAAACAATAAAAACAAAACGAATAAATCTTTTGTAATTTAAAACATGCAATTAATAGAAGTCTGATTTATGGAATATTACTTGTTTAAAATATTTTGCCAAACAATTAATCGTTGTCGTAAAATTTCAATTTGTTTTTCGAATCTTTCACGTTCATTATACTAAATACAAACATAGAAGAATATCTACATTTTCAACAAAAAATAATACTTACATCACTAGCAGCAGAACGTGTATGAAAATTACGTTCTGGTAAATTTAATTCTTGTTTTAAACGTTGAAGACATTTATTTAATAAACGTATATGTTCTTCAGGTACATGTTCATTTTTCTTTCTTAATTGTCGAAGACGTACTTGAAATTCATCATATTCTCGTTCTAATGTTTTAGATTTCATATGATACCACATTTTCTTTTTGGTTACTGTAGCCTAATAAAAACAAAATAGAAATTATTAAAAACTATTATGAAAGTAGTGATTACATAAATGAAAAAAATAATTGTTTTAATACATTTTTTTTTTGTGAAAAACTATGCATAACATACTTCGGCTTGTTCAGCAACTTGTCTTGTAGTAATATGTAGACCATCAATATATTCAAGTTGTGGTAAATGATATAAAATATGAACATGATAATTCGCCATAGAAGCCACGGGATTTTTACCTCCATAAACTGGATCACTAAAAGCAATATTGCGTAATTTTGGTAGCATTGTCAAAATAGTAATGTCCTTTAATGAACAATTTTAGTGTCATTTGGAATGGGATTGTTTTTTTGAATAAAAGGCAATGCTTACTTGAAATGAACTAATTTTATTATCAGCAAGATTTAATACCTCAAGTTCAGTATTTTCAGCAAGTGATGTGCCTAAAAATTAATATTTTTTTTTATTAATTAACACAAAAAAGAATATGTACCGATAAATCTTATTTGATTTGAAGCAAGATTAAGTTCTTTCAAACGTTTTGCACCGGATAAACCCTTATATAGTCAATAAAAAAATATTACGAAAATTAGTGAAACAGAAAACGAGTACTTCAATTTTGTTAATCATATTTTCGTTAAGCCATAGATGTTCAAGTCGTTTTAATCCATTGAGATTTTCGATTACTTTTATTGCATTGGCGTACAAATATAAACGTTGAAGCTGAGTACATCCACTAAGACCTTCAATTCTCTATAAAACATAACAGTGATAATATATATATATATCTATGTCCTTCACACACATTTGTTTCATCACACTCATCAAAGCACAATTTTCATTTTATCTGAAAATTTTGCATAAATATTATATATTCTTTCGAAACATTATTTATATGCATATAAAGTTAGATCGTAAGTAGTGTGATCATGACTCCTTTCCTGTTCTGTTATATATTTTTCTACGAAAGAATAAGACGTATATATGCGTCGTCATTTTTTTTCTCTTCGATTCATGCGTTAAGATAGAATATGTCTGTAAACACATAGTAAAAACAGATGCAAAACTAAGGTATGTACATACTTGAAGCTTACATTCAGTAATCCAAAGTTCTTGTAAATTGGTACACGCATCTAAACCTTCGATACGTTCAATAGTTTGATTAACAATAATGAGTTTAAGTAGATTTGGAAATGCTTTAAGACTTATCAGACGAGGTAAACCAGAGAAAAATATTTCAAGAACTTCAATATTTGTATCTACTCCACCATGATTACGCTGAAATGCATCGTAATTAATTCCATTTGACTCACACTACGAAAATAAAATTAATTGAAAATTATTACTAAAGAAGTTGAATAAATTAAAATTGTATATTCGAAATATACATGAAAAAATCGAAAGAAATCAAACAATGATACTTGAAGCATTGTAGATCGACGAATACGAAGTTCACATACGCCTTATCATTGAAACTTATGAGATATTCTAATTCTTATTCAACAGTTATCAATAAACCATGACAAAAAAAAACTGAGAGGGAACTAGTGTTTGTACTGAAAACAGAAGAATATATTCGATGTTTTTCGTCTTTATATGTCCACATGTATAAAAAAAACAAGATATTGGGTATATTCTTTCGTTTCCATAATAAACATTAGCTTCTTCTCAATTTTTTTGTTATGTTTCATTGATAGTGATCAAATAATGATTGAAATAGCTGATAAATTTCGAAGTATATTTTTTTCAAAAAAGTCGTATATTATTTAAAATTCTATTTGATATATAAATATCGAGCACTTAAAAAAACAACGATGTTTACCAATTAAAATCGACATCAACGCAAAAATCATTGAAGAGTTCCGCAAAAAATATTGTAGTAAGACTGAATCGCATACAAATATCTTCTATCGCTTTTCTACTAAGGTAAGTTAATATTTTGAACACTTACTAATTCTTTGAATATATTTTCGTCTTCAACAGCTTTCATTTTTTTTCAAAATTAAATCGACAAGTTTTGTTTGACATACGTTTGTATTTTGTTGAGTAAATGAACTTTTTTTTTTTTATTTCTTTTTCTTTCATGATCCATCATATAAGTCTTCTCTCCTTATGTTGCCTAGTGACCTCGTTATGTTTTTCTTTTGTATCACTTATGCACTTTACTAGTGACTGGATTCTTACATTATCTCTTGAAACAATTCATTGATCATATTTGAGTTGATATTTAAATGTTTGAAAAAGCTGATAATTATTTGAAACAGGATGTATTATTATTTTGGTTCGATAATTACTATTTCCTTTCCCTCTATCGGCACGATGCCACTATTTAGCTGATAACTAAAAAGATTCAAGAAAGAGTTCAATGTAAATTTAATTAAGACTTTTAATTACAAATTTAAAAGCAAGAATTAAAATTTTGTGGTAATATTTGCATCTTTGCATTCAAGTTACACAATCAAGGTTAGTCACGTAAAGCGTTCCCGATGCATCACTCTTGACGGATAAAGAACAATTAAAATGAAACGTCTTCGTATTATTTGTATCGTTTATGTAATAATAGTGGGCGCTCAAGCATAACCCACATCTATCTATGTAATACTTTAAAAAGAAAAAAAATTATGGCGAATAATGGAGTAATAATCAAAAATGTATCTTGAATAAATAAATTTCATCTTGAATCTATAATCAATAAATAATGTCTTAATAAACTGTTGCAAAAAAAATTTACTCAAATTTACTTAGACATAATGGATCCTTCGAACAATGAAAATGATAAACCCAATTCCGCAGTTAGTAGTAGAAGTCACAGTATTATTGTTGATCGTCCAATTATAACGCAAAAATCATTTAATCAAGTATTTATTCCGACAACATATGAAGATCGAACGCCAGTTATTTTATTTCGACAAATGCGTACATATCTACGAAATAAATGTGTACCTTCAAAACAATGTGGTAAATCGTATATAAAAATACTTTTCCCGTTTCTATCATGGCTAAAAATTTATCAAATTGGTTGGTTACCACATGATATTATTTGTGGAATAACGGTATTATTTTATCTTGATCATATATTGAAATTCATTTGTTTATATTGCTAAGATTGCCATCATGCAAATTCCACAAGGAATGGGTTATGCTTTATTAGCTCGTTTACCGGCCATTACTGGTAACTGCTGTTGTTTATGAAAACGAAATTATATAAAACAAATTTTATCATTGTAGGATTGTATGCGTCATTTTTTCCGTCACTAATTTATGCTTTGTTGGGTACATCAAGACATTTATCAATGGGTTAGACACATGATCTGTTTTTTTTCATTATTAAATAGAAGAAATATTTCATTTTAGGTGGTATTGCAGTCACTAGTTTGATGACAAGCAATGTCGTCGATCGGCTCAGTTTAAAACCGACATTATCAACAATAGATCCAAGTTTATTGAATGAAAGTACAATAGAAATAACGTCAAATGATGCTTCGATTGATCCATCATATGCTATTGCTATTGCAACTACTTTAGCATTTCTGGTTGGAATTACTCAGGTAGTTTCATTAGAAAAAAAATGACCACTTAAGAATATTTCAATATTCTCCTTATTTATAGTTACTTTTATGTATATTTCATCTTGGATTTGTTGCTTCATTTCTTTCCGATTCATTTATTAGCAGTTATACAACTGGTACTGCTATACTTGTATTTACTTCTCAACTACCACATATACTTGGTTTGTCGCTTAAACGGTATGTTGGACCATTCAATATTATTTATGTAAGAATTAATTGGTTTACTTTTTTTTTTTATAATTAATTAATTAATTAATGTTTTAATAATTTAGACATATATTGAAATATTTACTAATCTTAAAAATATCAATCTTGTTACATTAATTATATCTATATGTTCAATAGTAACTCTTGTTATTGTTAAAGAATATCTTGATCCACTTTATAAAAAAAAAATTAAAAAATTAAAACTTTTTCAAACTATACAAATACCTATTCCAATCGAATTAATTATTGTATGCAAATAAAAAATAAGGTACAATCATTTCATACTTTTTTAAAAAATTTTTATAGATCATTGTCGGTACATTGGTTTCTTACATGTTTGATTTAAATGGTCGTTATCAAGTTAAAATTGTTAATACAATTGGTCGTGGGTAAATTCGACAACCAAATCTTTAGCATATAGAATATTTTTTTTTTTATCATTTATTAGTTTTCGTAAACCACAAGGTCCGGTATTAGTACTTATGCCTAGTTTAATTAAAGATGCGATTATGATTGCTATTGTTGCATTTGCTATCAGCATTTCATTAGTAAAAACTTATGCAAAAAAATTTAAATATTTTGTTGATTCTAATCAAGAATTAGCTGCTTATGGAGCATGTAATGTAAGTGATTAATATTAGAGGTAAAAAAACAAAGTGATTGACCTTTTCTTTTTATCTTAGATAATTGGCTCACTTTTTGCATCATATACAAGTGCTGCTTCTTTGTCTCGTACAAGTGTTTTTGTTAATGCTGGTGGTCGAACACAGGTATTGAACATTCTTTCTTATTATATCTATTTTTTGTTTATAATAGTTGGCTAATCTAGTCTCATGTGCTTCTCTACTGATTATTATTCTAAACATTGGACCATTATTCGAATCATTGCCTAAAGTGAGTGACTAATAATCGTTTGTATATACATAGAAACAATTGATATGATTAGTATTATTATTTTTTATTCAGGCATGTTTAGCATCAATTATTGTTATTGCAATAAAAAGTTTATTATTACAAGCAAAAGATATTTATACAATTGGTTGTGTAACAAAACTTGAAGCAGTAAACAGAAAAGAAGAAAAAAAAATTAGAATTACTTCATTTATTTAGGGTGTTTGGATTGTGACTTTTCTAAGTACTATTATACTTGATGTTGATTATGGTCTATTTTTGGGTATTATTGTATCACTTGTTGTTGTTATTCTTCGACAATTTCGGTCTGTTCTGTTTTTTCTTTCATTTTTCATATTAGATTTTATATTGTAGACCTCGTATAACAATTCTCGGTCAATATGAACGTAGCGATGTATATAAAAATGCAAAACGTTTTACAAATGTAAAAAATAAACAAAATTTTATATTTTAAATATATTTTCTTCTTCTGTTTAAGGTTCATGAAATTCCTCAAATAAAAATTTATCGTTTTGAATCACCAATTATATTTTTCAACGCAGACTATTTCCGTGAAAGTCTTTTGGATGCAGTTGGTATTGATTTAAAAACTGGTCAAAGACAAAATATTCATCCTAAACAATCACCTGATTATTATTTTAATCTTCGTAGTCTAACACATGTTATTATTGATTGTTCATCGATCAATCAACTTGATTATAGTGGTGGAAAAATTTTTCTGCAAACAATAAAAGAACTAAATGATTGTCAATTTAAAGTTTATCTATGCCATCTAAGATGTAAATAATTGATGAAAGAAAAAAACAGTAAAGAAACATTTTTTATATTTTTTTAGATTATAATTATGATGTATTGGAAAAGCTTGAAATGAATAAAATATGTTCAGTAACTGTTACGGCTACTGTTCACGATGCTGTTCATAACATTCAAGATGAATTAATGGAAAATAATGATCAAGTAAATATTAAAAAAAAAGAATTTTTTCAGTCCTATTCTCAAAAAAAAATTTTTTTAGTTACTATTAGCCAATGTAGAACTCTAATAAAAGTAATATTGCTATTATTATACTAATGTTTTGTTTGGCTTCTTTTCAACGATATTGATATTTATGTTTGATAAATAAAAGAAAACGTTAGTTATTATTTTGTTTTTATTTAGAAAAAACGGATTTACAATAGTACTTCATCAAATTTGAAAGTAAATTGAAATGAAATTCTATTTTTAATCTCTTTGTTGTTTTATTTTCAATAGAATCAAATATTGTCGATTAGATTTTAATTTTACCAAGGAAAACAAAACATTCTATTTTAATTTTGTAATTTTCATTCAAACAAATATAATAAAGGATATTGTAGATGATACTTTTACCATTGTCTAATATATTCTTTGTAGTTATTTTTTATTATGTGATAAGATTAATTTAATTTGTTTAATACAGATGTTGAGTAACCTATTGATTTTGTTTCACTTTTAACTAAAGAACCAATTAATGTACAAATTGAAAATCGCAGAACAAAAACAATAGTTTATTATGATGATTATGTTGAATGACAATGCATCAATGATATTGCTTATGTCGGAATAGTTGTAAGTTTATTTAATTGAATAGTGATTTAATGAAAAATCCACTATCATGATTGATTTAATAAAAGAAGCATCAGGAGTGGGATTCCACGCTCTAGTACAAGTTCATACAATATAGCGCAAACCTGAAGGGATCGTATGCTACGCTGTTTGATTGTTTAAAGCATTCTAGAAGATCACTCAAGACACGTGTTGGAACAGAACGAAACGTGAGTGATGATGTAGAAGTTCTGCAAGCACTCGAAGGGTACAATTCTTTGATTGAATATTTTGAGTGTGTGTTAATTTTATGAAACAAAGAAAACTTTACACAAGAGGTTCATTTTATTACAATAAATTCGAATACTTGCTCATTCTGAAAAATTATACGAATGAAATATAAATGTTTACAATCTATTCTTAGTACCAAAAAGTCCTGAGTTTGAATTCTTTATTAGTTTTCTTGACTATTTAACAAAAATCTGTCGTTAAACGATGTTCAATTACATATTAATATTACTATCTATTAGACTATTAATTTCAAATTCATCATTTCGTGTTGTTTTTCAAGTCAATCGTCAAACGAAATCTTGGTCTTACAAAAGAGCTTCATCCTGACCAAACTAGAGAACTTGAAATAGAAGTTCTTTTTATATAATTATACTCTTTATATATATCTAATCGAAATTATTCAAGTTGGATGACAATTATAGTTTTATATACAACTAATGCTCATTATTATTCATAATATCTAATCGGAGCACAAAAAACTCGTGTGATATTTCCAACAAATCATACTGAATCTTATGCAAAAACACCAAAACTTGTTATTCAAAATGGTCAAATAACAACTTTTGGTTCATATGAAAACGATGCGTTGTTTTCTCGTTATGATGAACCATTACATTATAAAACTAACAATCTACTTTTAACTGTTAATAATTCAAAACTTTGAATTTAAGTATTACATTAGTGGAATATTGCGACTGAAGAATCAGTTAATATGAATCATAATGATACTAATTTAAAAAGAATCTTTTTTTAAGATTTGGTTTTTAACGACAGTAAGATCGTTATTTATTGTTAAATCCGTCAAAGGAAATCATTTATTTAAAGACAAAGACATCATTTTTGTTCTGATAATTTATTTTCTGTTAGACATCATTACCTCAGGGATTCACGCAAAATAAAATATATCCTGTTGTACTTTTACGCTTTGAAACCTATAAAAACCTTTAGCCTCCTTTAGTCTTTTGAACCTCTTGAGCTCATTTAGTAACTTTAATCCTTTTAGATTCTTTAGCCCTTTTAGTATCTTTAGTGCCTTTAGATCTCTTTACTCCCTTCAGTATTTTTAGGGCCTTTTAATACTCTTAGTCAATCACACCATAAAATTATTGAAGAAAGTAAAGAGATTTAAAGGCACTAAAGGTACTAAACAGATAAAACAGACTAAAGATACTGAGTACACAAAAATATTCTAACAAAGCTGTCAAGTACGTCAACATGAAAATAAAATAGAATAAAATTATTTTTCGTAATCTATAGTTTTTTGAGAATGTATAACAAGTCTAGTGTGAAATCTTGTGGATGAAAATCTTTTCAAATATTTGGGACGGGTTTAGTGCGCAGTCCTTTCTAAGAAACCTTTATTGCAGTCGTCGATAAGTGGTTTGATACTAAACCTTTTTGTGAAGACTAAAAAAAGGCTCAGAGTTTGCAGTCGACGAAAAACGGCTTTTGCTTTCGTAAAACACCATCTTCCTTTAGGAGTGTACGGTCAGCACGGACGCCGTGCTCTGCATTGATATCGAGATCGGAAGCGTGACATGCACCGATGCTGACTCGAGGGCCAATACAGAAGCTGTATTCCACATTAATACCGAAATAGTAATCGGGACAAGAAGTAGTACGGATTCTACCACCTAGCCTGCAGCCATGTTTCGTATTGATACCGAAATCGGAAGCGAGACAAGAAGTAGTAAGGACTCTACGAACAGGCCAGCAGCCGTATGCCGTATTAATACCGAGATAGAAAGCGGGACAAACAGTAGTAGTGATTCTATGAGAGATACTGAAGCCATGTTCCGAATTAATACTGAGATCGGAAACCTGATGTGAATTGGTAGCGAATCTAGGACTCTGACAAAAGCTATGTCTCGTATTAATACCCAGATGGGAAGCGGAACAAGAAGTGGTTGGGACCGTATCATAAAAGCCTAAAGCCGTTTCCCATAATGATACTGAGATCGGCAATGAGCAGGAACTAGTAGGAACCCTATAAGCAAGCATGCAACTATATCCCACATTAATACTGACATGGGAAACCGAACAAGAAGTAGTAGAGACTGTACTGCAGAGGCTGAAGCCGTGTCCCATTATGATAGCAAGATTAGCGGCAGGAGGGAAACTAGTAGGGCCACTACGAGCAAGCTTGTAGTGATAACATGCACTAATACTGTGATGGGAAGCGGAACGTGAACTGGTGATGACTCTACTACTGGCACTGGAGTCGAGTTCCGCAATGATGCCAAGATGAAAAGCGAGACGAGAAGTAGTAGGAATGGTACGATTGATACAGAAGCGGCATCCCATGATGATACCGAGTTTGTAAGGAAGACAAGAAACTTATAGTGACACTGCGTCTGGGACATACGTCGTGCCTCACATTCATGCCGATGTCGGATCCCGAACTCGAATTCATATCTGAACAGAAATTGGAATTCCCTTCAGCAATGGTTATTTCTACTTACTTGCAAATGGATGCTAGAGATTTGACTGCGCTAGATGGGTAGCTTCTAGCAGAAAGCTATTGCAAGTGAAGCTTTCATATTTGTGCGTCGTTTACGTTGACTGTGATACAATAGCAAAAGAAGCCGTGATTAATCGCACATTTTTCCAACCATTTGATTCAATATGTATTGTCATCGACCAAGCTTTTGCTGCAGTGTAGGATAGAAAGACAAAAACAGCGTAGGCTTTTTGTCATACCAACAATACGCATAAAAGAATGTTTTTATCATATTATTGATGTAAACGGATGAATGCCCAAAATCCAAGGTAGCTTGCTCGTATATATTTTCAAAGTATTGCTTGGTATTATTCAAAACAAAGTTGTTACGTGACACGGTGAATCTGGTTGTGGATGAAGAAAATTTTGGACGAATACAGCGAGTAAATGTAAGTTTTTCGAAAATGTTGTCTCTTCATGAGGTCTTTATGAGAACGAATATCGAGCAGATTTCTTTCTGTGCTATAATAGAACTCCTGACCTTTTGCAGTATTACTTTCGTACTATAACGATTGTTTTACTCTAGAGAAAAACATTCCTAGCGTTTCTATAAAAGAAGCATCATAGATTAGGTACTATAAAGTCATTCTCCTCAAAATTCATCTATAACAAAGACTATCAACACAGTTTCTGAGTGCTAACATAGAAATATAACCATTCAGTGTTGTATCATTCTACCATTTAAAAAAGATTTAAACTCGCTGAGAAAAGTGTACGATGCCGTGTTTAAAAAGTGCTCTAGAAAACTTTCGTCTAAATGTTTCTCTAAAAATGAGTATCTGATCAACTATGTGCTGAAAAAATGTCTTCCGAGCGATGTGTTAATAGCTTAATATTTATTTTTTGTAAGTTTTTGTTACAGTGCAATAGTGCTTGAGAATTATTTCAGAATGTGAGTACAGAAACTCTAGGTGATAGTCTTAAGTAATACAAATATTCCTGTAATGGCTATTATCTGTGAACTGTCGATTCTATTTTCAGTCGGTGCGAACGTTTGACTCTTCGAAAGTGGCAGACTAAGTTTTTCCATTGAATACAAATCAAATAGATAGTTTTCGATTTTTGAAGACCAGTACTTTTTTAAATTTCGTGGCAGCTTCTTATCTGATCAAGAAAGACGCTTGAAATGTTTTTTCTTCCCCAGATACCATTGCGTTGTCTGTGAGTTTGCTGTTTCTACCAACAAGTAGGCGCAGTGTCTATGAGTTAGACGAGAACAAGAAAAAAAAGCAGTCACAGAGCACACTAATTGGAGAGAGTTCTTTTGTTTAGAAGTTGTCTGATTCTTCTTACGTCAGATGAAGTGATCTTTTCATATCACTTCCTATCCATAATCCAAACGATGCTTGATAGTTCCTTGACAGTTATAATTAATGACTAAATTCGTACAGTAACGCTAAACGGTCCCAAAAGATCTAGTCGAATAATTCGAAGCAGACATTATCTATCATGTTTATGAGAAAAAATGGTTTAATATCAATCACTTTTTTGTTTAATTTATCAAAGAAAAGAAGAAACCCATGGAAATTCTGACGATTGTCTTGATGGCCATGTCTGTCATGGTAATAGAAGGAGCCACGGTATCGCGGACGTTGATCATCGACACAATAACTCCATACTCTAGATCAAGAAAGCCGATTATAGCAGTGAACTATCAATTTCCTGGTCCATTAATCGAAGTAAACGAAGGCGATACTCTCACATTTCGTGTAATCAACAAGCTTGCACAACCGACTACCATTCATTGGCATGGAATTTCTCAAAGGGGTACACCGGATATGGATGGTGCTGTGGGTGCCACACAATGTCCAATTCCTCCTAACACTGAAATGACATACAAATTCAAAGCTTCGCCTGCAGGTACTTCATGGTATCATGGTCACTTTCTGGATCAATATGCAGATAGTCTTTTTGGTCCATTGATTATTCATTGACGAGTAGAGCCGAATAAAGAACACTATGATACTGAGCGTATACTGATGGTATCTGATAGGTATAATGATGTTGCACGAACAAAGTTATCACGTTGGTATCTGAGCACAAACAATCCAGAAGGCATTGAGCCCATACCTGACGCTATTGTGGTGAATGGCAAGTTTTCTCAGTCGTTGTTCGTGAAAGCCAACGGTGCAAAACGTATTCGTTTTAGAATAATCAATGCTGCCGCATTTTCTATGTATAGTTTTTCAATCGATGGATTACCATTACATATTATTGAACTTGATCAGACACCGGTTAAACCATACACAGTATCTTCCTTTGTTATCAACGTTGCTCAACGGGTTTCTTGCTATGTGAATTTGAATGAATTTGACCAAAGCCTTGTACCTGCTGAAGTGCCACAGACAAAATCAATTTACATTCGATTTAGAGCGATGGCAGACATGTACCCAGTTGATATTAGAAGCTATATCGCTCCATATGCAACTCCACGTTATCCGTATCCCATATTTCTCAACCCATTATATCTGGCTGTTTTATCATTCGATTCAAGTAATTCATTGCCTACATATCCAGTCCATCAAGAAAGAACCGAATCGAGTGGTACAGATTCAGATCCCGAAGATACTAATATCTTAGATGCTCGACCATTCTATCGCGCAAATAATCGAATACCCGATGCAACGCATTTTCTGAAACTTGTTATCACATTCGGCCCGGATTCCAAGAACATCAATCGTGCATATTTTAACGGTGTTTCGTATGGCTCTGCTTCGAATCATGGTAGCCATCAAGTGAGTAATACGAAATTCGTCACATCGAACAAAATACCATTACTTCATCAGATGGCAATGAGACCTAACAATCTTGGCATTCCATCTCCAATCATGACGAATGCAAGTCGATTGCCAGTTATACAAAGTGATCGAAATGGACACTACTTATTTCCATTTGGAGCCGTCGTCGATATTCTTTTGCAGAACACAGATGAGGGTGAGCATCCATTTCATTCTCATGGTTATAACTTTTGGATCATATCAACTTCGGAAAATCCTCAAGCGGAAAACTTATATCGTGGAGCATATCTACAACGAGATGTGGTGAGCGTGCCAGCTAATGGCTGGGTCAAAATACGACTTTTAGCCAATAATCCGGGTGCTTGGCTCTTCCATTGTCACATTGAATGGCATATGGATGCGGGACTAGCTGCAGCTTTTATAGTTGGTCCCAACGCATTGCTAGCACAAGGCTATAAAATTAATCCTGCGCACAAGCATATCTGCTCAAAATAGTGATGATTCAATTCGTTCAAGCCAATATAATGACTGATCACATACATTGCCCATTCTACTCATTAACTGAGACTCCTTTCTTAATCATTGTCGATAAAATCATATGCTTAAATTCCTAGCGATTGTTTTCTTGACTTAATTTTAGATTTTTAAAATCCAAATTCCATGTCACAAGCATCAAGATCTTTCCAAGGAGTTTTTCGACTTCTTGTTGTTATAATGTGATTAATTTGGTTCTTCTTTCTTTTTTTTTATTCTCAACTATTTTCATTAATAAAATAAACTGACTTAATTTGATGAAAGATCTAGATTTAATGCGTCTTGGTGAAGAATGATCATCAGTTTGCTTTGCCTGTATACTGTATTTGTTCAAAATGATTTGGAAAAATCACAAACGCAATACATATAGCCTTGCAGACTTCCATAAAAGGTTTCGAAAAACTTGATGAAGACGATGATAGATATCTGATGTAGATGGTGTAAGTCTCAGATGCTAAGACTCATATTTCACGTATAGAAGATAAGACAAAAAATTCGAAACATCTCACGACGTTTTGTCCTTGCTTAAGAGATTCATCTAGCATTTTTAAAATTTATTATTACTTGAACAGTTAACAATATAAATATACAGAACTGTTATTTCAAAACTTCATCGGACAGATGAATTTTTATGTACTATCAACGTTGAAATGTTTACTTTAAAGCCAGCCAAGTAGAGGAATACAATGCATATGTAAGAGTACATCAAATTGTCATATACTATATTATTCTATTCTAATTTTTGGTTTCCTTGTGGATCAATATTGTTTATCACATTAATGTATTTGATTACTTTAAAAAATAAAATTCTCGACGATGAAAAATAAGAGGAAGAATTTAATGTTATTGTAACTAAACGAATGACTTTTTTTGGTTGAAAAATTATTTTTTGTTGAATTTTCCAAAAATGTTGAAATATTTTTCTCTTATATTATAATATAAGATTCTAGTCTTAAGAAGAACATCACCTTAAGACTCTCATAACGATAAAAATGATCAATATTGATTCGTATCATTCATATATTTTATTTAGATAAGGGCAGGAGTGATACTATATGTATATAGTACAAGAGGGTACACAAACATTTATGAACACGAATGCAAAATTTCCACTGATTTATAGACAATAAAAAAATATATTTACGTAGAACTAGTTCATAGTCAACACTTATCATATTGAAACTTTGAAAGAACAATTGGGGTTATGTTGTTAAAGTTAAACAAACAAAATAATTGCTGAACTACAAACAAAATTTGATCAAAGAAATTCTTGATTATAAATTATTAAAATAGAAAAAAGAAATGCGTGAAAATTTTACATCTATCACAAAAGAGAAAAAAATATAATGATATTAGTTCATGCATATAGTATTTGATTTATACGAGTACGATTATCAGTAATATCGTTTAACAATCGTTCATGTTCTTGTTCAAGCTCCAGAAGTGTACGTGAACGTCTATAGAAATAATATCAAATATCATTGATCTGAAAAGAAAAAACCAATCAACAAAATTACTTTGTTCCTCTAGACGTTGATGTTATATGAATTTCGTTTGTTTGTTCTGTTGATATTGAAGTAGATGAGTTTGAAGAATTCTTAATTATGCAAGAAATCATATAACCAAAAAAAAAGGGAGAGTTAAACATGAAACCTACCATGCTTTCTGTTGTTGTAGATATTTCTGTAGGTAAAAAAAATCCCACTGTTTTTCTAGAAAACAAAAACAAAAATATTATATTCAAGAATCAAAATAAAAAGCAAATAATCAGTTAATGCAAAGCTCAATAAAAAATACTAAAAACCGTTCGCCCGTGCTTATAAAAATATCTGACCTGAACATGCTCTCAATCACATTAAATATTTGTCGAAAAATTGAATGATTACTGAATAGAGATGAATATTCAAAAATCTTATGAATAAAGTTTTGTTTTTGTTCGAAACTTTATTACTATAGTTTCTTTTTATTTACCTTGATAAATTATTTTGTTTGTTATTTATCAATTCAGTTAATTTTATTCCATTATTTCCTTCAATTTTAATCAATTGATGAAGTTTTCTTAAATTAAATAAAGAAATTTTACTATTTGATAATATTTTCATATCTACTCGCGATTTTTTTCAGCAAGGTCTCTATATTGTTCATGTAAACGTGCAACTTCATCATTTATCTTTCCATCAAGACTATTAATTGATAATGAACGTGGATGGAATCCTTTAGTTAATAAATCATTATTTGGTGTCAATGGTGTCATATTACTGACAGCAGGAATAAAATCTATATAGTTAAAAAAGAAAAGAAAAAAACTAATCAAGGTGAAATTTATTAAGAGGAAAAACCTGGTCGAATAAGACCAACAAGATGCTCGGCTACACGACGCATAATATTATCAAGTGCAAATAAAACATGTGGAGCTTGAAGATTTCTTGATGACAGAACATTATTTGCCTAAGCGAAAATTTAATTTAAATATGTTTTTCTTTTTCTATAATCAAATAATCAATCATACAGCTTTGATAAAAAAATAAAATGATCGTTCAAGATCAATACGTAAAGCACTGTCCATATTTGTTCTATCACAAATTTGATCTAAATAGTTTATGTCAATAAAATAAACCTTACAGAAAACAAAAATTTGTTTTACCTAATGCATTTTCTAATGAACCTACATTTCCTTGATCCAAATAATCACAAATACCATCTAATAAAATTGAGAGTTTTTTCTAAATATATAGAAAACTTTCAAAAATTCATAAATAATAATATATTAAATTTAATTACAGTAGTTAATTGTTCAGTTTCACTTTTTTCTTCTATCAAACTCATCCATTGATTAACGAGCTAATTAAGAAGAGAGTTTAAATTTTTAGTTATTCATTTATATTAATTCTTACATAAGCTCGGCTTTCTTCATCACGTAAAAAATTTGCTAATTCGCTTCGACGACGATCGTCAATTGATATTTGATCTGTTAGAATACGAGCTGGTCTTAAAAAAATGCAGTAAATCGATTTTAATAAAAAAAAAAAAACGAATTTATTAATGCATACTCAAAAAACATGCCGTCCTCGTCAATTGAACTTTGTCTTGACGAAGATGAAGGATCTGATACAACAATAGGAGCTTGAAAAAAATATATCAAATATTTACTTCATTTATATGAAATCCTTTAAAAAAAAGAAAATATTTACCAGTGCTTGATTCTCGTGTTAATCCAGCTTTTCCTCTAAATAGAGAAAAACCGTGTAGAATTATCAAACGAAAAATAATGCAATTGTCTTTCTTACAAATAAAAACAGTTTAGCATAGGTTTATGACAGTTTTATACCGACTAATTGAGTATGTATAAAACATTCAACGCTTTTAATATGAACTAGAATTTCTAAAAATTTGATTTCATCCTTTTATAGCTATTTGTGACAGTCTCATTTCAACTTACATGATCTAAAGTGGAGGTCTCATTAACTAATCGGTAGGTTAAATGGGTTATTTTATAGATCAGTTCACATAAAAGGAGCCGTTCATCCGACTTACTTAGATAAAACAGTTAGTTAATTGGTCCTCTTATAGAAAAAAGAGTTGATCATCAACAGTTTGATTCAACTCTTAAGAATCATTCACTTATGATTTATCGCAAACCTAGTTTAGCAACAACTTTTCGATTGTGTACGAGAGAAAAATCGCCGAAACTTCAGTTGTGAAGTCTACTATTTTTCTTCGGGTTGTGTACTATATAAAAAAAATTAATCATGGTTTATCCTGTGGAAAAGTTTTCTTCATAATTAACAATGATGTCATATTAACTAGAAAAAAGCTTTGCTAAGACCTTGGTGATATTTACTGTGGTAAAGAATCAAACTTTCCCTGCATATGGTGTGTTAGTCTAGTGTCATGAGTCATATTGAGATGATGTAGTCAGAACAAAAAATTTTCTGAATCAAACCTGAAGATTATAGTTAGTTGCCCGATATGCTTAACAGAATTATCTAATAAATCATACGAATAAAAATATAACTCACGAAAGATGACAAAAAACATACTAGTTCATCTACAAAGTGAATCTGAAAAACGAGTCTTTTTTTTTTGAAAGATTTGATACCGACGAATTCTAGGATAATTTTTTCTAGATCAGAATCATCTGAAAAAGTTAACGGTTTCGATTCATGACTAAGACTTTATAAAACCTTGGTGGTGCACATGTCTAACTGTGACTATAGAACAGACATGAAGTTGAATTATCATCAGATGTTTTGATTTCAATATTTATTAATATTCATGCTACATTTGAGAAAGATCTAACCTTCTATAATGTATCTTGATTGACCAAGAGTAATAAAACTATTTTCTTATTATGCTTTGAGTTGAATATTGTACAAATTTATTCAAATGATCTCAGATTAATAATAATCAAAATAGAAAATGAATTTTTCTGTTTTATTAGTGCACAATATGAGTTGTACATTCAATAAAATAAAAGTTTTAGCACATGACAATTTGTTTGATCTTCTCAATAGATCACTTATGAATTTTATTCTCAAATTAATAATCAAAGTCAATTAATTTTTAATCAATCTAAATAACGCTGTCTTTTTTTCTCTTATATTTTTTAATATTATTATTCAACAAGATAGATTTTGCTTTTTATTGCTTCAAAAGCAAACCAAAAGAGAATATTTTCAACATTCTATTTATAGAAAATAAGAATTTTTTTATACGAATATGTATTTAAATGTTCCTCAGTATGCAGATATACCATCAATAAAACTCACTTAAATGTTCATCGACAAAAAAACTGAGTTTACAAGCATATAACGAAAAAACTCAAAACCAAAACACCATCTAGGACAAGGTCAAGTCATTTTTTCGAAAGATTTTCTGTTGATAGATTTATTTCCAAGTATTTTACTTATCATTTTTTCTTATCAAATAATCATCAAAGCACTCAAGTTATCATAGTTCATGAGTCAAGAGTTTCGAGTCACTTATAGACATAGTGTAAAGTACAAATAAGAAGTTTCTTTTTTGGTATATACTCTGTCTTTTTTTTTACTTTCTTTTTTTTTTTTCTTTTATTATTTTAACATCTATATTTAAAAGTAAAGAACTTACTTGCAAAATGGATGATTTAATAAATCTTTAGCTGATAGACGTCTATCCGCTGGTTCAAAGCATCTAAACACATACACAAATAAAAACAAACGACGATGAATATTAATGATGAAAATTAATATATCCCCCTGGTCAAAATAAACTAAACACCTTATTTTGATGCTTTTCTCCTCTTTACAATTATCGTTGAGCCTCAATTTTATAAAACAGATACATCTTTGATTACTTAACTTTTTCCGAAAATGATAGCCTTATAGGATAAGAATCCGTGGAGAAAAGTATAATTATATTTCATGTACTCATGTAGCCGTGAAACAAAAATCTGTTGTTTTCTTATTGAATTATGGTTTTTTTCTCTGTTCTGTAACATCAACTTTTGGCGCATACATTAGCTTTTTCTGGTTTCATTCTCACTATTACAAGCTTTTTTTGGATAAATCTCTTCATAAAACGCTTTGAAAAAGTGCGAAGAAGCGGATGTGTTCATCAAAGGCTATTGTTATTGGAAAGAGAAAAAAGGCAAAATTCTGCAAGAAAACAACAGATTTTCGTTTCATTGCTGCAGGAGTACATCAGATATAATTACGTTTTCTTCAACGGATTCTCATCCTATAAGGTTGTAATTTTCAGAAAAAGTCAAGTAATCAAAGATATATCTGTGATATAAGAATGAAGCTCAACGACAATTGTAAAGAGGAGAAAAATATCAAAACAAGGTGTTTAGTTTATTTTGATCAGGGGGATATATATGCATATATATATATCAAGATGGGCCATAAGTAATAGACCAAATAATTTTTTCGATTTTTTTCTTTGTACATATTTAGTTATATTTCATATTTTTATCACATACACTAAGTAGATGATATAATCATTCAAAGATGCAGGAAATGATCAGTATCTAGGTATAGTAATTTGTTCAAAAACGTACAAATACAGAGCAGCTAAAAGTAACGAAACAAGTTTGAATTCTAACAAAATGTTTTTTTTTCAAGCAACAGAACTAGAAAATGACACACGCAATAATAGGTATTGGTGAAGTATTCTTAATAGTGAAAATTTTCACAAAAATTGTTCAATGTGTCACCTTCTAAGTCTTTATAGAGTTGCAATCGCTCAGGTACTGATTAGTACGCTCGTACACATGATTGCACTGGCAATGTTCGTGTTTTTGTAATAATAGTATCCTTGAGAGTTTGAATTTCATGAGGTTTTGTCGCATACACGCGATCTTTGATTGTATCCAGTGTTTTATCCAGGATTTTTTTCCGGAGGGGCGATTTGGAATTTCGGGGGGGGGCGAAAAATTATTTTCGGTGGGGCAAGCCACGTGTTCATAGCACGATGATCACAAGTTTCGGGGGGGCGAACTCGATTTTCGGGAGGGCGCGGCCCCACCCCCCCTCCGAGCACCCCTCTGGATAAAACACTGATTGTATCCCATGTACAGAACTCGGTCAAAGTTAAATGCCGAGATCATGTTGGCCAGTCAATTGGTCCACACCGACCGATTTATTAATTAGGAAACTTTTTATCCAAATGTCCAACGGATTTAGTGTAATGAGCTGGAGCTTTATCATGCATATAAAATGTTTGTGCTAAATTCATCCGATATTCAACACCAAGAACAATTTCTTTTTTAACTTTTCAATGTAGCTGTGTGCAGTCAAAGTACTTTTGTTGTAGTTGGTCAGATTCCACCACTAGTACATATGTAAACACTAGTAGAGAAGACAAAATAATATATTTCATCATACCAAAACATCCTGTATGTGTATACTTTTGAACAAATTATTACACCTAGATACTGATCAAATCCTACATTTTTGAATTATATTACCTAGTATATGCAGTGCAATATGAAATCTAACTGAATATGTACAAATAAAAACTAAAAAAAATTATTTGTTCTGTAACTTTTGGTCTACCTTGTTTATTTCTTACTTACTTGGCTAGAAAATCTTTAGCTGTATCAGATAGTTCAGAAGGAATATCAGGTGGTTGTTTTTCATTGGCATGTTTATATAACATTGCATAATTATTTCTTATATTATGATATGGTTCTTTACCAGTTTTCATTTCAATAACTGTACATCCAACACTCCAAATATCAACCTAAAATCATGTGGGACAAAAAAACACAAATCAAATAATTATATTCTTTTATTTTAATTATATACTTCTGGTCCATAACCCATCAGAGGTACAACAACAACATCAGGAGACATATATTGAGGAGTTCCTAAATGGATAAGTTTTGTTTAATTTTTATATTTTTCTTTATAAACATATTATCTTACCAACAATATCTTCTGTACAAAGATGAAGACCAGCAAGACGTTTTGATGTACCAAAATCAGCAATTTTGATTTCACTTTATAAAATATAGAATAGAATTGTATTTAATTAAAAGTACACCTCTCTCTTTTTTTTGGTCATTTCTGATTCTCGAAAAAAATGCAACCGATTCACGTCAATTATATATCACAGATGGAGCACTTAAAATTAGGAAATAGGTATTCGAGAGTAAAAGTTTTAAATAAAGTTTTCACGATTTTTCGAGAGACTACTTTTCCATAGGAGTACATCTAGCCTGTTTACAATCCTCGTCTAACGTTGTTCGATCGAGCTGAATTTTTTTTTTTTTTGAGAAACCTTAGACTATATTTCAGAGATAATCACTATAAACTTTTTCAAAAATTCCACTTTCTTTATTTTATGAAATAAATACGCAAACGCTCAGGATGCAAAACGATAGTGCCAGTGTTCAGAGCTCTATACATTTGGATGGGAAGTTATAAAACGAAAATGCTCGATTTATTCGATGGAAAATACTTCTAAGTATCTGTATGGTCGAGAATTTAGTCCATTCAGACAAAACTAGAGGTGGATCGTAAGCAGGTCAGCTGAAATCCTACGAAAAACTAGAGTTTTCCGAAAAATTATAAAAACTTTGTTAAAATTTTTCCTCGAACACATTTCTCTTTATTTTAAGTACTCTATCTGTAGTAAGAATTTTATATAGATCGATTTTACTCTTTTCAAGAACCAGTAATAAGCCAAAACAAAAAGGTGGTAGGTTCGCTCAAACTATTTTGATTACCCTGCTGAATTAATAAGAATGTTGGCTGATTTAATATCTCGATGTAAAATATGATTTTCATGTAAATATTGTAGACCTTCAAGAATTTGTCGAGTATACATGCTAATAGATTCTTCAGAAAATTGTCCATATTTCGAAAGAAGTTTCGAAAGACTACCACTAAAATAAAAAAAAGACAATTAATCTATTTTATTATAAGAAAAATAATTGTGATTTTTGTTTTGTTCTAACCCATCAACATATTCCATAATAATTTGAAAGATTGGAGGTTTTTTTCTTGAATCAATAGCTGTACCATAATATCTAACAACTAGAAAAATGATAAATAGATAAATTTGTATTTATATATAGAAAAATAACGAACTATTTTTATGTTTCAGTGTTGCTAATATTTTAACTTCATTTTCAACAATTTCTGTATAAGATGGATCACGCATTGGAATTTCTTTGACAGCAAATTTCTTTCCTTGTGTACGGTCTTGTGCTACATAAACTTTTCCATATCTACCTTGACCGAGTGCAATACGTTGACCATGTTGATCACAATCAAATGCAAGCTAAAATTAAAAAATTGAAATATTTTGGCTTAAGTTAATCATCAATTAACATGATTAAAACCTGTTTTCTTTTAAGATAATATGCAATCTTCATCAGCTGAAGATGTTGCATCTATCGAATAGTCAAAAACTAAATTCAAATATCTTAGACTAACCTATATGTTAAAAGCCTTGATACAAAATTTCTGTTCGATTTTTGTCTACTTATAAGTTGCAGGAGAGAATCCAAAGTGATCAGCTCGAATGCGCATTTCATGCTCTTTCTAGACGTATGCAGAATTTTTTTTTGAGCTTGAAATTAATTCATTAACAGAAAATCTTTGACGAAGACTAAAGACGACGTTTGGGTAGAATATTTCATGCAGTCCATTTTTGTATTTTGAATAAAACTGCCTCAATTAAAATTACATAAAAGCCTTTTTATATACGAGTTTGCAGAACGAAGCTTGCTCCAAAAAAATATTCAATTTGCTTTGCTTCTAACATATCGTTGAGAACCATCAGAATCTGTTGCATTTTAAATACCGGAATTTGCAACAACCATATACTTTGAAGAATGTCACTTTTTGTAGAGTAACATTTCGAAATTTTTTTTGTAACTTTTGATTCTTTCGAGTTTTAGCTTATTGCAACCCATGATATTGTAGGATGTTTATGTCTCTACAAGAATACGAAATGGACATTATCGCAAAATACCCTTTCGATAGATTACGAATAGGAAAAAAGAGTCCGGTTTATCTGTTTTAAACAACGGTATTGTTTATTTATTCAGGTATTTGCTCGTTCTTTCGATTTTCTTCAACTACGTTTAACTGTTCGAAAAATCAGCAAACATTATTTTTCAAGATCTTTGAAATTAGTGATTTGTACAGCCATCGTTTTTAGTTACCGTCGAATATTTGCTCTGAATGAATCAACTACAAGCTAGAAATCCATTCTGAATCGATGTTTAGAAAGAGAATGAAGTTCTTTCCTGCAATCTATCCGTCGGCGAAAATCGAACAGAAATTCTGTATCAAGACATTTTGCACATAGGTTAGATGAAAGTCTATGATGGCTTGACTATAGGAGGTTTTCAGAAACTCTTGCAATATCTTGAATATCTTCGTTCTTCTTTAAAAGAAAAGATAACTCTGCTACATCATAATTGAGCACCGGACAAGACTGCTATAAGATCTTTCCATACGGAGCAGAATATACCTTAAATTTTTTTGCCTATCCTGCTGATCAGTAAGACGGGACTCAGCAAGTTGTCTCATACTCTTATCTGCTATGCAGTGACACAATAGTGAATAAATGAACTATTGATTAAAAGTTGAGAGTAGTTCGATTGAGTCCTATTCTATCAGTCATCTTCAACATTTAGACGAGTGTACAAGTAAATCAGAGAATGATAATAATGATTACAATTTCAATGACAACTATTGTGCTAAGTCATTTGATATATGAGCTAAGGAACGTAGTATGTGTAAACCAATTATTGATCGATTGATAATTTTAAAAAGAACTCAACAAAAAAATCCCAGTTGTCGTCAAGTACAGCTAAGTTTTCTTTATTTCATATTAACTAGTTCCACGAGTAGATCGTCTTTTCATTATCTTGAAATGAATTATTATTTTGAAAATAGAGTGAAATAAATAGACGGAAAGATGACTGATAATCTGATATTTATTTTGCGAGATAGACTAAGAAAACAAGAACATTGCCAATCTTACACAAGATCTTTTCTTGCCGTACAGATCACAGTGTTCTATACACATCTCTATTCTAAATATATCACTGAATGCAAAATACTCGTAAATTTTTTTTATAAAATGAACTCCTTCAAATTTTCGATGAGTTTACTTTCTAACAAGGAAGCCTTGACGACTTGAAAATTGCATTGGAGCTTTGTCTTTATACATAGATTACACATCTATGAAGTCATTATAGCCTAAAAACGATAAGGGCCTATAAGTCTTTGGCATACAGTCATATTCATTTTATTAAAATTTTAGTCTATAGCACGGCATCAGAGACGAGAACAGGACAGGACAATGTCGCTGTCCTGGTGTCCTGCCCTGCCCTGTCCTGCAGAACAAGATTAGAATTTTTGTCCTGTCCTGTGAACGGCAGGACAGGGCAGACAACTTCGTCCTGCATTTTTATATGTAGTTTTTGGTTGAATTTTTAAAAAATTTTGCTTAAATATTATACTACTTGTGATAATTATTATATTTAGTATTACATATAGGTGTCACTATAATACTGATCAACTTTGTATCACATTGGTCAACAGAAACGTTAAATCATAAATGAACATATTAAACGAACTTGATCGTTAGAGCGAGACAAATACAAGCTATCCTAAAACCACTGAACTTTTGGAGGGAGCAACACGAAAATTTTCCACGATTATATCATCTAGCTCGCTCGATCTTTTCAATTCTTGCCACTTCGGGAGGCGTGGAAGGAGCATTTTCTGGAGCAACATTAGTTATAAAAGAACGCAGAACATATTTAAATCCTGAGCAATTGGATAACATTCTTTTGGTAAGATCAATACGAAAGTATAATCACCTTTTCGCAATGATGTTTTTCTTTTTGTACGTTGATTTTTTTTGTCGTGAATACGTAAATTATTCATTAAACGTGGATCAATCTTTTTTTGGTTAAGTATTCCGTAAGTAGATGTTCCACTAGTAATATTAAAGCTGATGTTCCTCCTCACAAAAAGTGTTGCACTCTGTTATGTCAATTTAACAGAGTGGAACACCAGCTTAAGGAATACCATATTTTTTTGGGTGATGAACATGTTACTAAAGAACTAGCATGGCGTGTTCGTTTTTGTATTTATTCAGTTAAATATTGTTCAAAAAGAGAACCGACGGTTATAAAATAATGGATTAAATTAATTAGAAGATGACAGAAATATATGATATCTAATGTACTAAACAGAAAATTAAAGATCTCATATTTGTCCTGCTTCTTGGCCTGTCCTGTTCTCGTCTCTGCACGGCATGTACAATAGAATCCAGTGACGATATTTTGACCTAAAGTTTTATTTGACTAGAATGTCCGAAACATTCTAGCTCAAAGGAATGTTTCTTTCATGAAATATTCAAGCTCCAAAAATCATGCTTATTTCACAAAATATTCAAGAGTCTCCAGTCTTCTGCAAATCCAATATCTTCCAAAGAAAGCATTGTTTTGAGCTGAAATTTGGAGAACATTTTATTAACAAGCAATTATATTTATGAACAAGGTTTCAGGTAAAAATATCCTCATTCGGTTTTTCTGTATGCTCCGTGCTATAGGCTAAAATTTCAGTAAAAACAGCTATGTCTCTGTATGACAAGCCACGAAATTCTTATTCTTTTTGGAGTTTTTATTATCTGTTCGGCCTCTACCTTATGGGCGAGCAAAGTCTAAGCTCAAAATCAATTTTCAACTTAAAATGGTTTCTTTGTAAGGTTAATCTTCAACATAAAATAATTGTGTAGAGTTCACTCAAAATTGAATTATCTATTGATACTATGTATGTATAGATTCCATGCATTAGGCATCAATGGATAAACAATTTTAAAAAATTACAAGAATATTAAAGATATTCTGAAATATAAACGGCTTATCAAAAACACTGAGCATTGAAAATGATACCAAAAAATTATTTTTTTTTATAGTTTCTTATAAATATTCGACAACATGCGTTATGATTTTATTCATTACGTTGTTTATTACTTACATCAAATTCTAATTTAGCTTCCTCAACATTCGTTTCACTACGATATTTGGACATTTTTTCATTGAACCTATATAAAAAGAAGTGAAGTCAAAAAATGCGAATTTATAGTTTTCAAATAGATAAACCTACGCTGTACGTCGTTCAGCTGATGGAAAATAAATTTGAAATTCAACAGATGAAAATTTTTCAGAATTTTCATATGCATATAAAAAAATAGATCGATTATCACGTTTAACGTTTCTGAAAATTAAGAACAAGAGAGGAAAAAAAGTATATTTCAAATTAGTCTTTTTTTTTTAATATAAAATCATACATAATAGATCGAATTGAATTCATATAAATTGTTTTAACAAGATCACCTTTACGTATTTGTTTTTGTTGTTCAATTATACGTATAACAAGTGTTTCAGGTTCTTGACCCGTATGAAAATTTAATTGTAAATGTGCTTCAACATAAAAATTATTTACTGGTGCTCCATCAGTTTTCTCATAAGTATCACAAACAAGAACCTATATTAACAAAAGTCTTTTCTTTATTATAAAAAAAAAGAAAAAAAATGTTTTTTCTTTTTTTTTTTTAGTATTTGCAAAACATACTGGTACTTGAGCTGGTAATTCTCTTTCTTCAGATGATGTTGAATTAGAATTTATAGCGTCACTAAAAAAATCTATCCAAAAACTGTATATTTGTTCATCAGCAGTTATTATTGGTGATTGACCACGTGATAATTGTTCTTGATCACGTAGGCGTGTTGCTTGATGAAGAATTTTTAAATTATTTATTGTAGATTTTAAATACCATATTGGAGGATTAAGTAAATACATATGTAATGCTGCTTGACATGCTTTCGACCAATCATGTAGAACAGCATGTAATTCAAAATACGTAGCTACATTCCAATAATCATTTAAATCTTTTAGAGAATGTCCTTTTTTACCAAGCAATGTATTTAGTTGAATAACTAAAGAAAAAACATCACAGTATTATTTTTGAAAGAAATGAATTCATTTTCATCTAGAGTAATTTTATTTGTAAATATTTGAAATAAGAACTGATGAATAATGAATGAATGCTTTGTTATCTTGGAAAAATAATGCAGCTAATTGCATTCTTCTCTATATCGTTGAAAGTTCAAAGTATAATAATTGGTCTCATACGATACAAAACGAATGGAGTTTTATTCAAATTTGTTTGAATATGCTCCACACTCGTTTCGAAAGCGATAAAGATTGATTGAAAAATTTTTGTGAGTGATGAAGGAAGGTCCCCAAGTGTGACTCGGCCATGATACTGATATTTTGCTCATCATAAATAACTGCTGATGAGACTTGAAGAAATCTGTTAATGTTCGTCTTCATATGCTGTCCTTCTAAAACTATTAAAATGTTACTGATTTTTTTTACTTCTGAGAAAATATTTGTGAAAAATCGAATTACGAAAATTTCAACCTGGTATTTTGCCTATAGGTGAGTCACGTGCACCCTAGAATGACCTGAAAACTTCAGTCTTGTGCGATATGTTCTTCTTGAAGTATCGAATGTTGAAAACACTGGATTTTCTTATGTTATCTAGTGACACACGATTGTTTTTAGATATTCAATATCTCAAGAGGAACACATCCTACTAGACTGAAACTTTCAAACTAGTCTAAAACCCACATGACTAGTGCTCGGCGTGACCGTCATGACTACCAGTGAGTCACGATCACGACCGTGATCATGCGTGACTTTTTTCAAAGATCGTGACCGTGACTGAAGCTTGGTCACGGTCAGTCACAGGAAGTTTTTCGAAATTTTGGAAACCCCTGAGGGAGAGTAGGAGAAGGAATGCAACAAATCTTGACATGTATTTGGATTTGGCATCAAACCTTTTGGATTTAGATTTGGACTTGTATGCAATGTTTGAGTTTGGGTTTGGATTTGTAGTCTGGATTTCGGCATAGGTTTGGACTTGGTTTGGATTTAGTCATCCTTGGCCCAAATTCCAAAGAATTTGGTAAGATATGGTGTCATTAACAGCAGTCTACTGTACTAGGGGTGGAAGAGAATCAGAAAAAGATTTTGGCATCTGGAATCAAATCATAATCCAAACACAAACGGTTTGAAACCAAATCCTAAAATCTTTTTTTTTTTGCTTCTATCCCATCCCTAGTAGAGTAGATTGTTGTTTGTAACACCATATCGTACCGAATCCTTTGGAATTGGGGCTAATGATGACCAAATTCAAATATATGCCCAAATCTAAACTACGAGTCCAAACCCGAACCAAAATCAAATCTAAATCTAATTTCAAATCCAAATCCAATGGTGCCAAACCAAAAACGTTTGGGTTTGTTGCATCCCTAAGTAGGAAAACCTTCGCGAAGCTACCCCCTGCCCCCTCTCTGTCATCGTTTTCTATGAAAAATTGGAAAGTTTCTAGTGTTCGTGATTTTGGAAATCCCTGAGAGGGACTACGAGCACCTTCCAGAAACTACCCTTCTCCCATCATCACTTTTAATAGTAAACAGAAACTTTGCAATAGCTCTTTCGGAAAAGTTTTTTTTCATGTTGGGGAATCGGAAAGAAGGGCCGTGACCGTGACCTACTTATAGGCAAAACCCTAGGTTGAAATTTCGTAATTCGATTTTCCACGAATACTTTGTCAGAGATAAGAAATTTCAGTGATATCGTAATAACTCGGGAAGGAAAATGCATCAGAACGAACCTGTATAGAAATTTACGAGACATATAGGTGTTTACTTATCGATAAAATATCAATCCGATTGACGAGTCACACTTTAGAATGTTTCCTCGCTAGTCAAATTGAACTTATTTGCCAATTCTATATTTTATTTGTGTCAATCAATAGGTTTTATTGAAATCTTTGATAGTTCACTCTTATGTACAATAAAAATTATAATAGAACATTAGAAATATTCTAATATTTGATTAATAATTAATCAAATCATCGACTAAAATTGTCAATTTTCATTTCGGTCTTCTTTACTGCTAATATTTCGATTGAATAGTATCAATCAAATATTCTCTAGCATATGGATTTGTCTAGTAAAAATCAATATTGATTTATATTTCACATCTGTTTTCGATTAACTAAAAAACGTATCAATTCTATCAAAGATTACAAGTTGAATTATTTTCTAAACTCAAATAATAGTACTCTATTTTTAATATATCAACTACATTAGTAGAGATTTTAGAATAAAAATTCATTTCTTTATAAATATATTTTCTATTATGATCAACCTACTTATTTTATATGCTTCGTTATTCCGTCTTAAATCATCTGTTGTAATTGCCAAAAGAAGTAGTAAATTAATACCAGCACTAAAATAATGAATACATAAGAAAAACGAATTATTTATTTTATTTTATTATTTCTTACTAGATATTAGGATCAGCAGCAAAACCTCTTCGATACCATTCAATAGCTTTTTCTAATGAGTCTTGATCTTGACAATTTGATTCCGTATATTTATCTTTATAAATTCTTCCACATAAACAAATAATATCATTTGATAATTCACTTTCAGTTTTTTTTGTTTGACATAATCTTGTAAGAATTTCTAATGCTTTATCACGATCATTATTTTCATTTCGCCTAATAAATAAAATAAATTATGTCTTGTAATCAGTTTTGTTTTTTTCCCTTCAAAAAAAAAATCATATATTTACCGACTACGTGCAAATGCTGTTAAATATGAAATCATCATATTATTTTGAAGTTTTTTTGATATTGTTTCATTTTGTTCACAACGTTCACTTAATTCTATCATTGATTGATAATCCTTTAATAAAATTCAAAAAAAGAAATTAAATTTGTTAAAAATTCAAATAAGATATTTTAAATTTTACTTGTATATCTCGAAAAGCATACATTAGCTGCGTAATTAATTTTGGTGTAGCATATTCTTGCTTTGCTTCTGTTAGAATTTCATTACAAATTTCTTGCCATAGATACTATGAAAACAAAAAATAAATATTAAGATTTTATTCTTTCAATAAAGAAAGAAAAGACAAATTAAACATACTTTACGTTCAGCATTTGTATCATGAGCTTCATTTTTACGTTTTTCCAGACGATTTAAGTATCGAGTAACAAGACCTTGCCTATAGATAATAAATTAGTAGACTTCTTTTAATAAGCTAGCATCTTACTGCATATTATTAGCAGCTTCGTTTAAGAAAAATTTTAAACTAGTGGTAAGTAATGGCAATGGATTTGCTGTTCGTGTCGTCACATCATAAAAAACATCTTTTTCTTCATTATATCGATACACAATCATTTGTTTTATTTTACATGTCGTCTAAAACATAAGTTTTTATTTGCATGAAAAAAGAATTCCATCCGAGTTATGTTTACTTTCAGATCTTCAATAGCATCATCATTTTCAACACCACTAGCTTGAATTAATACAATATCATCCATACAATCTACACTTTCACGATTTCCTTTCTGATACATAAATGTAGGACGACGATCTTGATTTGTAACATCCTATAAATCAATGATATGGTTTGTTTTTATTGAAAAAGAAAAACAAGATTGATTCTAACCATAATAACAATTTCAGCATTAAGAAATTTATTAACAGATTCATGTTCTTGAAAATCAAGTTTATTTAATTCCACTGTTTCACAACTATAATTGAGCTTCTTAACAGTAGTTTGAATTGTTTCCCATAACTTTTGCCCATAATATTTATATGGCAAGGGTGTATTTCGACTAAGTGAATCAGAGTCTGTCAATAAAACGACTTTTAACGAAGGCATAATCCTTTTCTTTATTGATAAATTTCTAAAATACAATACAATTAAGAACAAAAGAAAACATCTGACCAATTTTTTTTCATTCTCACCAATGAAATGACATGTCTATCAATAGTTTCTTTATGACATGCAAATTAGTTATCTTAATCTACAAAGAAAAATATTTATATTTTTCACAAGGCGTCTATCCGTTTCTTTTTCTTTTTATTCTATAAATATCAACATCTTGACAAATGATCACGTATATTTGTCGTGATATTTTGCATAATCAAACGAAAATACTAAAGTTCGATATCTCAGCTTTTTGATCAAATAAAAATATACTTATATTAATTCAAATATGCCATCTACTGATGATTCGGAACGATCAAAATTTTGTCCAATAAAAAAACATTACCCTCGATATAGAGAATAATAGTACATTATCAATGGCGATGACAACAAGCAAATAAAAAAAAAGAATGAACGAACAAACAAAAAGAAAAGTAGAAATCATTTATAAACTCGTCCCATCATCATTATTATGCACTTTCGTTTGTAAAACTTTTTTCGCTTGACTGATTATAACATGTTTTAAGAATAAAATTTTTAAGATAAACGATAAATTTCGGTCTTTTTTTTTGTAATTAAGTGTTTGTACATTCATTGATAAAAACTTTTACAATAGATTTTTCGATATTTATGGAATCACGTGTGCCGTAAAGATTTTCTGAAAAAAAATTTTATACAACTATTAGACTTGTAAATAATCAAACTTATAAGATTTAGAATATGCTTGAAATCATGCATATTTAGAAACTTCTTGTTGTAAGGAAATACAAATTCGTCAGATTAAAAGTAAAATATAAAAAATACGCAGATAGCAAATGTTTAGTAGTTCATGGAACAGGTCATTGTAATCTATGGCACCCGATTTGCATTTGTCTGGTTAGATTTTTCTGTATAATTTTAATCGGAGATAAGTATGTTTATTTTTCATGAATCATGACAGAGTATGTTTTTTTATGGATGACTGTAGCCTGGTAGTAATCTTACATATTTACCTTCGATGAGTACTTTTTGTTTTTTTTTTTGAAAAAATATATCTCGAAGCGCGTTTTGTTCAAAAAAAGAAAACAAAGAAAAGTCTGTTGTTTTTTATTATTTTGTCTTATTTATGCAACAAAAGTGGTTTTATTATTCTTTTAAGGAAACACTCCTAGTGTTTCTTCGATTAAATATATTTATCGATGAATAAAAATAAATATGTAAGTTTTTATTTTAGAATTTCTCTTTAAAACAAAAGATTATTTTTTGAATTAATTTAAATTTTTAGAATTTAAATTTTAGAATTTAAATTATGCTCTTTTGGTTTTAATTATCAATAAATGTTTTTTTCCTTACACGTAAGAATCTTTTTTCCATATTTAAAAAAAAATAAATTAAGTTTTTCAATAAACTCTTTTTGTATTCTAGAACACTCATTAGTTACGATTAAATTAAAAATTTTTATTGAGTGTGTGTGTGTGTCAGTGTGCTTTTGGTGACAACAAACAAATAGGTAAGCAATGCTATTTATTAAAGAATAATAGATCGGGTGAATTTTCTTTCGTTTTATTCGACTTAAGCAAAAAGAGAAAATGCTCTTTTCAAAATACTCATAATATACAATATGTCATAACTATTATAATCATAATAATTTCAAACCGATATTGAGTACTATCATTTTAAAATTGATTAATTGTTAAGACTTGCTCATTGTTGATTTTTATTTTGTTGATTCTATTTTGTGTACGAGCAAGGCAGATTTTGCGAATTTGTCTTTGTCTAATCTTGAGTATGTGAATCAGGTGTTATCGATCATATTTAAAAACAACGATTGAAAATAAAATATGTCAGTATAGTATTTAATCATGGAAGGAGGCAACGAGTAGTCTCATATGAAATAGGATTTATGAGTAAGAAAATATTTAAGCAGTGTCAACGACGTTTGATATATATTGTAACATCAATGGTTCATCGATTGTTTCATTATAATTATTCATTACCATCTGAAAATGTTTCGATTACTGAGAATATCAAGTTTGTTGACATTTTCATAAAATATTTTTCTTATTAAGAAACTATTAATCTTCAATCGAATTATATTTTTGTTTTGCGTTTATTTCACATAGATCAATGGGTCAATTTTTGGATAAACCTAAAACTGAAAAACATAATAGTCGAGGTAAAAATGATGATATTCGTTATGGTCTTGGATCTATGCAAGGATGGCGGTAAGTCTTTTCATTTTAGCTTATTTTTCTTCTCGGTTAATTATTCTTATCAATTTAGTGTGGATATGGAAGATGCACATGCAACTGTACTTAAATTAGATGATAATTATTGGTCATATTGGTCCTATTTTGGTGTATTTGATGGTCATGCTGGATCTCGTACAGCTATTAAAGCTGCCGAAAAACTTCATTTCCATATCGTATCATCTCTTAATACATTAGTAAAAGATAGTCTTAATATAAAATCTTCGTTATCAAATGTTGCATCATCCCAACTTGATTTTCATAAATTTGAAGAGGCTATTAAAGATGCTTATTTTAAATTTGATAATGAATGGAGAGAAGAAAATCGAACTAATAATCCAGGTAATTATGAAAAAGAAAAAACATCAATTAAAACTCTTGAAAAGAAAATTTTTCGAAATTATTTATAGATGATAAAAGTGGTTCAACAGCTATATCGTGTTTAATTGATACAGAACGAGTTTATTTTTTGAATGTTGGTGATTCACGTGCTATTCTTGTGTCAAATGAAGGTCGAATTCTTCTTGCTACAAAAGATCATAAACCAAGTAAAATTTTTTCTTTGAAGAAACATTAGTTTTTTTTTTTTTTAATGACAAAAATTTTCATTTATCTTAGGTGATTTAGTTGAACGTCAACGAATTCAAGAAGCGGGCGGTACTGTTTTAATTCAACGTGTCAATGGTTCTTTGGCTGTATCACGTGCACTTGGAGATTTTGAATATAAAAATAATTCAAATCGTCGGCCAAATCAACAACTTGTTTCACCTGAACCTGAAGTAACATGTCATACACGTAATTTAACAATAGATTCTAGTAAACAAGAAGAACAAATTGCTTTTATCGTGTTGGCTTGTGATGGTATATGGGATGTTATGACAAATGAAGAATTAGCTGCATATATACTTGGTCGTATGCATGTTACAGATGATCTTAGTGAAATTTGTAATTCAGTACTTGATATGTGTTTGTATAAAGTTCGTTTATTTGTTTTATTTGCAAAAAAAGAACACAAAATAATTTTAAATTATTTTTGTTGAATGAAATTTTTTAGGGTAGCAAAGATAATATGAGTTTAATAATAATTGCTTTAAAAAATGCACCTATACCAACTCCAGAATGGAAAGCAAAAGATGAAGCATTAAATAATGAAATAAGAAAAAAGACTATTGGTATAAATTTTGTTATTTTTTCTTCTGAAAGTTTATTAATTATTTGAATTTTTTCTTTATAGAAATTTATAATCGTAATCCAAATAAAACAACTTTAGATTCAAATACAATATGGCAACAAGTTATTACATCTCTCAATGAACAATCATCTATTCGTGAAGTACTACCAATTGGTGGTGGCTTTATTTCAAAGTAAGAATATTATATCGATAGTACTGGACAAAAGTCTTTTCCTCTCTCCCTTATTTTTTAAAATTTGAATATGTGTCTTAACTAAAATATAACAAAAATATGTTATTCTAATATGACATATACTCTTCATTTGCTCTAATCAAGCACTGTACTTGTCTTTCGATATTATCGATCAATTTGACAGTCAAGTTAATTGATGGAACTTCGATGAATAGCTGTCGAGTTCGAAAATACATTAAAACGTCATCAGCATATATATAGCCAAAGAAAAATTTTTGCTGCATTCATATTATAGTTCGAGTGAAGACATTCATGTTAGCACGGACGAGGATAAATTTTTATCTAAATTATAATTAAATGATTAACTTTCATATTATAAGAGCCAAAGTATCAAAGATGAATTATGAGCTCAGGCGGAGGTGTGACGACGCGATGCTGATGTAAATGGTCGGTTACCCAGATATTGACTACCACCGATATACCGGCCGGCATAATGTGCGCTATACTGTTGGTTTTTTTTTTGAGAGTATTGTATCATGGTATACTGTTTCAAAACTGATGAATATTTTTATGTCTGTTAGAAGTGTGTAGCACGGCGTCATTTGTGTGATCTTCAACAAGAATGTTGATGCATCTAAGCCGCCTTTAACTAGTCACAAATCCTAAATTGACCCCAGTTTTAAGATAGACTTTTACTATAGATGGCGTTTTAAAAATTTTTATTAGTATACTATGTTCTTAAATCGTTTTCGTCTCCATCATTTTGAATTCTTTCTAATGATAAATTCGAATTTGAGTGGAACACACTTTGCAATCGTTGATAGTGGGAACCGAAACTTGGCAGTACTACCGCCGGTTTTTGTGAGCACCATGGTGTATCGCTAGTACTACAAATAAACTGGCGATATGGACAGACTCTTAGAGCTTCATTTATATTCTAACTAGTATGAGGCAGCTCATGTTTTTCGTATTTCTTGTTGTAACTCTTGAATGTTTTGAATTTTTGTTGTTGGCTTATTGTATCTTTCATCATTGACCAAATGTTTTCAATTGGTTTTTGATCTGATGACGAAGAGGACCAAGACAGAATTTGAATTTGAATTCGAATTTCAGTCTTCCATGCGATTATCAAAAGGAATCTGTATTTAAAATCATTGTTCTCTTGGTCGATGCAGCTAGCTAGACCTTCAGGAGATTGACGTTGAACGATAGATAGAAGATCATTCTCATATACAAATATTTTCATGACATTAGAAGCAGCTCCACCTTGCTTTCGTTGTTACCAAGTTTGACTGTCTTCTCATCGATAAAATTGCGTTCCCATAATTGAAATCTTGGTTCTGTCGAACCAAAATAAGTTATTGCTTAAAATGCTTGTGTGAATAAGGATTTTTTTTAAAGGTAAACCACAACTTTCATGTAATCGAAGTCTAACAGTAGTTGGATCTATATTCATACTGTCTTTTTCTAGAGTTTTTGAAATGTTATTTGATGTAACATTCAGCTCACGTTTAGCAACATTAACAATATTTCTATCTGTTTTCTTCGAGGTGAGATATGGTCTGCCATTTTTTTAGTAAATAAGACAGTTCTTCAATTTTTTACCATCAGGCAAGTTAGTCTCATATGACTTTTAGTTCACATCAGATGCACTTCAAAATAGTTGCCTTTGATATTTTAGGATTCAATGGATGTAGCTTGAGAAAGGTAATATTATAGCCTTATAAAAAAGATCTATTCTCGATATCGATCTACATTTTACATATTAACAAGGGTTACATAAGATCGGATCATACAATAAACAGAAAGCAAATATTAAAAGTTTTTGTTCTAAAAAAAATAGGATGTGGCGAATGAAAAGACTTTTGTTCAGGAGTGCAAATTCTTTGTGGATATGTTACTTAATATCATTATTTTGTTTTTAGACGTTCAGTATTTGAAAATACATTTGATTCAATAATGAAAGGAACAAATTATACAGGAAATTCAAGCAGTGGGGTAAATGAAAATAAGTTTTGATATATTTCAATCGAAAATAAAAAGAAATAGTAATATAAGATATGTAAATAAAGGAAAATAAAAACCAAATACCTTTCAGTGACATACAACAACATCAATGCGGTATTTTTATTCTAATAGTTTCAGCTATTTGCTTTGTATGCATTACATTCACACATTTATATGTTTTACAGAAAAAAATCATCTTGTTTTGTGTCTTCTTTTCTTTTTTTTTGTTTTCTTTTTCAAATATGTTTATCTATTGTCTTCATTGATTTTATTTAATATGAAAATAAGATTTCATTTCTTTTCTTGACCTTTTCTTTTCATTTTTATTCAACTTCAAGAATGAGTATAAGAGATTTTCTATTTGAATTCTTTCAGTTTTTCGACTATTTTTTTCGTGAGTTATCTTTTTTTTTAATTGCATTTGTAACAACTGAACTCGATTAAATTTCGAGATGATTGTTCCTATTATTATTATTATTATTATCGGTTTTTAACATAAAAAATCAACTCATGATTTTTTTATTGATGTATATACATAATCTATTAACAATTTTTTCAATTATTTGCTTAAAATTTATATAGTTTAATTTTAATTGATTGAAATTATTGAGAATTTCATTCTAAAAAATTTCCTTTATCTGTAAGAGCAAAAAACGAACTAATTTTGTTGATTTAGCAAAATTAAAAAAATTTGATATCTATGGATCATATCATATATCTTATAAAATCGGAATTCTAAAAAATGGAAATAATTTCAACGTCTTCAATTTTTAGCATATATGACATGAATGTCATAAGGTTAAAAAATTTTTCTTCATTGGTTGCTTTTTATACATTAACTGATGTAATTTATTCACAAAAAATCTTTCTGTCATACAAAAGAGTTCTATGTAAGAAAAGAACTTTTTTGAATAGATATCAAGAATATAACATTTATGAAATATTCATATTCATGCTGACAAAGTAATTTATTTTTTTGTCGGCCTTTGAAATTGAACAAAAGAAAATTTAAAAGCATAAACATACTCATAAATATCATCACTGGTATTGATCTAACTTGGTTAAACCAATTCGACATAACGTTTGTATTTATATCGGAATGTCATGATATCATCTATGTTCATTCTATTTGTTCTAACATTACAAAGAAGAGCAACATAAATAACTTCTAACAATTCAAAAAGGTAGACAGATATTATACATGTGGTTACAAAACCACAAATTTCATCTATGATGAGTATATGCTAATTTTATGCACTTATTATACATAATTATAAAATCATCATTTTATACTTATAGGACAAATTTAATATATCCTTCTCTTAAACAGATATCATCTTCGTTTCGGTATGAAGAATATTTTCGTTTCTATTTACAATTAATTTCTTGCGTTTTATCGTGCTTCTTCTTCTCCTCTTCTTTTTTTTCTTTTATAATGATAACTATTTATAAACTTTCTACTTTAGCTATTCATGAATGATGAACATAATGATCGATCAGTAACATCAACAAATCCTACATCTGCTGATATTCCATCTTCGAATAGCAACAACCTTGCTGCATTGATTCAATAGTTGTTATTTTTTTTTTATCTTGCATTTTTTTTTTAAATGAAGGACTGCCACCATATCAGACATCAACTTTCTCTCTTTTTTCTATGCTCTTCTTAAACAGAAACAATACATGCGTATTTTCGTTTTTATTGAACACATGTGTTTTGTTGGTTTACCATTATCATAATAACTTCCTCTTGTTTTGTCATATTCTTTTTTTTTTCTGTCACTCTTTTTTTCTCGTTTGTTGTTCATTGTTGTACGTTTAAAAACGGAAAAGAAAAACAAAACGTAGATAAAGAAACTACATTGGGAAGAAAATCCTAGCAGTGATTGAATACTGCTAAATAAATCATTTTTTGTTTTCTTGTTTTTTCTTTTGATAAATAAAAAAGCAAAAGACATTATCTATAATATTTGTAGATGGAATGTACAATATTAAATGATGGTAATAATAGTAACGAAAAAAAAATTAGAAATATAAACGAACGAAATTTAATTTATATATATGTATAATGATATTTATTTAGAATCATTCAAAGATTTTACTGAAGATGATTTTGATATAAAGTCATTTTCAGCAAATATTTTACAAACAAAACTTGTTGCTGATTATTTACAACATTTAAGTGAACTTATACGAACACTTGATGCTGAAATAAAACAACAAGTAATGAATTAATTTTAAAAAATAATTTTTTTTTCATTGTTAAATTAATTATTTAAGGTATCATCAAATGCACCAATTCTTTTTCGTCAAGCATCATCAATTGGAACAATTGAAGATGTTTTAGAAAATATGCAATCACGCATTGGATCATTAAAATCAACTGTAGACAGGTTTTTACATTGCTTTTCAAAAAATATCTATTCGTAGATTGATTTTATATAAAAAGAAGTTGAAAATGAAAATATTCAAAATATATGAAATAAACAAATATAATCAGAATTCTGCTATTGATAAGTGAATTCGATCAAAACAAAACGACTCATTCGTTGAATGAAATAGTTTTTTATTTGTTATATCAGATAAAATTGTACCGAAATGACATTTTCTTACAAAAATGTTTCAAGTCTAAATATATCTTCAATAAATATAAATATCATGAACTCTTCATAAGCTTTTTAACGTTCAGAACCGAATAATCTGTTAAATTAGTTTTTGAAATAGAAACTAAATCCTCTTAATAATTCCTCAATTATCGAGAAACCTATATTTTCACTTATACATTTTAATTGAATAAAAATAGAATTCTTTCAAGATTTATCGGATATAGTCCTGATGAATATACATCTAATAGTAATCGATACATTAAATCAATTACAGAACATCTTATCGAATTAGATTATGAAGTGAATAGAGAAGATTTGTTCCAAATATTCGTAAGAACAGATTATAGTAAAGCAACAAGCACATACAATACTGGTCCAAAATATAAGTGAAACATATTTTTTGATTTTTTCTACTATATCAAGCATTTAACTCAAAATATAAATAATTGGCAAATGAGGTCTCACTAAGTTTCCTACGACCTCCTTTTAAAACGTTATAAGTTTCACAAAACAACACAGAGAATGTGTTGTTTAGCAATGTTATAACGAATTTTTCTTTAGTTTTGTTATGCTTATACTTGTTTTTTATGAAGAAAGTCGTAGGCAATGCGGTAAGTCCTCATTTTGATCAGGGTCTTGTGCTCTTTAAGCTGGTGCTATTATAAACTTATTTTCATGCAGTTTTCTTGAACCTGAAAACTACGATATTGGATTTTTCAGAAGTTGCTGTGTCATAGTCCATCTATGAAGTTTTGATATGGAATGCAATAGATGGTGAATTTCATTGGCTATTTAAATTATTATTTGGATTTTAGTTAAATGATCAGAGAAAAAAAAAATCAAAAATACGTTGCCTTTATACTTTTGACCAGTACTATGTTTCAATTAGATACTATTTTCAAAACATCTTGATCAAAATACAATTAACTTATTGTGTTTTATTTTAATAGGATATCTTCAAAAATTACTGAACCTTATAATAAAATTTTAGTTCGAAAATATCAATTGACTCGTCTTCAAGTAAAATTAAATCAAATTTCTTTTTTTTTCGCGTTAAATTATTAAAAATAATTTTCATAGAATACATGTGATCTTCTCCGTCGTATTAAAGGCATAATGCAACAAACAAAAAAATTACAAACATATATGTCACCTTCAAATGCAGGTCAACAACAAATCGAATTAGTTAAAGCTTCTCAATGTTTAAGTGAATTAGGTATTTAAAAATAGATTAAAATCAAAAGCTCTACTTTTTAGAAATTCATTTTCAGATCATTATACAGTTGATACTGATTTTACGGGTATTGATGTTGTTGAAAAAGATCTTCAATTTGTTTTTAAAGCTCGTCATGATATTCAAACTCGAGCACAAGATGCTCTAGAAAATGGTCTTAATCATTTGGTTTGTTAGACAATATAGTTGTTTTTTTTTTTCAAAACAATATCATTTTTTTTTTGCTCAAATAGAATCCTGCTCAAATTGGTACAGCATTACAAGTATTTTATAATTTGGGTACACTTTATGATCGTATTCAATCTATTGAAAAACGTCTATTAGAAAATTTTCAAACACAAATTTCTGATTATCTTGATTTAAAACAATTATCAAAGAGTAGAGATCGTATGTATAATATTAAAATAATTAACAATTCAAAGAAAATATATATATATATATTCGATTTAAATATTTTATTTAGCATCAAATCCAGGTCGAACAACAATGCCAAATATTGGTAATACACCACAATTTCGGGCATTATTATGGACAAATATTGAAAAAATACTTGATTTATTATATGTTTATATTGCACAATTATATAATCTTGCAAGAGTTTTAATTAAAAAGAAAGATCCAATTACGCATTGTACTTTTATTGATGAATTAATTAAAGTAAATACAAAAAAAAACCTAGTTTTATCATAGAAAGAGAAAAACAAAGAACAATGTCATCATTATTATACAAATTTTGTTTTTTTGTAGCATGGTTATTCAAGTGAATTAGTTGGAAAATTTTGGGTAGGTGCTATGAAATCATTGAAAAAACAAATGAAAACATCAATGTTAGGTAAAATAAAAACATAATTAAAAATATCAAAAGAACAAAAAATGTTTTCTTTTTGGTTGATTTTCAAGATTCATATCATCTTCGACAAGCATTAGAAGGCGAATATCCAAAATTATTAAAATTACAAAATGATTTAATTAATCGTTTAAATCAATTACAACCAGGTTTTAGTGATATTGAAATGGATATTATAGATGAAGAATTACATGATTCAGAACAAACAAATGGAAAACAAAAGTTTGTTATTGATTTTTTTTTTTGCTAATAAGTATTTAATTTTTTGTTTTTATCTCCTATTAGAACAAATATACAATTAAATGAATGTTTTGATATATTTGAAAAATCTTATTTATCAATATCATTATCACGTTTATCGGATCCAATTAATCTTATGTTTAGTAGTAGTACAACAAAACTATTACCTACACAACAAGAATTAGAAAATCTTATTAAAGTTATTATAAAGTACGAATCATTTTATGAAAAGAATTTATCTTAAAAGAATAACTATTTGTTATATCTTTATAATCCTAAAATTTGTGATATTAACAACTTGCTTATGTCGATCAATGATTAAATAATCAAACTTTTTTGTTACCTAATGTATTATTCTTATTAAGTTCTATTGTTGTCTTCAGTTAAGCGTACTAATTATGTTATTTTCTGACAGTTTTTCCAGCTACATCTTCTCTTATCCATGTAATACCTCGAGGTCGACCAGTTCAGTCACTAGTCGGAATACAATTCTTGAAATAGAACAGAAACTTACAAAATCTTGGAATCTTTTTGTCAAAAATAGAGCAAAAAAAAATGTGTGGATAGAGCAGGGAATGCTTTCAACCGTTCATTAGATACGATCTAGAATTGAACTTGTCGACCTCTAGTTGTATATCAACTTCTTTTCTTTATCTAGGTTTTTTTTTGAAATTTAAGTATTTTAACTCGATTCTTATGAGATTAATACTCTAATCCATCTTTTTTTTCCAATGGAGGATCGTTTTTAACTGATCAATTACTTTCTCATCAAACTTTACTTTATTAGTAATTATTGAAGTTGCTGATTCCGAATGTGAATATCAGAAATAATCTTAGGTCTTCATATGCTAGTTTTTCAGACTAACAAACATTTTGCCAAATGCGTTTTAAATTTACTCAGAAAAAAAAGCTACTATTTTCTAGATAATTCGACATGTTTTACAATCTGGACATATGAAAAAAAGTTTTTAAAATCGACTATCTAAAATCCACTATATTTCGATGAGAAACTGATTAATTTAGTTGAAAAAGTTCCTTCATAAATAGAAAGCTCAACATAGTACAAAATCAAGTTGATCATTTATAAATGGAAGCGACTTATTCCGTAATATTTAGAACAATACTATCCTACGTTTGATTATACGTATTCGACAATATCTTTAGTTGCTTAGTTCTATTGAATGTTTAATTCATATGCACTCTTTATATTTGTTTTTATTATTTTTCAAAAACTAAATTACATCATTTTTCTTTCTTTTAGTGAATTATCAGTTTCAACTGTTAGTGAAGTATTAGTTAATAAAGTAGCACGTAATATAGCTAAAGCTATTCAATTATTTGCAGCAAAGTAAGTTTAATTAATTAAATACTTTTTATTATATATTTATACCTATTCTTTATAGATGTGAACAATCGGTATGAAATGAATATCCAAAGAGTCTATATTAAAAGAAAAAAATTTTGTATTTTGCTTTCAATCATAGATTTGTACGGATAGTGAAGGAAGTCAAGTTGTTTCTGCACCAACACCAGCTCAATTACGTAATATATCTGCAATTAATATTCTTTATAATTTTTGTTCAATGATCAATAAGGTTTAATATCATTAATAAAAACAAGATTTCGTTATATTTTTATTATTACTTAGATGCTTTCAGAACAACAAAATCTTTCATCAGATGCCACGACACGTATTATTGATGCTTTACAAGTATGAAAATATTTACCAAAACAAAAGCACTAGAACGAAAATTTATTTATTTTTATTTGTTTGTTTGTTTTTCAGTGTGTGAATTCATTAATGCATACAGCAATTCATCCATTTCTTAATTCTGTTGCTGATTGTATTGAAGCTATACTTGCTACAATGCATACTGAAGATTTTTCACAGTATTAAATAATTAATAAATTTAAAATCAAAAGAATTTTAATTGTTTTATTTATTTTAGACCAGCTGCAAGTCAATCGGATTCTCAAAGTTCATTATATATGAAAGAATTACAAGAATTTATAATACGTATACAAAAAGATTATTTTAGTGAATTTCAATGTAAAGATTTTATGTATGAAAAGTAAGTTTATTGTATTTTATAAAAATAGTTGCTTTTTATTTTATTTTGTTTTTCTTTTTTAGTCTTGCACCAATTGCATGTCGAGCAATTATATTATTTATGGAACATATTAGTCTTGTTCGACCATTAGGTGAAGGTGGAATATTACGTTTAGTTGTTGATTTTGCACAAATTGAACTTGCTCTATCACCATTTTGTCGTCGATTAACAGATTTAGGAAAACATTATAAAATTTTAAAAGCATTTCGATCTTTATTAATTTTAAATGCAGAAGAATTTCAAAATAATTCAGCTATTGGTGATGTTGTTCCATATGATATTGTACTTCATCATTTATTTTCAAGAGCACCTATTGAAATGCGTTCACCACATCAAGTATAATATAATGATTTTATTTTTATTTCATTGTGTTTACTTGTTTATGTTTCAAAAGGCTATGAACTGGTCAATAAGCCGATATATTCAATGGCTTGATGAACATCCAAATATGACTGATCGATTAGCAATGATCAAGTATATTGTAGTATTCTTTGTTTTTTTTTTAAATATCTTTGTTTTTTAGAGGAACATTAGAAACATATGTTCAAACAGTTCGAAATCGACAACAAAAAGAATTTGCTCCTATTTATGTTATTATTCTTAATATACTTGAAAAAGGTTTAGCAGCTGTCGCTTAGGACAATTTTTTCTTTTTATTCTATTTTATTTTATTTTATTTGTTTATGAATAACATTGTGATATAATTTAAGGTTGGGCTTGCAGAAATAAATATATAAATCGAAATCTCTAATATGATATTATAAAACCTATAATGATTCTTTGATTAATATATAGTTGGTTTTTCGATGAATTTTATTGTCATATCAAAGTTTGTATAACTTTGATATGATGAATAGAAACATAAGATAGCATCAACAATAGAAATATTACATAAATGAATATTGACATGTTACGCATTATATGAAATCAAAAATTCCAAGTTTGTTATGTGATTATTCAACAGAAAGGATACATTAGTAAAAATGATTGATAAAGATACAAATTACATACGTATTCTATGTCGCACGGACGAAACTTCCTTGTTAGCCTAAAGGCGGAAATGAGCCGGAATCAATACTGAAAGAATCTATTTTTATGAGAATAATAAAATTTTATTAAACTATAGATGGCGTTTACCTGGATGCATGGATAAGGATCAGAGTTGATGAAAAGAAGATTCATTCATGCCCGCAAACTTATAAGACTAATATCATAGAATATCTCATAGATAAATAAGTAAAACAAGTATTATCTATTGAATTTAATTTAAGTTTCAATTTTTTAATAACATATATTATGTCTTAATTGAACCTAGACTCAATAATGCCTGACGGCACAAATATGTATCTTGTCAATGTCATTTATTATAGAAACATAAAAGAACAAAAGAATACTCATATGAAAATGTTTGTTGTCAATGGGGAGTGTCATCGACACAATAATTTAGCCTTTTCAAAGAATTTATTATAAGTCAGTTTTATGATCATTTATATTAATAAAAAAAACATTATATTGTTGTTTTGTTTTTCTCTTTAATCAAATTTTATTACTTTGAACTGAATAACAAAAGATAATTTTTAACTTTTACCTTATTTTTGATCTTTGACTTGTTCAACTGATCAATAAGATTCAAACGATGAAACAAACATAAATATGAGATGTATTGTGACTTTTATGTCTATAAAAATGATGCTTAAAAATAAATACAACTGAATTTTCTTCTTATTCTTTAAGTTTCTTGATAGATTTTTTTCTTCTCTACAGTTTAGCATCAGTCTACATACATAAACTCTATTTGTGATTGTTAACATGCGTAATAAAAATGTGTAATAATATTCGTATAAAAAAACCATACCATTTCTGAACCTATTGGCTTTTGAATAATATTTTCTTTTCGATTGATAAAAGAAAAATAAAAATCATTCTACAAAATCATTGAATATCTATTGCTATTAATTGAAGGTGCGCTGATTACATGCACATATTGAGGCGTGTCTAGAAAAACATTAAAAACAAGGTAGCAAAAATAAAAAGCAGCAAGTTATATTTGTTTTTATTTGAATAATCTTTATTAATTTTATTATTTTAAATTAGTTCCAAATGTTAGTATTAATTTGATAAACAATGAATAATCTTCTTCTTTTTTTTCATGTTCTCAATATGAGTGATATTATTAGGGTGCTCAATTTATTCATGGAGAAATGAATAATATCCTTTTTTGACATTTGTAAACTATTGAATTGTATTTTATCTGTACCAAATATTGAATTTAATGGTATGTTTATTTCGAGAAATAACTGAATAATGAAGAAGAGAAAAATTCTAAAATATTTCATTTCTATTATTGTTATTCTAATTATCTTCACGAAATTTTAAAAGAACATTTATTATCTTCAATCCCTTCTTTAGACAATTTAGTCGATGAGTTGTATGATTTTTTTCCATAAAGTTGAACTGATTGAAAATGGTTATTTTAAATTATTGGATTTAAGTTTAGCAGGTAGAATACATTGTTTGATTTTATATCAAACTTTCTCAGTGGATTATATAAAACTGAATCTTAAGATGATAGTTATCAGCCATTTATTTCCTATATGAAATCATTTATACTAGATGATAATCGAATCCGTTTGAATTCTGAAGTAATTCGAGTAAAATATCTTAAAGAAAATCATCACCTACTACTTGTTGATATTCGACATCATAATAAAACATCTGAACAACAGCAACAACAAATAAATAAAATATTATTTGGTCGTATCATATGGAGAAACTCATTAGATCATTTAAAAGAAAATTTTTATTCAATATTTGCTGATGAAAATGAATTAATTAAACAAAAACGAAATGCAATTAATAATCTTGAATTTGATACAATAAATAAAGTAAAATTATTGTTTATCAAAAATCAAATAAAAAAAACTTCAAGATTTTTCTTTAAATTATCATGGTCTATGAAAAATCATTTTGACCAGAGAATGTAGGCAACATCATTCTATTGTATGCACAAAAACAAAAGTCAATTGAATTTTCTGATTCATTTAAAAACTTATTAAAGACAAAAAAATTGATATTTAAGTAGTAAATACAATTATTGAAAAAATTCATCAATATGAAGTATTACCATCAACGAATATTTCTATTTTAATCTGTTAGTTTGGTAGTTCAGCAGCTGTTTTATTAGAAGTCTTAGTGAAAATAGTGTTGGTTATATTTGTCATGAAATTTTATGTTATTATTTGAATATATCTTCTAAATAAAATCAACTAATTCTTGTAGTAAAGTAATATAAAATGCTCATTATCATATGAGTTATATAGTTTTACATTTCTTTGGAATTATATTAAGAAGTAAATGTGGTTTAAAACCAAATTCATTCATAGATCTTATTCATATTATTCTATAAAATCATCAGCAAAAGATGAAGAAAAATTAAGAACTGCTTACACACTAGACGGGGTATGACTCTGATTTTCATAGAAAAGAAAAACAAAATCAGAATATTTTATTTTCCGTAATGATATTTATAATAGTGATGAATCGTCTAATTCGATCAAGAACAAACATCAAATATAATTTGATTAGACATGAATTAGTTATTGAAAATATATATGTATTAAAATAAATGAATCTTGATGCATTTATGATAATTAGAAAATGATGAATTAAAATATGTTTTTGTTTTTTCTTTGTTTCATTCTTTAGATTACACGAACACAATTTGCTGGTGAAGCAACTAGTGAAAGAGCTTATTCAATTGTTCATGATGTATTAGAAAATGGTATTCGTGAGGGAAATATTCTCTTATTGATAATGAATAAATAAATAAAAAGAAAAAAAAACAGGGTTAAATTTTTTTTATTGTATGAATCTCTTCGAAATAAAACTTCAAAATAATATTCTCTTGCGTTCAAATAATTGTTTAATTTTTTTCTTCTTTTTTCCATCACTTCGAATTTTTATCAGTCAGCCGGAAACATTTTTACAGCCAATAAAACCATTACAAAAGAAACGTTTTTGTATTCCATGTGTTTCATTGGATGTATCATTGTTTTCATCATCATTTCTATGATTATGTATATCAGTTTGATGAAGAACATCAACTACACGTTGGCATGCATCAGCATGTGATGGTCCAAAAAGTCCAGCAATACACATACGATTAAGATACTCACGTAATTGATTAAGTAGTATTGCTTGTTCATATATATTTCTTTCGTCAAGGATAGTTTTGATAAAATAAATAAAACCACTGTATGCATGCTGATATTCATCATCACTTTCATCAATAATATGACTATTTGTTCCAGAAATAATTGGAGTTGAATGAATATATGAAATTTGAAATAATATTATTGAAAGAAATATCAATATCAGTGACCAACGGAAAAACATTATTTATTGAGATAGTACTATAAAGACAAATGATAACGAAAGAGAAGATAAGTGTCTGTATGAGATTTTTTCCGAATATGAATAGAGATGAAGAGAATATAAAGAGTTTTTTATATTTTGCTACTATTCTTGTTTTCTCTGTCTCTCTTTCTCTTTCTCGCTTTTTTTCTTTCTCTTTCTCTTCTTCTTCTTCTTCTTCTTCTTCTTGTTCTTAAAAACTGTTTCATTCTTACAGTTAATGATCTTGTAACCGCAGGGAGTCTTTTTCGAACTTCGATCATTTGGTATACTTCAATGATTTTTAGCATCAATTATCTATTTAAGAAAAAGAAAATGGTAAGCACTTCTCTTATATAATAGATAATCTGTTAATCTCAAACGCCTACACATAACAAAAAAATGAATTGAAAGCTCATGTACTTACCAATCATAGTTGAGGATAATTGACGAATTCAATATTTATTATATGCGTACAATATGAGACATCGAAATGTCATTTACAGAAAAAACGTTTCCATATTTTTTTTCTCACTATATTATGATTGTTAAAATCTAAAAATAACAAAAACAAACCGAATAACACTACATCTTAATCGATTAATGATATGAGGTTCAACAAATATGTAAATATGCTTAAATTTTGCTATTTGTTTTATTGTGAAAAGTTTCGTGAATAGATTTCAAAAATATCCATCATTTATTAGTTGTGTAATTGCAAAAAAATGAAAATTATTACGCTTGATTTCTTTTTATAGTTGATCCCTTTAACGTGTAATTTGTTGTTTCGATCGTATGATTAACATCAATTATAATTTTGTCCCTAAGATTTCCATTTACAACTTTTCCTGATTGATATTTAGAATTCTTTTAATAATAAAAACGAGCCGAATATCTTTAATTTAATATTTAGTGATAATTCTTTTTAATATCTTTGTTATAGAAAGTAGTTACAAATAGCTTCTTGTTGTTATGTATGATCGATTTTAAATGTAACTATATTGTGATTATTTTGTTTGTATTGATTCAATTGATCATTAAGTTAGAGCACAGTATTGGACTTCGGAAAGTCTATTGAATTCTTTTCTTATGTAGCATTTATTTTTGATAACTCGCATAAAGAATCCACAGAGTGACTTGAATACAGAAACTTATTTTCAACAAGATCTTGAAGGGAATAAAGTATTCAAAGTATTCTAAATATTCAAGGTTTGTAGAAAACCACAAATTCAGTTTTTCAGCAATCCAAACTCGAAAATAAAAGCTTCTTTTGCTTACGTGCAGCGACAGAGCAATTAGTCCTCTACATAATGTCATGTTTCCGAACTATACATGATTTTTTTTGATTGAATTACATAATTTTTAAGAAAAGCCTAAAACTCTTTTTTGTCTAATTTTTCCTTAGGCAATGACGAGAAAACTGTTTGTAGGCATTTCTAAGTATGGATGTAGGCAATTAAGACAAAGTCATGGGTAACTCGAAGGCGTGTTATTTTGTAGAGAATTATTTGCTTTGCTGTCTCATGCAATCAAAAGATGTTTTAATTTTCAAGTTCTGATTACTGAAAAACCAGATTTGGGATTTTATAGAAATCCAGCATTTTCACAAAACTGTGAAGAGTTTATAACTTTTAAATCTTTTTGAAAACAATTTTCTCTATTCAAATCGCTAGTTGGATTCTTTATGGAAGTTACCATTAAGAAAAAAATTCGAAACTAAATCGGTGTGATTGATTTTTGAAGTCGCTGTAAATGCCAGTGAATACAAAAATTTCGGAGTCAGAATCAAAAAGGAGTGATTTCACAGGGCTTCACAATGAAGACTAGAAAATTAATCTGTTCAATTTTCTTATGAATTTTATAAACTGTTTTATTTTCGTTGTTCGCTGTTTTGTTTTTAGTAAACACAAAACTTTTTGTCAGTCAAAGCAACACTTAAACGAACTCATAGCTACTTAATTTGATGAGGTCAACGATGGGCTAAAGCAATGCAAAGATGTTTAATGCAAGAATTAAATTATTTTTTCACACCTAATACATTATTAATCTGTACTCAGATTAAAACATATCTAATATGCTTAACAAAATCATATTCATATTTATATTTATGTTGAATAATATGTAATAATCTTGAAATATTTACAACTTAGAGTTTAAAATGTTCTTTGATTAGGTAACAAGTTATTTCATGTCACGAATAATCTCAAAGGAACTATATTATTGATACATATCAATCGAATATTTCGTACTATACCTTGATTGATTAAAAAAAAATAGTTGAAAATTTTCATTCAAACCGAATGGGTATTAGTAATTAATACTAATACTTCAAAAATCCAACTTTTCAAGGACAATCGAAATTAATCTCACTGACACCCACTTTGCATAATTAATAGAAAAAATACATGCTCAGCGCAGATCATCAAATCGATCCTCATCACACTAACATCCCCAGACTCTCATGATTTATCTTTTGACTCAAATATATGACATTTCGGAATAACTTTTCTAAATGTATTTTTTAATAAAAAGGCCATGACAGTTGGAAAGTACAAAAAAGTTTGACCGAATACCTGATATGACTGTATTACACGTTAGCTGCACCCACTTTATATTCAATTAATTTGTTTCCATACAATTAAAATAAATTTCATCATGTACTTATAGTGAACGTGGCTTAAAAGACGAGAACAAAAAAAGACCTAAAAATAAGATAAAATGACTGAAAAGAACAAATAAAAGAGCTAAAACACATGATAATGTTTGTTCTAATCCTAATAATTTTCAGAACAACTACTAGTCTATAATGATGATTGTTGATGAATAGGAATCAACACTATAGTAAGTGTTAATGGGATGCTAATCATGTGTCATTTTCGTTCTGATGAATAATTTTGAGTATTACGACACATTCTGAAATATATTTGCGAATAAAATAACATGTGAGGATAATTCAAAACCAAAGTTTCTTCATATTATCAAATGAGTTCTATATTTTTTTGGGAATATTGCTGAACATAATTAGATGTAAATATAATTTTATCATGTATGAGTTGATAGTTTTATGTGTTTTTGAGATCAAAATCTTAGGAGACTACGTTGTACTATATGACATGAAATGGATTCTGTCTTCTTCATTATGTTTGTCAATACAAAGTGAATACCACTAACATGTTTTACAAGTCAAACTGATATTACTATAAGTTTTAGGTCTTTTTATAGTATTTTAAACTGCGTTCACTAAAAAATACATCATGAAATATATTTTAATTGCATGTATATAAGTTAATTGATTATTATTGTGAGTGTTAATGAATATAGGTTCAGTGCAGCTAATGTGTAATATGATCATATCGGATATTCAGCGAATTTCTTTTGTTCTATTTTGACGTTTTCAACGAAAAATACATTTAAAAACAGTGATTTGGAAATGACACATATTGGGGTCACAAGATAGATCATGAGAGTTTGTGGATGTTATTGAGGATGAGTCGAGTGTTAATATTTGATACAAGGGAAATGTTGAGTGTTAATGCGGCGAGGATCGATTTGATGGTCTGTGCTTAGCGTGTAGTTTTTTCTTTTAATTACATAAAGCAGTTGATCGTGGGTGTTAGTGAAATTAGTGTCGATCGTTCTTGAAAAGTTGGATGTTTGGACTGTTAACATAAATTAGTAAGATCGAAATTAAATTATGATTAAAATCAAGAAAAACTCAGAAATACTTTTGCTACTATTATTGAAGAAGAAAATTAAATTATTTATCTCGAAACATTTTTATTCCTTGGTTTCGTTGATTTCAAACGGAAAAATATGCTTACATGTATTTTCTCATATGCAACAAAAAACAAACAAACACACATAACATAACATCAATTATACTTCGATGGTTCATATTCATCCCAGTTTTCACGTGGTCGATGATGCATACGTTGATAAATTGTTTGACATGAACGTACAGGAAATGATTTATTACGTGGTTCAAATAATACTAATTGAGCTCGTGTTTTATCATTATCTGTAGAATGTTGAATAGTTTCTTGTTGTTCTTTTCGTATAACAAATGGTATAGCTAATGGATTTAAATTTGAATAAGAATCTTTTCCTATCATATAAATATTAGAACAATTTGTTGCTTTTTTCTAACGGATGTTCCAGGAGAAATTACATTAAAACTCAGTACATTTTTCTCTTGTTTTTCAACCCATAAAAAACTCTGCTTAGGCCTTCGGATAGAAGATTTCAAGCTCTACATAATTGTCAACATTGTTCTTGTTCATACGACTTCCTTTTGTCGATACAAAATTTAGGAAGAAGAACATACCTAATTAGTCATGCAATTGCAATAATAAAGAAAACAGAAAATCGATGATAACTTTTTAATGAAGACAACTATCTCAAAAACTTTTCATAAAATTCCGAATGTTTGGATGATGGTTACACAAATTTAGAAGAAATATTTTGCAGAAACAGTTTTCGAAGTATAAGACTAATGTGAAAAGATCGATAGAAATTCTTTTCTGGTGGATCTATGACATGCTTGTTTTTTTTTAATTCGAAACAGTCTAAATCTTTTTACTGTTCAATTTAATCGTCACACGTTGGTTTTCGTTCAGAATTAAATTCTACATCTAATAGAATAATCACAATCTTTCATAGAACAAGTCTAACTTTTGAAAAGATGATTTGTCAAAATTCAATCAAAATTATCGATAGTTATTGATGTCAATGTTTTTTACTCGTAAATAAAAGCCTCGGAAACCTTGTAAAGACTATGAGAGTGTAGAGCACAAAAATCGACCAATATGCTCTGCGCCGAAAGTCACATTGCTGAAATATGTCGACTTGACTGTCAATGATGTTACTTGTCAGCGGTGTGACCAACGGTGATATTCTGATATGATACCTGCAGTATACATATATGATAAAGATTTAGACAGAGTGAACGACAGGAATGATCGCTGAATTTCATATTGATGATCCCTATTTTGACGATTTTTCTTTTCAATAATGATCATTTCAGTAATCTCTGTGTGCAGCGATGAGGTACGCAGCTCGAAATATTTTCTCTATTGGTATTAAGTAATTTACTTTGACATCGGTTTTGAATCATAAAGGCTTTATAAAAATCAGTACAAGTCAGTAGAAAATACGAAATCATAATTAAATGATGGTGTAGACATATTAGTCTTTTAAATTTGTTGTCGATAAGGTAAAATCTGTTTGAAAAAACAAAGTTGACAATTTAATACAACTTGGAATTCTATAAATTTTAGCATACAAAGAAAATTTGTTATGTTTATGAAAGACAGCAAGATTTAGTGCAATTTATTCCAGGACATTTGTGAATAATTTTACATACTTATTGAATTGTTTCTATTATTTTCATATTTTTTTATTTTAATTGAACTATTATTATTATTATTAACTGATTTATCATTTGAATTTATATTCAATGATGATAATAGAGTATCATTCAATGTTAGACAATTATCATTGGTTATTTTTTTATATTGATCTTTCTTACCAGACCAATATGCTTCTTGTTGTAGTGATAAATTACCTTGATATGTTACTTTTATATAAGGTAATAATGTTGATGAATTATGATCACAATATGTATAGAATAAATAAGCCATTAATGAAACATAATATTTTGCTAAATCACGAACCTGTAATTTTTTTTGTGTTTTAATAAAAAAAATAAATAAATAAATAAAAGTAATAATATAAAGTCAATAGATAAACTTACATGAGCCATAGCACAATATTTATTCTCAAGTATAGCATGATAATCACATGCACGAGAATGAAGTACAGGTTGTTGTGGAGTTTTGCTAAAGATAAAAAACAATAGATACCATTATTATTTCGATAAATAAAAATACAAAACCCCATTAATACACCAAGATCACATTTAAATTGAACTCGATTATAGAAATTTTCATAAATAACAGCAATTAATGCTTCAATTGGATATAATGTATAATCATCAGTTCGATCTCGTGTTGATGGTTGATCATAAAGCCAATCAAGTGCAGATTTTGTTGACCAAAATGATTCCATTGTACAAAACATTGGCATTGGTTCATTATGAATATTATTACGAAAATCACATAATGAACTAAGCATTTCATTTAAATCATCTAATAATTGATTATAATCTTGTGTACCAATTTTTTCATATGGTGTACATGGTAAACCTAAAAGAAATTAAAAATAGATATTATGAAAAAACAAAACAGTAAAATTTATTCTTTGTCGTAGATTTAAAGAAACAAATACGACTATTATTATTTTCATAAAAAAATTCAGTTCTTAAAAGTATAGTTTTCTTCAGACTAAAGACGAATATGTATTCATTAGAATTTTCTTCTGCATATATACAAGTGTAACAAATATCTTGTATTTTGGCTTAATATTATTCATATGCTTTTCATATATTTCATGAATGCTATGATTTTGTGTTCAATCTATGAAATAGACAATGCGTTTTAATCAGCTAAAGCCTATACCATTGAACTCTGTTGGAGATATAATACTGACATTATATCTCTTTAAATGTATATGAATAATTTTTCACTAACATATAATTACAACGATGAAAGCATTTATATTAGTAATACAGTCTTTAAATATGGTTATCTTTTGAGAAGAAAGTTATTGGGTATATTTGATAAAAACGCATGTTTTTTTTCTTTCTATATCAAAGTAACTCGTTTTGATGAAATAATCACAAAAAAAAATGTAAAATATAAATAAAATATTTTCAAACCATGAGTTCGTCTTGAATGTTCAAGAATATCTGCTTGATAACCAGTTGGTAATTGATCACCTGGATGAACAAAATCATGAAAATCATCCGTAATTATACATAAACGTTTATATAAATTTGAATGACGTTCATAATGTTCATTAATTTTTTTTGATATATTCATTGATTGAACATTAACTTTACTTCCATATAATTGTGGCCAAAATGTTGTTTCAACAAGAGTTATTTCAGCTGGTATTGCAAAATAATCAATATGACAATATGTATTAATATGTAATAAATAAATTGGACAAAATGGCCAACGATGATGAATGATTTGTTCTTGAATTTGTCCACAACTTTCAATAAATAAAGCTTCATATTGTTTTGTATCACGATATGATGCACTTGTTATTGATGGTCGAAGTGGTGATATATTTTTTGATAGAATAGGAAATAGAATACGTTTAAATTCTTTATTTTTATGATTAATATTACCATCATCATCATCAATATCATTTTTAATATTTGATGAAGATGAACAACCATTTGATGCATGCATCTTTTTTTTCTCAATTTTAATCTTAAATAAGAAAAAACAAATCAACAAGTATTGCAAATAGAGATTTATGCAATTTATCTAATTGATTAATGAGTGTATCTTCATGGAATATTGTTGATTAAGTTTGTAATAGAGGGGATTAATATTAATAAGTATTATTTTTTTTTTGGTATAGTAGTATAATTGTTCGCTCCATATTCGTGTAACGATATTTTATCGAATGATGTCGCTCGAAGACGAATTTCACTTATCAACGTTACAATCGTTATTCTTTTCCGATTCTTGTTTTTCGTGACTATCAATCAAGATTTTTTTAGATTCACTTCAACGTAAGCTTCTTGCCTAAAAAAAACAGATCTTGACTTTTGTCAAGCTCCATATAGACCAAAATTCAGTTGATTAAGCAAAAACTGACGGATCAGTAAAACTCTGATGTTTTTGAATTCTTACTTAGTTCTTGTGGTTCAGGCATAGTCTCTTTATAAGTCAACATGATTATTTTCTGGTGTTAGTATTTTATATTTACTAATAGCCTTTAGTAGGATACACGAAAAAGTAAACAGATACATGCAATAAAAAACAATATTAGATTCAAATTCACTTAACGTAGAAAAAGAAGAGATGAACAATATTTACAATGGTAAATCAAAAGAATAAAACAAAAGACAATTTTATAGTCAGACTATAAATCGAACAAGTCTATCATTAGAAAGATAAGAGAAAAATATTCAATTATTGTCGAAGTTTTTCGTCTTGATAGAGTTATTCTTGATTAATTGAATGACTTCTGTTTATTACATTGAGCACAGTAGTACATATTAAGTATCATTGCTTAGAAATGAATAACTAACGCTCAAACGTTTGTACACGTTCTATGTATTGTGGATTGAAATTGAAAATTTTTCATTGAAATTTTGAATAATGTTGATTTATCGAACAGAAGTCAATTTAGTTGCAACTGCTAATTGTTTTGAATGCATATATATGAATATTTATTGACTTAATTGAAATAAACCATTATTAATATTGATAGTTCAATCTGTTGACAAGATGCTTCTAATTCTTCCCCGTCATACTCATGAAATCATTGTTTCCAGTTGTAGATAAAAATCATGAGTTGATGTTTGCACATCATATTCTTGCCAATCGATATTTTCTAACAGAAAGTTAATTCCGATTTAAAATATAGTTATTTCAATAACGATCTGTTTAGTAAGAGTTCGTTCTATTTAGAAGTCTTAAATATTTCTTAAATCGCCAGATAATTAATTTAATATAACTGCGATAGATCGATAAATATCTTTTTCTTTAACGAATAGCTAAAGATTTCGCTACTACATATTATAAAGTATCCCTGGATTTAAAAATTGTTTATTTCGAAAACAAAAACGAATTAAATAGCTTCTCTTCAAAAGCCTATACAATAGTAATGATGTTTTGTCTTTTAATAGGCATAGTATAACTATAAAACGATGATTGTCAGTCATGGTTGATTGCATATAACGTCATAATTCTTTTTCTCTCCATGCATTTTATCAAAAATCAACGATCATTTACTTTTTTTCATTGCCAAAGGTGTATACAAAAATAAATTGCTTTTTTATTTTTATTAACAACAAAATACTATAATAATGCCACCCGAACCAGATGGATCCAATGGAATAGAACGAATAAATACAAATGATAAAGATGGTGAACCAAAAAAACCGTTTATATATCGTGTCAGAACTGGTACCACCAGATTCATGAAATCACTCCGTATTTTTATTTATGATAAAGAACATCAAACATTTTTTGGAAATACAAGTCCATCATGGATTAAAATCTCTGTATATTATTTCTTCTTCTATATTTGTTTGGGCCTATTCTATGCAGGTATGGTTGCTGTATTTGCTGCTATTTTATCACGTGAATCACCAACATATACATATCGTAATAATCAAATGAAAGTTGGCGGAACATTTTATGTTGGTTAGTTTTAATTAAAACTGAAAAAAAATACAAGAAATCAAAAGACTATCTTTTTACTTCTAGGAATGGGTTTTCGACCAATGCTTGATATAACTTCAACATCAATCACTTGTTATGGTGATTCAGCATCACAAAATGAAACAGCATCCTCTTTAACAAATTATCGATTTGGTAATCATATTTATAAAATTATTCATTTGCGATTATTATCATGTGTCTATGTTTTTTTCTTGTCATATAGGATATCTTACACAATATGATACAACATATTTAGAAGAATGTAGTCCATTTAATCCGGCTTCAAACCTTCAAGGAAGTCATTCATGTAAATTTTCTTGGAGTGATATTGTTACCAGTGAAAGTATTTAGTATAAATAATATAAATATTTTCAAATAGTCATGTGTTTGTTTGTTTTTCTTTCTATAGCACATCCTTGTTCTACATCAAATATGCATGGATGGCCAATTGGTAAACCGTGTGTACTTATTAAATTAAATCGAGTAAAAATAATTTTTCAAATTCAATCTTTTTACAAAAATGATTGAATATAGCATTATCAAGAATTAACTTTTATTTTTAAAGATTTACGGTTGGATACCAGCTAATGGTAATATCGTCGATCAAGTAGCTAATGCAACAGGCCAACCAGTATTATCTATTGATCAACAGGAACAAAATATTTATATAACTTGTGAAGGTAAAGAACAAGCGGATAAAGACAAAATTGGTAATATGACATATTATTCAATTTTACATCCACTTGGTATTCCATATTATGGTGGCATACCTTATTATTTTTTTCCTTATAGGTAAAATAAACTAAAAAGAATTATTTTTCATCGTTTATACATATATATATTATTTTTTTAAGGAATGCACCAGAAGACGTTGAACCATTTGTATTAGTACAATTTATGTCATTACCATTAGATGACAAAGTGAATGTAATATGCCGTGCTTGGGCACCAAATATTCAACAACTTGCGCAAGGTACAACGCGTCGTGGAGCTGTTACGTTTGATATAATGAGATCAAATAGTAATGCTCCTATAGCTAAATAACTCAATAACGAACAACATTTGAACTTTAATTAAACTATTTTTCTGTCTCTATTTTTTTATTTTTAAGGATCTTATTATTACAGAGTTGATTTTTTCCACAGTATAACAACATTTTATATTTCGTTTTTATATTCCTATTTGTATGTTTACGTAAAGAAATCTCCTTTCTTCTAATATTTAAGTAGTAAACGATAAGAACATGGTTGTCGTTCTCTCGTAAGTGTGAGGAAAAAAGTGTACAGCGAATGGTTACGCTTGAAAGCATTTTTGTTTGTATTGACATTGCCTTTTATTCATTTATATATACATTCATACCGTAGATATATTAGTTTTTTTTTTGTGTAAAAAAAAACAGAACGTAAGGTTTTCTTTCTTTTTTTAACCTGCTTGGAGAAATAAAAAGACCATGCTTTAGATAAAATGACAAATAGAGAGATACAATCAAGTGATATTACAGTAGAACCAACAAATGTCAATCTAGAATTACAAAATAGTAATACAACTGTTAATAAATTAGTAGATAAAAATGTAAAAAAAACACAAAATTCAACGAAATCATTTACTAATTTTTTGTATAATTCAAGACAAAAAACAGTACTTGGACGGAATGCTCTTAATTGGGGTAATTCAAAAGATAAATATAATAATCATAATAATATATCTATTTATATTTTAGCTAAATTATCTATTTTTTATACAATACTCTATTTGTTCTTGGGCTTTTTTTTTGTCGGTTTAACTTATGTTTTCGCTTCTATACTTGATCGTACTCAACCAAGATATTATAATACAGAAAGTATAATGGCTGTACGAAGTACAAATGCTGTTGGTTTGTATTTGTATTTGTATTATTATTTTATATTTATCTATAGTTCTTTTTTTTTCATGTAGTTGGATTAGGTTTTCGACCTCAACCAGTTACTTATGAAAGTCTTATTCGAATAACAAATGATACAGCACAACAAAAACGTATTGCATCATCTCTACAATTATTTCGAAATGTTTTTCTTCTACAAAGTTCTGATGCTAAAGCTGAAGAATGTTCACCACAAAATCCAGCATCTAATTTACCACCTGGTACAGCTTGTTTATTTAATTGGTTTCATATTGTTGAAAGTGAAGATCATCCATGTTCGGATAATAAAATGAATGGTTTTAGTTATGAACAACCATGTATTCTTATTAAACTTAATAAAGTATTTAAAAATTGATTCTTGGTGTTTTTTTTAGTAATCAAAAATAAAACTATTAAACTGTTTTATATTTAGGTTTATGGATGGAAACCTGTAAAAGGTATTTTGCCGTTAAATATCCAAGAACTGCTAGGTGTTATTAATAATAAAAGTATATCAAATTCTGACGTATATATTACATGTGCAGGAACGGTATGTTATACGTATGTTTATTTTGCACTTGAAGAACTTTTTTTTTTATTATTGAATATTAAAATTAAACATTGAATGCGATGAAAATTTTTATTTAAAAGAAAAGAGTTATTTTTGATTTTTATTATTTGATGATTACACAACCTATGCAAATTAATTTGTAACCAAAAAAAAGAAATAAATTCAGCACTGCAGCATAATAGTTTGAACTGTAGATTACTCTTAGAAGCCAGAAAATACGCCATATTCATCTTTAATGAATACTTGAATTTCATATGTATACCAATCTATTCAATGGTGTAATCATTCTACCATAAATAATCAAGTATTTCAAAAGGCCTAAAGAGAAATTTCATGTTCTCATTGCTTTTATGTACTAAATAAGTTTAAGTAATCAAAGCAAGAAATCAGTGAATTTTGTTCTTAATAACATAGCATCCGGCTGATGATGATGTATTAATCGATGCAACTTATTATTCATTGGCTTATCCATTTGGTTCATCAAAATTCGGTGTTATTCCAAATTATTTCTTTCCATATAGGTAAAAATTTCTTTTTCCTAACAAAAAATGAAAACTTATATAAAGAATTAAATATTTTGAATTCTTTTTCAGAAATGCAAAAGATCATGTTCAACCATTTGTTTTAGTTCAATTTAATATGTTACCATTAAATCGTCTTGTAAGTGTTACATGTCGTGCATGGGCACCCGGTATTGAACATAATGCAAGACGTATGCGTGGCATGGTTAGTTTTCAAGTATATCGTACACATACTGATATAAAATCTATTGAAAATAATGGTCGTTAATAAAAAGAAAACAATGTGCATCTTTAGATTGAGTATATTGAAACAAGCTGTTTTCTTTTACATTTTCTCGCTGTATTATAATGTAGTGAGAGAATAGTTTGAAGTATTGGCTGATGTTTTTTTTTCTTGTGTTTGCTTTTCGTTTTTCTTTTATTTAATAAATAAAATAGAATTATGTTAATGTAAAATGACAGTTGTTCCTTAGATAAATGTCTGTCGATTGAAAAACATATGAAGGTTTGCGCATAATTTCTTTACTATTTCTTTATAATTTTTAGTAAAAATAAAAGATAAATAGAGTGTTAAGTATTTACCTAAGACAAAGAAACGAATTTTTTCATTTTAAGAATTATACTATTCAGCTTTGAAAGGATTAATCAATGACTAATAGTAAAAGTTTTATATTAGAATATTTCATAAGTATACACTCTATAAAAAATAAATAATCGTTCTTGTGCTCTTTACGCTTTAACAGGCATACTATTCAATTCTTTTTTTTTATTTTCATTCTGTGATTCTGTCTCTCTCGTCTTTTGTATTTATGACGAAAAAATAATCATTGCTCTTTTCTTTTTTTGTGATTCTCAATGCTTTAGATAATAATCATACGACAAAAACAAAACCATTTTTATTTATTCAACTTGTAACGTACAAATTAATTAATTACGTTACACTTTCGATGACCTACTGGAATTATTCAAAAAGTAAAAGAAGCACATAAACAAATTCGATGATTGTTACTACTTGTATTTCTATATAATTTAAGGTTGATAGTAACTGTTAAAGTCTGGTATGAATGAAAAGCAATGTATGTCGCATATATTAGGACATGAATTTAAATTTTATGTATTTTTCTTATGTTTTTCTATTATTGGATATATATTTGGTGTATATTATTGGCAAACATTTATTCGACTTCCTTGTACATCAACATTAATTCCAATTACACAAATAAAATATTCATTTTATGATCATTTTCAATATCGAACAAAACAAACATGTTATAATGAAAATTCAAAATTATTTTTAACTATAGCTATAATATCATCATATGAACGTTTATTAATTTATTTACCTGCTATACTTAACACATGGATATTAACAACAACAAATGATATTGAAATAATTATATTTATTGAAGAAAAATCATTGACGTCAGAGGAATCGATTGAAAACATTTTTTTTGAATTAAACAACAAGATAAACCAATCTATTAAATCTTGTTTATTTATTGTTAAATTAAAAAATGTTCAGAATAGTTATCCACCACAAAGAAAAAGTTTCTATGCTCTGAAATTTATTTATGCACTTTATAGTCAAAGAACATCATGGTTATTGCGTTTAGATGATAATGCTTACGTTAACGTTGAAGAACTTGTTAAATGGCTTAAATTAATTGATCATCGAAAAACGTTGTATCTAGGACAAGGTGGATCTGGAAGGCGAAATGGGCCACCTATTCATTTTCCACAAGAACAAGTAATTAATTAAATTAAATTAAATTAACTAAATTAATTTTATTTTTAGCTGTTTTGTATGGGTGGAAGTGGAGTTATACTTTCTCAAAGTACTTTAATTCAACTTGGTCCATGGCTTGATCAATGTTTAAATAATGAAATTCGTACTCCACATGAAGATGTTGAATTAGGTCGTTGCATAATAAACCATGTTTATATTAGTTGTACAAGATCTGCCAATACAAACTCTTTATTTTATCATCATTACGGTCCTCGATATAAATTTGGTCATGATTTTACACCATCAATTGTTTCTCAAGCATTAATTATGCATCCAATTAATGATCAAAATACATTTCAACAAATATATACTTTTTATATACGACTAAAACAAGAAAAAGAATATTTAGAAAATAATAAATCATTAAAAAAACTAATAAATAGACAAACTTATGTAACGTTTCAATCCAAAGTGGCATTTGATCTTTCACGAGATACATTTTATCAAAGGATTGATGTAAGATGGAAATCATATATTGAACAAGCTATTCAGTCATATATTGAAAAAACAAGGATAATTTGGCATCAACGTTTATTTAATTGGACATTGGTAAATGGTAAATTCGTATTCGGTTATCATTGTGTAAAGCCATCATACGGCTTAAAAGTAATAGTTGAAGTTCGATTAACTGCTCAAACTGTTTCTACATATCCAACTAAAGTTGCTACTACTTATAAAAGATTTCGTATAAATCAACTATTTACAAATAAACATCATTTTGATTATCGCGAAATAAATAATATTGAAACAAATGATAATATTTATCAATTAAATCTTATTGTTGTTTCAAGTAATAAAGATGAAGCATTAATAAGATTTATAAATAATTATGAAAGTGAAGTATTAAAGTATCCATTAAGACATAAATATTTTACATTAACTATACTTTATTTTTCTTACAAAAAGGAAATAACTAATCGCATTATTGATCTTATAAATGGTTTATCCATCAAATATATGTCAATTGTTCGTGTATCAATTATTAATTCAAATCAAACTTCTTATAATCGTGGACTTGGTCGTCAATTAGCATCAAAATTATTTACAAATAATCAATTATTATTTTTCTTAGATGCTGATCTTATATTTATTGGACAAGCATTAGATAATACTCGTCGTTTAATGATTCACCAATTATCTATATCATCTTGTACAGTCTATTTTCCAATTATATTTTCAGTTTTTTCAAATAGATCTGTTGCTAATGATGATTCAATGATTGATGTTAATTCAAAAAATGGTTTATTTTCTATTTATGGTTTTGGAAATGTTGCTGTACGTAAACAAGATTTAGATGATATTGGTGGATGGGAAACTAATAATGATGATTGGGGTATGGAAGATGTTAATTTATTTCAACGATTTAGTGATTCTTCATCAGAATGTTATGTATTTCGAGCTGTTGAACCTGGTTTAAGACATTATTATCATAAAAAAATGTGCAATGGAATTGTGAATAAAGTACGCGAACAAATGTGCCTTGATGCAGATGCAATTTTAATCGGATCACAAATGCATATGGTTAATTATTTATTTAATAATATGACTTTGTCTATTTAAGATTTTTATTGTCAAACATCAAATTCAGTTAGGCAATTTTCACATAGAAATAAATAAGTCACTCTTGCAAAAGATTCTTAATAAAAAAAATATTGTCAAAACTCTTTTAACAATAATGCAACAATGGCAGAAAGAGTTATGAACAGTTTTCGTAATTGAAATGATTTAGATCGGAGTGCTAAACTTTTGAAGAATTAGGCAAGAAAATTTGAACATAATTTTATCATAGGTAACTGCTGGTGCAAAAGTCTTAGCATAAAATATGTATTTAGTTTTCATCTATTTAAAGACAGCTGATTAGAGTTAGAAGCAGCTAGCTAGAATTAGAACTTTTGACGTTTCCAAATATATGTTTAAATTTCTCTTGTGGAGTCAAATTGACCAATTCTTAGTAAACTTTATGAAATAAATCCAATATGGTGTTTGTTCAAAGCAAAAATAGCAGTTTTAGCGCAGTTCTTGATCTACATAGTTTACATATTGGAGTAGGTTCAACTCAACATTACTAAATTCTGTAAAAAAAAAAAAAGACATATTACAATAAGAGAAATTTTGTCTATGCGTTTCCAATAAAGAGCCAGTTGCTATGGAAAACAGTAGTGATGAAAAAAATTTCTATTTTAAATACTGTTTTTCAAAATATAAAAAGTTTTACAAACTATCGTACAAGATAAGAAAAACTAAACAACTAAACATTGCTTCGTATATCGGTTTTGATAGTTTGCAATCGAAATACAGATGTTGACTAAAATATTGTAGAGGTACTATTTTGAATCTTTGGAAACAAACTAAAGCAAGCCGTTTAATCTGATACTAGAAGGAAGTTTTGTACATATATTCAGCAATACCGAAAAAGTCTGATTCTGCAACTAACTGCTTCTGGTTCTAACCAGTTGCCTTTCAGTGACTGAAAAATGATGAAAATTTATATGTGAACACTTTCGCGCCGTAGGTTATATAAATATTTAATAATTGTATATTGACGAATATATGCTACTTCAATTAATGTAAGGGAAGTTAGCAGTCGATTCGAGTTTTTCGCAAAACGATTTATTCCAGTGAGTGAGCCAGATGTAGCTCGACGAACTCTATAGATTGGTACATGTTTCATTTTGATAAGAATAAAATTTAGTCATCAGGACCTTTGGAAAATCTGTAGCAAGGCTTTGGGAGTGGGTTTCCTCTGACAATTTGCTCCACAAACTGAGCCACTTTTGAAACTTATCTTATTCGATGCAGCTCAACGAGCTCTATCACTTGATATCTGTTTCAGCTTCAGAAAAATAAAATTGTGGGGGTTAGGATCGCTGGAAGATCTGTAGGAAGGCTTCGGACTCGGATTTCCTCTGATGATTCGCTCCACGAACAGAGCCACATCTGAATTTTATCTCATTCGATGCAGCTCAACGAGCTTTATCGATCGGTATATCTTTCATTCGAATAAAAATAAAATTTCGACCAATAAGGTTTCCGAAAAACTTCCAAACGGCATTCCGATCATGTTACCTTCGACGATCCATTCCCACGCTTGACTCACTAATGAAACACAGTCCAATCGATGCAATGTGAGGAGCTCTATCGAATGATGTATGTTTGAATATAGTTATTGTATATCTTCATAGACAAGAATACTTATAAAATCAAGATATGTACTCTTTTTTGATTTTTTTCATTCAACAATTCGCTGGTCAATTTGAACTACTTATCGACCAAAGCGGAATTATTGCTATGTCCCGAGCCATCTCGAATGATATGTTTCATTATAATTATCTTTGGTGATAATGTTGGAAATTAGAGGCCTGCTGACTAAAATTTTGTTCTCATCAAAGTGAAAGATATACCAACCAATAGATCTCGTCGAGCTGCATCTGGCTTACTACATCGATAATGTGGCTCACTCAATGGAACAAATCATTTTGCGAAAAACTCGAATCGGCTGCTAGCTTCTCTTACATCTTCAATTATTAGATTTTAATTGATCAATACTCGCTAGTATGCTCCTCCTTACTGTTGATAAAAATGGTTATTAAATAATAGTTGACAACGAGCTCCAGCCTATGATCAAGTCGCGATCTATTGAAGATGATTTTTGAATAACTTGAAAGATATAAATGCATCTGCACATCGATATTATAGTTAATGGTTTTGAAAAAAGAACAGGTTTGAAAATTCATTTTGTATAAGTAATCGTTATAAAGCGACCTCTCTCTTAAATAAGAAATGCCCAAATAGAGGTGTTGTGAAGTTACCTAAACAATAAGAATGTCGTCTGTCGAAATCTACAAAACTGAAAAGACGTATTACGTTTCTAGAAAAAAAATATCTTCATGAATAATAATTTAATACAATGATTATCAGAAATATCTACATAATTTAATTTTAGATTAATTTTTCATGATATGAATTCGATACCAAAAACTAATTCTTGTTCTTCTTCTTCTTCTTTATATATTCCTTATGACAAACCAGTATCAACATGGAAAACACTTTCAACAAGTTTAAATCCTGCTGAATGTGATTATGTAAAATTTTATTTGGGTCAAGCATTAATTGAACAATGTGAAGAAATTGAAAATGAAATTGATAGTCTACTTGACATCTGGCGAGAATATCGGTAAGAAAAAAACTGTTCTTTTCTTTTATTGAATAACACAAAAACAACTCTTTCTACGAATCTAGAAATGAAACTGTTGCCAATTGTACAGATTCAACAATTCATACATTAGCTGAACCACCTGTACTACGAAAACGTTTAACGACTGAAATTGAATTTTTTGTTAAACATATTCATGAACAATGTGCAAAAGATGATCATATATTTCATCGTCGTTTATCCAATGGACATAATTGGAATGCTATTAATTATGCACTTGTAACAGGTACTGGTGATGATGAACGTCGTATCCGTGAACGACCTGTATCAGCACGTGATCGTCATGGACGAGAAACACCAACATTAGTTATTCCAGAACCAGCTGCAAATATTGATGAAACGAAAATAATGAATTCTCTTTCACCACGAACATTATCAAATATTGATATAAATACTGTACGTAATAAATTAAAAGATTTTACAATTGATGATATTATACAACGTTTAAGACAAGCAATTATTGATGATATTAAAACCCTTGAAAATCATGTTACTTATGTACATGTAAGGTTTCTTTGTTTTCTTTTCTATTTTATTATTTTTTCTGATTGGTTTTTACTTTAGCAAAAATTAGAAGAAGAAGCAGATTATCGTGCAAAAACAAGAGGCCTTTTACGAGAACCAACTCTCGGAGGTAATGATATAAGACATGTTCAGCTGATAATTGATAACTGTTTATCACACAAGCAATTATCTATTGTAATAGAAAGAGCAAAAAAAACGAAATAAGCATACTTTAATGGTACTGTTATAGGATTATAGACAGTCTCGAAATGAAACGATGTAGATTTTTATTAAGTTAATAGAAATATGAACAAATCTTTAACTGAAAAACAAAATATCTCACGAAGCTAAACAATAGTCAGATGAAATTACGCGAGAGTTTATCAATCTCCAAAAGTAAATGCTACTATGAGATAAGTATGATAATCATTATTTAAACATTCATAAAATACTGAATTACCTATTTTATAGAAATGAGAATCATTCATTTGATAATAAAGTGATTATTTTATACTTCTTTGATGATAATTAAAACGTATATCTCCTTGTGTTTTTGAACTATACATATATTTCTTAGATGATATTGCTCGACAGAGCCTTACAGAAGCATCTATATTAAAATCTGCGAAGTGCTGATGACAGATAAATGTATGAATGAAGAAAATAATGTTCCAAAGTTTTCAGAATGTTTAAAAACTTCAATTTGTCGAATTCTGTGCTGGTAAATGCATCAAAATAGAAATCCAATAGGATACTATTCTACGAGGACGGTTTATTAATGTCATCAGATTAACTTCATAAAGAAAGGTTTCGTAACTTTTCTAATAACTAGATCTTGATGAATCAAGTAAATATCCAAAAAGTACCAATCAGAAATGTATAGCATCATATTGATATCGATTTCTATTAGAAATCATCAGTTAAAAATGCACAAGTTTTAAATAATTGTTCTAGTTTTCTTCTTTTTCAAACTTTTCCACTAGAAATATATCAAAATTAATATTATTCTAATTTTATTTAGAACTTAGAGATGAACGTAATCGACTTGAAAAAGAAATATTTAGTACTACCAATACAACAGATCCACTAGAGACATCAAGTTCATTACAAAAGTAAAAATTAAAATTTTCTTGTTTTTCTTTTTTTTAATTAAGTCGAATATTAGCTCTCATAGACAAACATCGGCACATGATACTAGCCGTCGTTCATCGGCAAGTTCATTAACTAGTTCGATTCAAAGTCCTCGATCATCATTAGATGAAATAACAACAAGAATTACTCCTTCACATGGACCTTTACGTGCTTTTGCAACTGATCCATCGACAACAACTAAACCTCGTTTATCAATTGATCGGAAAGTTTCTACATTACCAACAACAACTGCGAAGTCAAATACACCTGTATTAGTTCGTTTGGGTTCAATCAAACAACAAGATTTATTGAAAAAATATCCATCATTAACGACAACAACTACAAATGCAACAAAATCGACTAAAACTCGAGAAACTTCAACAACACGTATCAATTCAGCTGATAAATTTCGTCAAATGGTGCTTGATTGTCGAGAAATCAGCAACTGAATATATAACATTGGATAAAAAATAATTCATTTCTAGATGATAATCTAGTTTCCATTAATTTTTATTTTGTATTCAAGTTTAATTTTTCTTTTTTTGAAGTTCTATAATGATAATTCACTATTGATAATAATATTTACTTTTATTTTATTTAAATAATATTGAATTACATATGTACATAAATGTTTGAAATGAAAATATTAACCTGTTTTTTTTGTGTCCTTATAGAAAAGAAATTTTACTGAAGTTTATACATATATATGGAAACATTTCTCATTAATCTGAAATAAAAAAGTAAGAATGTAAGTTATTTTTATCATAGATTTATATACGAAATTACATAACGGAAAAAAGAAGCATCCTCAAAATTGAGTCCGCATTTTTCATATATAATTCAGAATAACAGGGTAATACATCGAAGTCTATTTCGCTTTAATAAAAACATGTTGAAACAATTTGTCTTTTCTAAGTTGATAGGAATTATTTTTTCCACTTCCGAATTGTATATGACTTGATTTTGTTATACATTCATAAACTAAATAATAGAAGAAGAAAGGAAGAACTTTCCTTCAACGAATCTGTAACTTTTATATTGATTCATTAAATCAATCTTTCAAAACAATAGTTCATAATTGTATAAATCAAAACATTGTCAGAAGAATAATGTATCACATATTGGATACATCTTTGAAATATGAACAAAGGAAACTTTGATCAAAGAGTAATTGTCGAGTAAAAATTTCGAATCAAAAGTTAAAACAACTGCTACCATGTTAAATAATTGTTGTAATATGAATCAGTGTAAATTAGCCAAACGTTTCAGATTTAATCAATCAACGACCAGTTGTAACTTACGAAAAAGAGCATTGATTATTATGAGAAAATGTCAAAATGTTTCAAAGGTGAACCACAAGACTCAAGAAAAACATTGAAGAGTTGCACGAAAGGATGTATCGAGGTTGTGATATTATTTTAGATGACGAAAGCTATTTCAAGTTAAGTGGAAACCATACTGCGGCAAATCAATAGTATAACTCTAGCTACTCGAAAATAATATAAAATCGTTTGGTATACTTGCTGGTAGATAAACATTATGTTTCAGCTGTTTTGCAAGGTTTGACTTATTGAATCAATATAGAAGTTGCAAATTCGCTGAGCAAGTATTGCGAATTCGTCTTTTGTCACTTTGTTTATAAATAAATAACCAAATCAGGCAATATTTTGTCCTGTTATTAGAGATATAAGCCGATGCATTGATTAGTGTCTGCGGTAGCCGAAGCTTTTCGATGGGTCATTTTAAAAATTTTCTTAGTTTTGAGGAATTCAAAAAATGAAAAACGGAAAAAATGATGGAAGAGAACTTGTTAATAACAAATCAGACAGTAACATATCCAAAAACCTGATTTGAAATGTCGGAAATTTTCAAAAACCAGAGATCTATTTTTGAGTCGCGGCGACGACTCTGTCTATCGGCTTATGCTTCTACCTGTTATTTTGAGTTATACGTGAAAAGTGTGGATTCGTTTTAAAGGTGTTTCTGTTTTTGTTGTCTTTTCGTTTATGATCATGGGATAAAAAAAGTATTTTTTTTTCAGTACTTTTCTATTGAAATGAGATGGAAGCCGACAATTATGTCATTACTTCTATATCACCCACATTATCTTAGTTTAAAATTGAAAATTGACACAAAAAAAAGAATTTATCTAGTAAAAAAAAGCCGACATAAAATATGTTTATTTGTTCGATGTTTCATAACAACTAACATTGATAGATTACTTGTAAATAGATGCATAAAAGACGAATATATCTGATATTTAGTGACTAATACTTAAAAATTATTTTAAAATAACAAACTTTAATTCAAATGACATACAAATATGAATTATTGAATGTCTCATACTATCAATATAATACTTAATTTTTTCTATTTATGCATTCCAAACTCAACTGCATTCTCACATCAACTTTGACATATACATATTTTCATATTTTGTATTCGATATTAATAGTTCAATGATTTTCAACGATTACTCTTTTGAAGAATGATTGAGTTATTTTAAAGGGATATATTTTTAGAAAAAAAGTAATAATTTCAGTCACATATTTGCTGATCGTTATCATTTCTATCAATATTTACCTGCTATCATGTGATTTTTTGTCCTTTTACTAATTGATGTTTCATATATGCGCAAATGAGATAAAACAAGACCATTACTTTATTTTTATGAAATATAGTATATTAGAAAAGACTTTTTATGCAAATTCAAATATTTCTCATTGTGCTTTTTTTAGTATGATAAAAATGACTAAAGAAAAATTATTAGAAAATTTGAAAACTCATCTAACGAACTTTTATTTGATATAGTTGAGTATTTAATGCTTTTCATGATCATAATTATCGAATCAATAGTATTCTCAATGATGATCATTTACTTATGAAAGTGACCTTTATTCGAATGCCAACGTTGTAATCTTTATTCAAATTGTAAACGTAGAAAGCTCAAATTCATATTCTTCATGTATAGCCACAGATTTACAAAAGTGTTCTATCATGTCACGTGCTACTCGATTATCAATTGATGATTGAATGAGTGTATATAAAATATCGAATGTCAAGTCTTGTCTATATACTATTAAAATAGATGATTTTCTTACTGCAGCTGATCATAATAAAGCTTTTGTTATAGAAAGTCTGCTTGATTTATCTCATAGTCTTAGACTTTCATTGAAATTAGCATATCTTTTCAGTGATATTGTTTATAGTAGTTTCACACGAAGAAAAAAAGCATCATGTTTAGAACAATTATCAATAACTGGATGTACTATTTCATTACTATTGCTTATTAATTTAATTATAAATACATTTAATTTATATTCGTTTCAAATGAAAATTTACAGAGATATTTCAAGTCCAGATTTTTCTATTTTTCAACAAATAACTATAGCAATTCTTAAATTTGTTGGATTTAGTAATGATAACTTTCAGAATTCTTTTAGTTCTATGGCTTGTCTTATTAGCCTTCATCTTGATGATGAAACATCAATTTCAACAGCACGTCTCTTTGTATCCAATACAGTACATATAGCTAAAGCATCAGCTGAATATTTTAATCTCCAGTAGAAATAAAAACGAACGAAATTGAGATCCTTAGTTTTCAACTGTTGAAATGTAACATTAAAATATTTTCTTCTATTAAAATGTTCTAAATATTGTTATTCCCATATCGACTACATGAATAAAACGACCGAGTAAAAGATTTCATGAGATTTTTTATTAGTAGTGTTTCATAGACAAAAAAAGTACTGCTAAATATATATTATTACTAGGGTAATCAAAATAGAAACTCAACGATAGTGAACAATAAGATACGCTATATTTCTGCCTACAGTATTATGATGACATACAGCTCGTATTTTTTTGTTCTAGGTTGAATTAAAGCAAATAGTTGTGAGTAAGAAAAAGATTATCAATATACAGAATGTAAAAATAAAAGTAAGGGTGTTTAATAAAGGCAGTTATCGATTTGCACTTGTAAAGTAATCATGCAAGAAAATGCTCCGAGTAGCCAGTGACAATGCGCAGGTTGAAATCTGAGAAAATATTCAATACACTATAGAGTAGTAAAGGTCGACAAAAAAATAACGTTTTTTCATAATATAAAACCACTGTAGTCGTATAATTCTAGTAATCGTTTATGATGTATTTGCTTTTGCCAGACTCATTTTGAAAGCTGTTTGAGGACATAGACGAAAATGTCTATCCGAATTTCAAAAAATAATTTTATTAAGATCGATTATCATTGATATGTCTCTATATATCAGAAACATGCATTAATATTTCGTTAAATTTTCTATGTAAAATGAGTATAAGTGCTAGATATGATAAAGATGGTCTCGGAGCTGGGATAAAATGCTGCTTTTTTTGGCCATAAGCGTGATCAAAAAGAGCTAGTCATGCTCATACTATCATTAGTAAGCCAGTATGTTAGAATACACTCATAAAAATACTTAGAATAATATGCTAGAAACCCTAAATATATAAATATGAAATTTTTCGAATACTAGTTGAGCTTGACTAAATACTGATGTGAACCATTCGGATTTCTTTTTTTAAGCAAATTCATTAGGAAGAGCATAGGAATTTGTTTTTTCCGATATGTATTGGATTTAAATGAACCTTTGAATTTATGTTTCAATAGTATATATCATAGTTAACAGGAGAAATCACATGAGTTTGAAGTACTCGAATTAATTGTGAAAAGTTCTCTTAGACAGAAAAGAATTAACGTATAACATGGATAAAGCTTCGCAAACTAAGTAAACTACTAATTGATTTAGACAAGAGTTTACAAAATAAGATCATATTAAACATCATAAGTAAACAATTTTAATATTTTCTTTTGAGTTTTGTTTTTGTTACTGTGTTATCAGAAGCTCCAATCCAAAATTTATCAAGAATACTTTATGCATCATATACCATCGATCATAATATTGATACAAAAAATGTAACTTCAATTTCATCTATGCTTACAACCATTCTTAATGCTTTAATATCATAATAATCAGACACACATATGGTGCAATACATCCTTGTTTTAAAAAACAGCCTATAGCAATCCCCTGCTCGTCTGAATAGATACTTAAAATGAAACTACATTTTTTCAAGAACTTTCATCAATCATTCAAGGTCCCTTAAATAAAAGAAACTTTTTCAAACTATCTATTGTATTGAACAAAATTAATAAAGTCAATTTATTATTATTTAAATATAGAATAATAATCTGAACACATTTCTATTGTCAAGAAACCTTCAATAGACAAATCAATCATATTAACAATAAAGAAACTTATTTGTTTATACATTCACAATATCTTTTATTACAAAACCATTTATGAAAGCAGATCTAAATTGATCTTAACCAGAAACATAATTAAGAAAAATGATCGGTCACTCTGACTCAGACACTACTAACTAATATAATTTGTCATTCTTCTACCTTAGACAAAATATATTTTTAGTCAAAATATTAAGAACAAAGTATTTTTTCTTTTAAATGCAGCTCCTGACATCTCTAATGTGTACTCTGAGAAATCAAAGAAAATTAGTTATTGAAAACAAAATCTGAGAACAATTATCTAAATCAAATAAAAGTATGTTTTCACAAGATCATTTCTTGTATTCATAAAATCTAGAAAAGTACTAGACATCGAGTTATAGGTCCAATACAATCGATGCAATATGTTGCACATTAGATTTGGAAATATATAATTAAAAACGAAGCAAAAAAAGGGGACATCTGTCGCGTCGTCTCATAAGTTTTCTCATTTTATGTGTCATGAAGAATCTAATATTTCATTTTAGCACCATCCAGGTACATTTTCTGTGTATATTTTATTTATATCACAGTGAACATTCATGATTAAATTAATTCAATAGTATACCTAGATAGATAAAAAACCACAAACAACTAATTTTTTCAATAAAATTAAAAAGTTTAATTATCATTTGTTTCCTTTGTATAATCTTAACTGATTAAAAGTTGTTTGCAAATTTTACTTCTATAGTAATTTTTCTGATGCATGATAAACATTCAAGTTTGATTTCAAAGATTAAAACGTTATTTTTTTAACAATTTAGAAAAAAAAACACTTGACATTTGGCTTGATGATAAAATAGAATGGATCAAAGTTTCTAACGTATTCAATGCAAAATATTGTTCATTGTGATTAAACTAGAAAATTTTCACGTTGTAAAGAAAAATCTTCTATTTACATACTTTTTATAATAGTGACAAATATTCATGTGAAAAACGAATATTTTTCTTTAATTTCTGAAGCTCATTTTTTATGGATTATAGAAGCATTATTAATTGCATGAAACCTTTAAAAAATGAAGTAGTCAATTACTATTTTCATCCATTCTATCCAACAAAATCTTATTTGTTGTTTTCTTTTCAATAGATTTACTGTTATTTGACAAAGAGTATGTTTATTTGTCTTCTTGCATATTCATTCATAGCTTCATTTTTTTTTGTTATTTTAGTATGAGAATGTGTGTTTGTCTTTGCAACCAGTAAATATTGTCAAGTAGAAAAAAGTTTCTATAACTTTTCTTTTTTTTTTTTTTTTAAAAGAAAATAAAAGACAAGAATCAAAAGTTCTGTTCGATAGATGTGTTCGTCAAGGAGTAGAAGGAATAGAAATGTATTAAATCGCATGCTGTGTTGTAACATTTTCGCACATAAATAAGTGAAATCAATTCAGATGACTACAGTGACAGACACACCATATTTGCATCATAATCGAAGTAATGTTAAAACACCAACATCACAAGCTATTGGTGATTTAACAACATCAACTAAGGCAACAATGCCATTCAATATAAAAGATTCGCATCATAATTCATTAGTTTCATTTACACAAAATTTATCTCAGCGTATTCCAAATCCTAAAGATAATTTTCAAAAATTTTCAACATCATTACTTAAAAATAAAGTTCTACTTGTACCAACACGTTTAGCACTTAAACGACAACGAGCATCTTTGAAACCACCCACACTGAAATGTGAACCGGTTTATTCTGAAACACTTCAAATGGAATTAGGCAATCCAGAAGAATTAACATCACATAGTGATCATGATGAGGATGAACAGACTGCAACAACAATATCACAACATATGCATTTATCTAGAGAACATAATCGAATGCGATCAACATCAAATCAGAGTAGTCCATTGCGAGGAGATACACCACATACTGTACCAGCTGATATTGCACTCTTGTATAGGTATGTGAAAAAATTCTTGAGAAAGTTCAACTATGATGTAATCAATAAAGAACTAGGATATTTATAGTTTGAAGAATAATGCACTATAGTTTCAATAACGATAGATGAAATGCTGGGAATGAATTGACTGTTAAAACTTCAGAGAGATGGAAAAAGAACATATAGTATTATCATATGAAGGAAGCATGTATTCATACGAAAAGAAAATGCATATTGAAAAATGTTCTGAACTAATCGTAATTAAAACATAAATTTACGAGACAATATTTTCAGATATTTCTTTCGGATTTCAATAAGTTTTTTGTCTGCAAATATTACATAGTATTCTAGTAAAAACGCTAAAAAGATTTGAATTACTATTGAAATTTGTCTAAGCTATTGAGTTTTTAATATGTTTGTTTTTTGGAGACTTCACGTTTTGTGAAAAATCGTATTTTTGACTTTCGATCTAAAACTTTGCACATACGAAAAACTCAACTAGGCTAGCTTCCTTAAAAAAATTCAGAAATTTTGAACAAAACCTCTTCAACCATATTAGAATTTCAAGATATAAACCCTTTTCATGGATAGTATATACAACATACATTTTTGAAAGCTTCATATCTTGGAAAGACTTTGTTTACTTCCCAGAAAGCGTGATGATTAAAAATTTCGCAGTATTAAGTTTTAACTCTTTGAAAAAATGATTACACGTATGAAATTGATACGTTTTTTTTCAAATCGAAAACATTTTTGAACTTGCTTAATAGTTTTACTGAAGAAAAATATCATTTTATTTTTGTATTTTTTGACAAGAAAACTAGTAAACTCCTAGTAAACCTTCGTTTGCTTTTAATATTTAACTAGTAAAATAGGAAAAACTTCTAAATATTCAACAATGTCATGTTCTTGATACTTCTTTTTTCGAATCAAGTCAAATTAGATAGGATAATTAGAATCAAGAATTGGCTGCAAACATTAATTTTCTGATGATCTGATCAGAATAAAAGACTTCGATGGTTTGATAAGTCAATTTGAAGCGGAAGTCCAATACTGACCACTATACTACGAAAACTCTCGTATATTATTTTCAATTATCATTATAAATAGTTTTTGATGATCTAATTCAATTTTCAGCTAGTCATAAATTAACTGAGCACGATTCTCAGTTGATTAATAACTTTTCAATCCAGTCTATGTGTATCATTTTTATGATATTTTTTAATGTGTATACTACTATGATTCCTCTCAGGAACACTAGGCAAAATGATTTTCGAGTTTCGATTTGAAACTCTGCATAGAGATAAGTCTTTGCGAAAATAGTTTATTTTGAAAACTTCATATTTTTGTTAAT